GGGAGCCGATAGATTATAGTACCTTAGATAAGCCTAGCTCGTCCAAAAGCAGACAAGGCAAGTGCCGACTCCCCACAGTCGGCGGCAACCGCAGAGTAGCAACATCTTTAGCGTGTACGCGTGCGTAACTTAAAGAGGATTAACTGCCGCCGCGTCGTCCCATGGTTTCACATACATATGCTCACCTCTACTTTTTTATGAATTGAATCCAGGAACTTCTGTGGCGCACGCTTCTGGGCCTTGATTGCAATGGCTCGTTTTGATCTATTGCCAGTCGAGCTCTTACGTATCATTGGCCACTCTGTCGCCGGAGAGGCCATTGTCGGCGTCAGGAACAAACGCAATCTAAAGGTTCCAAGGGCACCAAGAGCAATTGGCTACGGCAACGGCGACCTTGCAGCATTGGCACGTACAAATCGACGCTTTAATCAGGTTTTCGAGCCACTCCTCTATCAATGGGACGCACAACAAATAGACGGAGGCAGTGCCGTCATTTGGGCCCTTGACAATATGTCCATGGGTACACTCGAGAGATCACTAGCCTCGGGGTTTGATTTCAACTCAGATCTTGCGACCTGGTGGGATGGGATGGATGATGAAATTTGTGATTTTGCAATCTTCCATGCAGTCCAGGCAGGTCGGGAGCCTATGCTGAAATGGCTATTAGAGCATGGAGCAAAGCCAGACTTGTGCGAGCCTCTAGAGATCGCAAATTTACCCCTACCTGTGAGCTACGAACAACGTTCTGCGCTGAGTATGGCCATGGATCCACCAGGCAATGAAGAAGCTGCACTGATTCTACTGGACTATGGCGCTAGAGTCTTGCTTGCAGAGGAGTGGGATGTTGGACAGGACTTGTCGATTACAAGTGCGCTGCATGAAGCTGTAAGAAACGATTTCACGAGGGTTGTTGAACGCCTACTCCGAGACGGAACTATTCCAGTCAATCATCGTGATTCTGACAATATGTCAGCCCTGGAACTCGCCGCCAGGGAAATCAGCCCCAATTCCGCCATGATCGAGCTGCTTTTACGATATGGAGCGGATCCCATTCGAGACGATGAGACACGTTCCCCCACAGCGGTTTGTTTGGCTTTTGCAGTAGGCAATCCCGACAACATAGCTCCTTTGCTACGACACATTACCAAAGACCCTTCCAATAAGGACTTCTTCTCTCACAACCTCTTGTGGATTTTATTGAACATGGTGACTGATCGACCAATGTCAATGGCTTTCGGAAGCGATGCGGGCCCCTCTCAATATAAAAGCATCGTTTCGAAGTTGGTTGAGTTCGGCGCCGACTTCAATAACCCCCCGCCACCGTATGCACCCCAGCACGAGCATGGTAAGTTTGATGCCTTCTGAAAGTCTTGCTTGCTTCCTTTCGGCTATCAATGCTCTCCAGAAAGCTTGCGTGTGCCTGTCAGAATTCGCGATGGACTTGACTAATCTTGGTTGTTTCTCAGAACCATTCATAGCACTAGCCTACGAGAGCTTCAACGGATACATCTTCACAGCCTTGCTCGAACTTGGCGTCGATCCATTCGTCAAAATAGATGGTAATCGCAACCTGTTTGATGCAAAATGGTACGATTATTTGCGCGGTGAAACTGAGGGAATGGAGCACCATCTTGCAGCTCTTCTCAATTTTGGCGCCCGAATAGACGTCAAAGATCCCCGCACACAGCGGACAGCATTTGAACTAGCTTTGAGGGCGGCCGAGAATAGCGATTGTCCCAATCCGCAGCCGTTACAGTTTCTACTCGAACACGTTGTTCCAAGTACTTTGACCTGCAAGTACATATACGAAACTCTCGATTCACAGATCGAGGACCTGGAAGGCCATATAAAAAGCTCTATTTTAATTATGCAGCATGGCTGGATATCTGAAAAGGCTCGATCGTTTGTGTTTGACTGGCTGGTCTCTTACAATACTTTTTCATCAGTCAGAGAGGGCCTCCACATCAAAAACGAAGACCATTGGTTAAATCAAAAAGCAGCGCGCTTCTTTCCCAGGTTTTTGACTCGGCAACAATTGGACCTGTTGTGGGAAAAGAGCCGGGCCAGCTATGCAGCCACGGATCAATCTCGGCGCAATCACAATTTGTACTATGTGCTTGAGAGATGGTACTCGATGCCGTGGTGGCTCATCAACGCCGAGAGAGGGGATGTCGAGGCTATGAAGCTGCTGGCTGAGTGGGAACATCCACGAACTGATCCGGACTGGCTCTTCGGGGATGACAGTGAACGATTTATTTTGGCAGGCAATGATGGTGGTCACACACCTCTCATGCGAGCCATCGCAACAGGCAGCAAGGATGTGGCTATGTGGTTGCTCGAGGCAAATAATGGCGCGGTGCGCGGTAGCTTTAATTGTCATCATTTCAGAGAATCCGTTTCTGACGATCCCGAGGACGACTCCGAAGATGAAGTGGAAGGTTTTGAGTGCGACTTGTGTCCTTACGGGCAGAGAACTGCTTATGAAATCGCGGTGCATCGGGGTGAGGTCGAGCTCCTTGAAATCATGTGGGATCTGGAGCTCGATGAAGTCAAGTGGGAGGAATACATTGCCATGCCGCGAGTTTTCTCATACAGCAACGTCATGGTGGAGTGGATGCAACTGAAGTTGGGTACGAAGCGCTGGATGAAACTGGAAATGAGTGGCCAAGATGCTTGGCTGCGCAATGAGATTTCCAAGAAGTTGGCCAAGCTCCGCATAGAGATTGTAGAAATCCGAGAAGCCTGGAGAGCCCAAGCCAAGGCCTTTGAGTCAAGAGGGATGGGTATTGTCGAGGCAAGCTGAGCTTCGGACTCTGCCAACTAATCTGCGGTGCATGCCCAATGTCGATTGCTGGATGGATATGATCGTTTGTACTCATCAGTGTGTTTCAAAATTTACATTCTCGGAGTTTGTGGTAGCTTTTAATATCAAAAGCATACAGATGATTTTGGCCCAGATGTTATCTTGATATCACTGCTTTGCTTGGCTATAAACTCAATCATATAGCACCCATGCTACGAACTCAATTCAGGCTTCGAAAAGTCCCCTCTTGAAGGTATTCTCAGGTTGGGGCTTCGGTGCCGGAATCCTCTCAATGGCAACCCTCTTCTGCCTGAAATGCACAGATCCATAACGAAGAAGCTCACCAAAAGTGCCGGGAGCACAATCTTTGCCCTCGTTCTCGGGCATATCCCAGAGGGTACCGAGATGCGGCGAATGCGTAATGCCCGCGGCGTGCGTGACCTTTTGCATACAGGTCCGCGCCAGCAGCGTCCAGACGAGCCTCTCGGCCGTCTTATACTGCTCATCATCTCTGTCGGCGGCGTCGCGCCGCAGGGCGAGCAGGTCCATGATCTTTTGCCCCGAGCCCGCGTACCCCAGCATCTCCTCGGCCGGCCAGTCCTCCTTGGAGCTGAAGAGGAAGATATTGTTCTCCCAGTACTCGCAGGCGTTGAAGCCGTCGCCCGTGTCCTTGTTGTGGCACAGGTGCGCCCAAACGGATACCTGAGCCGAGCTCGAGTCTGAGTGATCATGTTTTATTTTGAGGGGATTTCTTTTGCTTCATGACTCACCTGTGTGACGTATTCGAGAGCCTTCTCGTGAGGAACGCTCCAGTCCCAGAGATAGGGTGCAATCTCCTTGTACTGGTCCAAGATGCGTTTGTTCGTGTCCTTGAGAATGGGGTGGTTCCGCATGCCATTGACATTGGTCTTGTCCACCCACATGTAACAGAACAAGTCATGCCTAAAGTCGATTCATCAGACATTATTCCTCTCCAGGGCTCAAGCAGCATCTACTCGTCTTTGCCCAGGTCTCCGTGTCATACGTACCAGTGCTTGATGAACGGATCCCCCTTGCGAGCCGCAAAAAAGTGATTCCCGGCCGACTGATCAAAGATCAAGGGCGCCGCGACCCGAAACGGCGTCTGCGGGTCCTCGAGCTCCTTCCAGCAGATGCGGTCCATGCCGCGCATGAGAATGGCACCGACGTCGAGCCAGGCGCCGCCGTACTGGAACAGACACGCGCCCCGGAGCAGATCGGCGCTGTGGGCGCCCACGGTCGGGCCGTCCATGCGGCGCTCGACAAAGACGCGGGGCAGCAGGTCCGCGCCGACGTAGCGGAGCGCGTAGTTGGGCGAGTCGGGGAGGTTGTCCAGGATGCGGACGCCCCAGCCTGGGTTGATGCGGACCCAGTCGACGACGTTGCGCTGGCACCTGTAGGACCATAAGCGGGGTCAGATTCCCTCATGAATAATGAAACAAGTCCATAGAAGACTTGTAGCCAAAGCAGCGTGCGTCAAACAAATAGGGCAGAATCATTTCTGACAATTCTTGGGCAAGATATTACTTGGGATATACATACCAAGACGGCATTCCCGCGAATCCCGCATCCCAGAAACCCCATATGGTCTTTTCCGAAGTGATGGGGCAATACTGGCTCAGTGACTCGAATATCTCTGCATCAGAACGGCGGTCGCCAATGTCGTGGACATATCCAAGTTCATCTTGATACTCTGAGGGTATAGTGAAACTCGAGGATAAATCACCCATTTTCTCTCGTCTTCTTCTTTTCTAGTCGCTATTTTGGTTATCAAATCTCATTGCTTTTCTCGAAAGACGAAATAATCAAGAACGAGCCGGCCACGTTCTCGATATAAACCGATTTCCTTTCCATTTGACCAATGTTCATTGAGTTGATTGGAGATGTGTCAGGAGTTGGCTGGTGCGACTACCTGCGTGTTCATGCTGACAGCATAATATGAATATACTTTGGTCAGATTATGGGAGGGCGCAAGTGAAGGAAACCTGCGCTGTAAGATCTTGGAACCCCATACTATAAAGTTAGTGCTCTCTGTGCCGAGCCTCTAATCCAACATGGCTGCTTCAGTAGGTGGAGGAAGAGAAAGACCACGTCATAGCATGGCTGACGTTGCTGGACTCGCCCAAGTCTAACTCTGGGGTTCTCTTCTTTTGGCTGCGATTAACCATGCAATAGTACTTTGATCATCACACACCGTGGATAGCTGGTATAAGGCTTAGTACAACGAACAATCTGACATAATTCTTTTAGTCGATCTAGAAACCGAGAGTCACAGGGATACGGGCTGTTTAGGCATGCCGAGCGAGACCGGGCTTAAAGTGTGTGGCCACATTGCCGCCGTATTGAGATGATCGTAAACTCTTTTTGATTTCTATATGCTGATTGTCTATAAACCTGTATATGATCGCTTAAATCAGGAATTCCAGCTGCGCTTCTTGCCTTCTGAAATGCTGTTCAGTATCCGACACCGCCAGTTCTGACAGACTTTTTCTCGGCCGAGATTCTTGAACTTTGGTCCAACAGGGCCAGTAACATAATGATACTGGCCAAATAGCCGCCACTGGCGCATGTCGTCGAGCCCGTACAAGGTATCACCCCAAGGCCCCTCGTAATGGAACCAATCTGTCGGTGCATCGGGGTTCTCCTTGATCGGCTCTAGGCCGTCAGCATCCTTGGTCGTGGTGTAATCGTACCAGTAACCTCGGAAATTCTGAGCAGGATCCCACAAGGGACCACGATCCGTGACGTCTTTGAGCATCTTGAAAGGAAGAACGTAGGGGTGGTCTCCTGGCATGGCATACATGGCGTGACTGCCGACGGCGCTATATATGACGGGGCGCTGGATTTCAGAGATATTTCCTCGCTTCTCCACGGCCTGCCAGGCATATGCCTGGCCGCCTTCGTGTTCACTGAAGAAGACAGCGCGCGGCATCCCTGATTCAAAACGGACCATGCAATGTTCCCAGTCACCGACGTGGTTTCCAAAACGGATCCCAAGAACGGTCTGGCCTAGGTTGTAGGCATAAAAGAAGAACCAAAAGGCGTCCACAATCCCAGAGCCCTTATCCACAAGAACCAAAGTTGCTGGTGCTTTCGAGTAACCTGATTCATCAGGTTTGTGCTGGGGGACATCGCCAATGGGTACTTGGTCCCTCTTTGAGTGCCTGGGAGGCGACCCGCGCGAGGTGGGTGGAGGGTAGCGAGGCGTGCGCATGCGTGGATCTGATATCCTCTGTAACGGATGATCTTTGTTGACTTCTTGCCATGTCGTACCATCGCCGTGCCAGCGAGAAGCATCGGAATCTACAGGTGGTTCCCACGTATCTTGGTCGTCGGGATATGGCAGTGGGATATTTGCGCGGCTGTGGAGCCAAGCGGGCCGCGACTCTACGTCATCGTCGCTTTTCAGATAGACGAAGCCTTCTTCCGAATCCAGCCCATGCAGGGCTGCGAGATTGAGCGGGCTGGTTGTGTTGATACGTTCGTCGCCCACGTGCGGCGTCATATGCTCAATGTGATCGGCAATATCTGATGGCCAGAAATTCTCGCCAGAGTAGAGGTGGACAAGCGGCGCATACTTGAGCACGTAGTCTGGTATCTCTCGGAGACGCTCTTGATGCATGGCAGTTTTCGGACCCTGCGTTACACCCTTGTCGACTCTGGAATTTTCGGCTCTGTCTTCCAATTTCAAAGACCGTAGCTCGAACGTCGTCTTTTTCAACTCTCCACTGCCATCATGATTGTCGTCACCAGTCTTTGCCGCAGGGTCGGACCGGACGTGCAGGACACCACACAAGCTGATCCAACGGCAGGCTTGGCGGTCGAGCCAATAGGGCGAAGTGCTCACCCAGCGAGCATTTGCTTCGCGCTGCTGTTGATTTGGAGGAGTCGGGTTAAGAACTCGTGGTACCAGCCATGATAGAAAGCTGATAACCAGGACAAATAAAAGCACAAACGATATCCGGCGAAGGTGGTACATTGGAATGGATATTGGAATGTAAGAGATCGGAGCAATGCGAGAGCAAAAAAATGCTGTTCGAGTTGGCAAACTCGTCTGGTCGATGGGCGCAATTGACCGACTATGATAGCTGAGCTGGGCCGCGATCGCAGACCTATTGCCGTGACATCCGGGATAAAGGAAAGAAAGTACCACCCAAAGAGAAGGGAGAGATATGATAATGCTTCAGTCTATGAGCAACAGATGGGAAAAGGGTATCAAAGATGCATAATAAAGGGCAAAGTGGTATAATAAAGAGTAGTTTTTTAGAGCAGCTGAGTCATGTTTGGGATCAATCAAAGAAAAGGGATGGGATCGCCAGCACGGCTGCGATGGTTGTTTGTGCAAAGAAAGGATGGAAGGATTCCTGTCCAGAGGCTGAGCCCACGAGGCGATGTGGTGGTGGGGGGAAGGGGAATGCCGGTTGGCAAGGTTGTTGGTGCTGCGTGCATGTGGTCAGGCACGAAGCAAGTCGGTCGGTGCGTGTTAGAAAAGTACATGGTTTTGTGTGTAATTTTGTAGTATCTCAAAGTATCGATCTATCGTCTTACCGCCACTGGTGGCTCTGGACCCCTCCAACACTATCGGGCCTGACAGGTCTTGGCAATGACGCTCTTGCAGGACAGACGGACCGCTCTTTTCTCTCGTTTTTCTTTTCTTTTTCTTGCCGACTTATCACCAGCTTACTTGTGCACATGTGTAGCGTAGTGCAATACATTGTAGTGTAGCGTAATAAAGCCCACCTCGTGGCTGCCGTCTGTTGCGCAACCGATCTGCTGCCCATTTGCCTTGGGGTTCATGTGAGATACACTTACATATGCACTCCCACCTCGCCTCGATCATGGGCCAGCTGTCGAGGTTTCAAGACAATACAATAAATGCACCAGACCACCTGAACAGCTCACCAGCCAGCCAATACTCTGAACAGCTCACCAGCCAGCCAATACTCTGTACAGTGTTCAACGAGCACTGCAGAGAAACGATATCCATCGGGACTGCCCACTCATTCTCGACTAGTAGTTGGCAAATCCGTTCCAGTCAAGTCAGCCAGCGTCACAGTAAAGCGGCCCCACGCTTCGGAAGATAGCGAGGAACCTTAAAGATCGTGGGTGGCTCTGGTACGGCAACTCTCTTTTTTAGGCGAAAAAAGGTCACGCATTCAAAGCCCACATTGCGGCAACTTTCTGTAAACATTCCAGTGAGCGACCAAATCAAAAATGAACGCATTTGCCTTTCCACTAGATACGGCCATGCCATGATTGCACCATATACTAGAATTCGTATAACCGGACGGACCTACGAGAGAGATGCTACATAGGTAGGTACCTACGGCTTGGTACGTCTCTTACTGTCATGGGTCGCAGCTCACTAAACAGAAGAGTCTACCCAACCTACCTAGGTACTCAACCTGCATTGCCTTTAAATCTCTGTATCTCTTCAACTGACGGCCGTCATGAATCTTATTTTATTAACAAAGGAGGAAAATTTTCAAAATTAGTAAATCTGACTTACTATATTTAGCTGACCAACAATGGTTGGACCACTAACATCATACTATGCATATCCTTCGTGGGCCTATCAATCCATATACTATCATGCTAGGCCATGCCAGCCCAGCTACACCATTCGCCCCAGATGGCTGAATGGCAGAGTTCCCACCGGCGCGGATAACTCCCATCAAGCACGGCAACGACAAATTCGCACTACCTAACTCAATCAGAGCAGGCCAAGCCTCTTACATGGTCACAAGGATTCCAATACGATCGATATTATTCATATGCTTGGGGGGAATTGACGAACCCACTATGCCATGGGGGAACTTTGGAGCATGCGGAGAAAGGATTCGGCTCTCCACATCATCCCCAGATTGGAGCCCGTGTAGCATCACCCGAGGGGCTGGGACCTGGTCTGCTATTGGTGCGCATATGAGCCCTGCTCATATATCACCATATACTCGTGCAATTTCCACCAGTTGGAAGACAGCCCAAGAGTAGAGACTCGAAACATCGGTTCGCCAACCGACCGCATTGCAGCTTGCCCATCAATGAAACCCTTGACTCCTCCAAAAATCGCACGTGTGTCGTGCGGAGATGGCATGGCTCTCGGCGGCCCGTGAACCCGCGTCCGTCTTTGCACTTTTATATATGAACAGACGAGCCTCCAGGGCTGCTGAGAGTTGTACTGCTCGTTTGTGTGCTTGACTTCATTTCAGTCGGGGCCTTCTACTTTGACAATCCAAGATGTTGTCGCCGCATACGTATCAGGTAAGTCTACACCAAGTGAATCCCTACAAATGCCCATGACTTCGAAATCTAATTGTTTCTTCACGCTAGTTTCTCGTCGGCGTTTTCGCCTCCATGGGCTCTGCCCTTTTCGGCTACGATCTCGGTGTCATCGCCGGTGTTGTCGGGAGCGAGCACTTTACGAATACGTATAAAGCGAGTGGTGCTGAGAATGGTGCCGTGGTCTCCCTGTTCACGGGCGGCGCTTTCTTTGGCGCCATGTTTGCTGGTCTCTCTGGTGATGTACTCGGTCGAAGATGGACAATCTTTCTCGGTGCCGTGATTTTCATTATTGGTGGCTCTGTCCAGACCGCTGCGCAATCCCTCAGCTACCTCTACGCCGGCCGTGCCTTTGCTGGGTTGGGCGTGGGTTTCTTGACCATGATTATTCCCGTGTACCAGGGAGAGATTGCCCACCCAACCATTCGTGGGCGAGTCACTGCTCTCCAGCAATTCATGCTGGGTATCGGTGCTCTCATGGCAGGTTGGATCACCTGGGGGACCAACAAGAACTACGACGATGACAGGCAATGGCGCATTGCCCTGGGAATCCAACTAATGCCCGCCGCGATCCTTGCCGCTCTCATCCTGCTCTTCCCCGAGTCACCACGCTGGCTCGTCGACCATGGTCGCGGCGAGGAGGGTCTCAGGACTCTGGCCAAGCTCCATGCGCATGGCGACGTCAATGATGCCTTTGTCCAGGCCGAGTACGCTGCGATCCAAGAGACGATTGCTTTCGAGCATGAACACGAGGCCAAGTCGTACAAGGAGCTCTTTGTGAATCGGTCCGCCTTCCGCAGACTCTTCATTGCCTGCGCCCTTCAAGCCTCGGTCCAAATGACTGGTGTTTCAGCAATCCAGTATTTTTCCGTAGCCATCTTTGAGCAGATTGGTATCAGCAGCGGAAACGCTCTCAAGTACCAGGCCATCAACTCCATCCTCGCCCTGCTTGCTCAGGCCGCCTGTATCCTGACCATTGACCGCTTCGGCCGTCGCTGGCCTCTGATCATTGGCAATCTCACCAACTGCCTCATGTTTTTGATCGCCACGATCCTCCTCGCTGTCTTCCCACCTTCCACTGATGGCTCTGGCTCTGGTTCTGCCGGTTGGGGTTTCATCATTGTAACCTGGCTGTACAACATTTCCTTTTCGTACTCGTGCGGCCCTCTGTCGTGGATCATCCCGGCCGAGATCTTTGACACTCACACGCGGTCCAAGGGCGTGTCGATTGCGACCATGACCTCGTTTGCCTTCAACACCATGATTGGGCAGGTGACAGATATTGCCATTCGCAACGTCGGCGGCTGGCACTACTTTATCGTCTTTGTCGTGTGCAACTTTACCAACGCCATCTTCTTTTGGCTCATTCTGCCCGAGACCCGGCGCGTACCCCTCGAGCACATGAACGAGCTCTTCTCAAAGGCCCCATGGATCGTTGTTGGCACCGACAAGAGCCAGTATGTAGGCGGTCTCGACACTGACCTCGAAAGGCGCGCTGCCCAGGTCAAGGAGAAGAGCGACGATGTGAGGGAGCACCACGAGGAGAAGGATACTGTGGCACCCTGAGAACAAGCTTGGGGTCAAGAAAGATGACTGTTTTGTATGTTGACTGGCAAGATTAGCATTGTCACAAGATGCTATCTAGTGCGGCTGCTGTGACAATATGCCATCATCTTAATGGCGTGTTATATTGGTTAGCTCAACACAAGGTATATAATAAATGCATGACTCACCAGACAGATTTTATCATCACATGTTACCATAGTGCATGAATGATTTCACGTAAACCAATTCAGTAGCTACACGCAATAACAACTCAAGATATGAAAGTAATATTTTCCCAGCAATCGATTCATACAACATAACTCTAGTAACTTAGGATATATCATCAAAAATCAAAACATCACATTCTCCAACCAAATCAACGTCTCTTTCAACACCCTACAAAATCTTCTCAGTGGAACTGGTCCTCGGTAACACCCTTGCCCATGGCACTGGTGCTCGAGATGCCACCCGTCACCATTTTGAGGAGCTCATCACTATAATTGGCACCGCTCCACTTTTGGTGCTTGACCACGTCGACGCCGCCGTCCATTTCGGGCTCCTGGACGAGCTCGCCGTAGGCGCGCATGCCGTTCTTGGCATAGGCGCGGGCAAACTGGTCGCTAATGAGCGCCGTCGTGTGCAGGCCGGCCAGCGTGATGAACTGCCAGCAGTAGCCCAGCGACGCCAGACGGCGAATGTACGTCTCTTGCTCGTTGCTCGGCATCGCTGATTTCCAGTTGAACGAGGGCGAGAGGTTGTAGGCCAGCCTAAAGAAGAGAGAAAATGTTAGAGATCATACTTTTCCCGCAAACCAGAAAAACCGAGATACGAATCAACTTACTTTTGCTCTGGCCAGACGGCGTGGACACCATTGGCAAATTCCTGCGCCTGCTTGAAGTCGGGCAGCTTACTCTCCATCCAAATGGCATCGCAGTAGGGGGCATAGGCGACGGCACGGTTAATGGCGCAATCGCAGCCGCCCTTGAGACGGTAGTAGCCCTCGCGGGTGCGGGGTGCGTCCCAGTCGAAAAAGACATTAACCTTGGCGATGCCCTGGGCAATGGCCTTGGCCTCGTTGTGGCTCTTGCCCTTGGCCTGGGCCAGGTACTGCTGAACCAACTCCTTCTTGTTGGGCAGGGCGCCGCCGTTGATGGCATCGACGACGGCCTCATCGAAGCGCTTCAGTCCGGCCTGCTGCAACCAGGCGTCCTCAATGGCCTGGAGCTGGTCGCCCGTCTTGCCGGAGCGCTCAGCTGCCACCATGAGGTCGTTGAGCGGCTGCAGGTTCGGGTTGGTGCTGCCCATGATGAAGGCGTGGTCACGCGGGTCAATGGTGGTGGTGATGAGCGTGGCTGCCTCGGCATCCGTGCGGGCGACGGCGAGCAAGTCGCTGCCCATGATGTCGGCCTGAGCCCGGATGGCGACTAGGCGGTTAATGTGCTCGCTGATGGGCACGAGGACCTTTCCGGCCATGTGACCGCACTTCTTGGTTCCTGGTGCTTGATCTTCAATATGTATACCAGCGGCACCGCTCTCGACAAAAAGCTTGGTCAGCTTCATAACTGCGGTCAGACCGCCGTGACCAGTATCCGCATCTGCAATAATCGGCCGGAGGTAGTCAATATTCTGGAGATTGGTGCGAGCTGACTTGGGCACGCTCAGGCGTTCGTTTCTCTGCTTTCGGTCGTGGAAAAGCTGGGCCATGAAGAGATGCTTCACTTTATTTGGGACAGTCGTCTAATTGGCTTGGGTCAGCTTCGGATTGTTCTTATATTGAAGACAAGGTATATATAAGCGACTTACGTAGGGGTAGTCAGCTAGATCAGGGCCAGGCTCGTCGGAGGATGAGGCCGTCGAAGATGATTGCCAACCAGAGACATAGACTGTATCCAAGTACTTGGCCATTTGCGTGACCATGGTCGGTTCTAAGCAACCATAGGTATAACTGGCATCACGGCTCTAAAGCAGGGTCAGCACAGGGCATATTTGTCAATTGGTATTTTCTCGTGCATGTATATGGCATACCTGGAATCGGCCTTCGAGGATTTTCCAAAGCTTCTTGGACTGAGCATTGCTGGGGTATTCCACCTTGAGGTGACCTCTCTTGGAGACAATCTGCTCTGCGGTAAACGGTCTCTTGGTGTATCTCCACCTGGAATCACTCCACCACTTCTTGACGGCTTCGACTTCTTGGGCGAAGAGGTCATCTTCGATGTTGGGGTCAATGCCCGGGTTGATCATATTGTTGGAGGCCATGGTTGCAGAGTGTTGTAGACTAAACGGAGAGGCGTTACAGTATGCAACAATATCAAGAACAACCAATAAGTAGTATGACGAAGGAGGGGCGTTGGGTGGATGGCCAAGCTGTTTAGCAATATATAATAGAGCAGACAAATTACCCAATTCTGGATTATAGCTAACAAACTATATTCAAAGCAATGGTCACTCGCAAGAATGGGCCAAGATGAAGAGGAATATGAGAAGTAGTAATAAGAAAGAAGATAAGAAAACAAACCGTAGCTGAAGGAGAAGATCTCTAGTCATTACCTACCCAAGAGCTGTTTCGACTTACAGCCGATGCTTAGGAAGGGCCGGGAAAGATCGGTCGAGCGGCTGTGACCCAAGAATGTTTTCGGAAGCCCTGCTCTTGCACGCCATGACTCCCACCAGGCCGCCCTATTGGGGGGCAGCAGTGTCCATGTGCTTGGGAGCTGGACAAGACTTACCACGCTCCTCTTGGGTCCTAGTCTGAGCTTGTGGTAGCGGGTACCAAGAGTTTACACCTCGGCGACGTGGGAGATGGCCTCTGATCGTAGAGGCTCATGTCTTGCTGCACGACAAGCCGGCCCAAAGGCGTCTTAGTCAGGTCGTGGTCTTTGCCGTCATTGGCCGAGATGCCGAAGCATGGAACTGGCCCATGGCATTTGGCGTCTGGCCACCCCGCATTATTGGGGGAAAAAGCCGGGGCTGCCGCCCTGTCCTGTCCCCTTCTGGCTCTGCCTCTTGGTTCTCTGCTGGCATTTGACAATGACGAAAGTCTGACTGTCTGAAAAAGATTCCGCTGCGATTCCGAGGATTTTGGAGCCCCCCTTAGTGTAGATTCCATAGACGGGTCCTCGAGTGGGTCAATCTATTATCGTGCGGCTACATAGGTACGTATTCTCCCGTCTTGCCGGGGATAAAGAACAGCAGTGGTAGGTAGGTATCAATGACTGTACTAGATCAGATCTCGTCGCTACACAGTAGGTCCGGTACTGCCAGTCCAATTGAACGACACCACATCTCTCTTGGAGCCATATTGAGATCCATCCAGGTCAATTGGCGACTGCGTCAGTGTCTTTGTGTCGATATGTGATGTCACCTTAAAAAAAAAAAAGTCGCATGCAGGTGTCAAACGGCATCATTTTTCGTGGTAGAGTTTTGGCATGTGAAAACGTACCCTCCTCCCCTCCATGCTTGAATGTGCACGCGACTGGGGAAATCGAGAAATTGCCCGAAAGGGTCAGTCCCTAGCCATATGATTGGCCGTATCGCTGCCTCGGCTCGCTACGGCTAAGTCAGTACGGTAGGGGACTACGCGGTACCTGTCAAACAATTGCAAACGTCGAAACTCAAAAATTCGAGTCTATCCATGGGCATTGTCACATGGGCCGGGCGTGCATCGAGCCATGACTCCCAGTCGACGTGGATTTTACCTTCAAGGCCATTTAATGGGCCGAAAGTTGAACGCTGGCTTACTTGCACACTTACCAAAAATGCTGCCAAGCGCTATACATGTGCGTTACAAAAATAGAGGGTCATTGACCTATGCTGTGCATACAATACAATACAATACTAGAGAACATTGGTAATCACTATTTAGCAGGTACGTCGTCCGTTGAGGAGTGCAGAACTCGATAGAATTGATGATCAACGCCTAGTGTGTCTGTGATGCAGAATATGCCTCGCGTTGTTTGAAAAGGCGAGTGTAGCTGGATTCTTGTGTGGTTCCATCTATTCCCAGTACGGTTGCAAACTAAAATGAGGTTTGCTCACCCTCCAAAGCCCACGATGCATGTTGCTTCCAATATATGGCTGGTCGCTCGACACTCCGCCAAGGTTCAGTGAATGCTTGGACTTGAAGACACACTGGTAGTGAGGGCGCAGCTGGATGCGCACTTCACACTGCAAAGTATGAGACAAGTCCCAGAAGATTACTAGGACAGTTCTTCAAGGATCTTTGCCTCCTTCTGCTCCTGCGCTCTCTGGTAAGAGTCCCACGGTGTCAAGGCACCGAGTGCACGCTTCATCTCCGTGTTGACAAACTGCAAGCCATAGACGTAACTGGCATTGACCCAGCCGAAGCTGATAGAGAGCTGTTAGTAAATCTTGGAAAAGAGAACAGGATCACGAATCACTCACCCTTCTTTGGCAACGCCCTTGAAGTTCAGGCCTTGGTTGCCGTACTCTGCGTCAACTCGGTGGGGGTCGATGGGCCGTGTAACATCGTACTTTTCAACAACGACTCCGTTGTAGTCAAAGAATGCTTTGGTAATCATGAAAAGCCACTTGTATGAGAGCCTTTGCGCTACTTCGTGGTAACCATAACGGTACAGGCCGGTCCAGGCAAGCATCTGCTGTGGTGCCCATCCATATGGATAGTCCCACTGTCGGTTCGGTCGCTCGAGACTGATTTCACCTCGAGACTTCTCCGTACCAGACAAGAGTCCGCCGTACGCCTCAAACTTGGGAAGGGCCTTCTGCACCACTTTGGCAGCCTTGTCCGGGTCAGGAACTCCAGCCCATAGCGGCCAGAACGTGGTGCAACTCTCGTATGTGCTTTGTTCTTGCTTGACAGTGTCATAGTCAAAGTACATACCCTCCTCCTCATTCCACATGTACTTGTGGATAGCAGCTCGACGTCTCTTCCATCTGCGATCCCAGATCGCTGATGTTTCCACTTGGCCGGCGGACATGGAGCCACCGCACCATTCGGCGGGGATAGTCAAGCTATCACCAAAGACGTTGCGGATGGTTCGGGAAATATCCATCTCGTACTTGTATATCAATGAGTTGAGATCAATGGTTGCGAGGTTAGCGCACACCCTCTCAAGTCTGTAGGAAGTATCGTGACCAGATTCTCGTACAGCTCGATCGTGCAAAAAGTACTCGTCCAGTTCCGGTTCAAGAATTTCGCCATGGTTGTAAGCACGGATAAACTCTTTGAAACCCAGACCGTGCTTCTTTGCATACGGGTTCAAGAGGTGCACGAAGTGGTCTGCTTCGGTCTCTGGCGGGACACCACGACCTTCGGGGCGGTATCTCGAGAGACCGGATTTTGGATCAAATCTTGGCTCTGCCATCCAGACGCAATAATACTCCTTGATTGCAGCCAAAAGAGCAGTACGCAAAAAGTCAATGGCACCAGGTTCGTGCTTGATCTTTTCGTACACTCGCAGTGCCATGTCGGTCAAGAAGGGTGGCTGAGATCGGGTGAGGTAGTATGATCGGGTGGCATTGAGAATCTTTCCATAATGTCTGATGCAGAAACAGAAGTTCTGTACCATGGCCTTGGCCAAATGCACCTTGTCATTTACGAGAAGGCCTAGAGACTCCATGTAACTGTCCCAGCCGTACAGCTCGTTGAAACGACCGCCAGGAACAACGAATGGTAGACCCCTGAGCTTCTTTTCGCCAGTGACAGGATCGGTGAACTCTTCCATTTCAGTAGCCAGGAGACCAGGCGCATCATTGAGGCCGACAACATAGTCGGGCGTGATAACCTCGGGAAGTACCTGAACGTCCAGACGGAGGTCGGGGTAATCGCGAGCAATGTTGCGGTAGTATTCGATCTGCTCAGGTGCAGCGGGAGGCACGTAGATACGCGGGCGCGGATCATCAGTCCAGTCCTTTGGATCTTTAGCAGCAATCTCGACAGTGCTCGCATCAATGCGTCTTGTCAATCCGTCCCAGAATTGATCCTTGATCAAGCGAGACAATCTGCTCACGGGATTCTCGTTGAGCCGTCCAATATCCAGAATAACCTGCTTCCGGCCAAACTCCTTGGCCATGTAGAGCTCCTGCAGAAGATTGGAGAGCATGTAAGTTCCGCGAATGTCGAAACGGTTGTGCCCACCCGAAGCTGCCGTTCTGAGAGTAATGACTTTGGGACCAGTGTCTTCGATGGTAATCTGCATGTTTCCGTCGGTGTCCTCCTGTGCTTGCAAACTTTCAAGGGTTTGATCGACGTTGACCAGGAATTGGCGCGCGTGAGGTCTGCTTGCCTCGTCTGGTGAGAATAGTCAGTCGATAATGAACGCAGCTGTGGAGAAGTATATAGCGGTAATAACTTACCATGACTTCCTCTTCGATGGGGTTCAACGAGCCCCAGACGCTCCATTTGTTGGTTCAGGCCATTCTATTGTCAATGATTAGCTGCAGTCGTAAAGATGCACCTTGTAATGTGAAGTTAATACTCACTTGGGAGTAGGTGCGGGCTCGGTGGTGAGCCCCGCCATGCCTCGAGTCGGATTTGTAATATGTTGCAGCATCATCGTATACACCAAGATCTTCGGGCGTAAAGATGGAGTCTTTTCGAATGGACTTGGAAGGCAGTACGCCAGGCTCAACTGGCTTGAGGAGATCTTCCTTGGTCGGTGCCTCCATGGTTGCAAACTGTGCACGAAAGCGCTGCACGATGTGTATGGCTAAATTTAATGCTTCGAGTGATAGTCAATTGCGTAAGCCGTTGCGCCAGAGGAGAAAGGATCAAGATCGAGATCGATCCAATGGCTTTGTTGTTGTTGTTGTTGTCAGGACTCGATGGATCTTGGGGACAAGAGAGATGAAACTCGATGGCGGAGGAACTCGAGTTCGAATGCCACTCGGAATGCTGGGCAATACAGCTTATCGAGCTATGTGGAAGCTTTGGAGGGATAATGTTGGTCGCAGAGCGGCTCTAGGACAACCGAGGTCGGATCGTGAAGTATCGCTGCGACCGAACAGAAGGTTGTCGAGATGAATTGAGTCTATGCTATGCTGGAGCTTATGTCAGGGAGACAAAGGAGAAAAGGTTGACCGCCACTGGCTTGAACGCTCACGAGAGGGCGAGTGGCGGGGGAGGGGCTCGCAGAGATAAGTAAAGAAGGATGGATGGATGCAGAGAAGCAGGGGCCTTCTTGAGACTGTCTCTTCTTGTTAGGAGCGATCAACACTGACAGGGCCAAGAAAAAAAAGTTTGTGCAGAGAAGACAGACAAATGCCAGTGTCCGTTCGTATTGTTTTAGCAAACACGAGATGGTTTCACGATAGCTGCCTTTTTTTCAAATGACAATGAGTTTGGAGGGGTAGAAAATAAAAAAATCAAAGTCGACAGAAGTGAGAAACTGCCAAAAGTCTGATTGAATTGAGAATGATATCATCGGGGACCGCTCTTTCCTCTCGCTCGCGCTGGAGCTCTTTTCCATCGGGGCCTCCACTCAATGACGCCAATTTGTGGGTATATTTCTACAGAAGGCAGCTCGTGAGCCTCCAGAGAGGCATCTCTTGGACGATTGTGCTGTTCACGAGCTCATTTTTTGCAGGCCCAACGGCATCTTTTGTTCCTATCGATTCAGTGTTATTATTATACTTTGCAGTTATTGGTAGCTAAGGTAGCTAAGGGAGCCGTGGTAGGTGAATGACTTTGCTTCTTTTGTCCGAGTCAGTGGGCGCGGCACCGGCGTGCGATAGGGAAACTGTCTCAATGGCCATTGTCTACACATTAACCTGCCTGCCCATTGCCCGAAGGCTTCCTGCTGATGGTAATCAGCCATATGTAAGCAATTTTCAATGATTTTCAGCGTCAATATCTCTGCTTATCAGAGGTTGCGTTTCACATTTTCCGACTTGAAAAGCAGATCTGACCGTATGCATCTCCCTAGAGCGATTGAACAATGATAAGACGCCGCACTGGGTAGTGGTTCGCCTCTCTCAATAGTCCTTACATGGTGGATCTGACATACAATAGTACCCTGACCTCAACCTCAGCTTACATGTTATATTATTTGGTCAAAATTTGTAGAATTCAATTCTCGAGCAGACGTTCCTCGTGATCTCGAAAACATCATCACAGCCTTCTGCTTAGCCCTAATGCACTTCATCTGACGGTGTGACCCCCCACTGTAACACAACATCAGAACGAACCAATAGGCTTGTGTTTGCATCCGGTCCCCGGGCGCACCCTCAGCATCTCCGACAGGGACTTTTACTGGTCTGCCTCATGATATTCGGCCGGACGGGCTGACGGCTACTTGCTCACCCGCCGGCTTGAGAACAAGAATGGGCGAAAGTTTAAGGTGTAACTGACTCTGTATAAGATTTGGTGTTACAGGAACAGTAGACGGGAACGGCATCGTTATGTAACATTAAGTCGGCTATGATTGATAAGTCCGATAATTAAGGAGGCTCAGTCAGGTTGATCCCATACTTAAGTAAAGGTCTTGTAGTCCAGACAATGTAACATGAAACAATCTGTCCTTTTGGTTGGCATGGCTAGATATTTGTGCCGATGTTATTTCAGGATGAGGAACTCATATATGGGTCACATCCGCCTCATATGCCGGCCATGGCCTATACAACTGTAAATGCAGTCCCGAGTGATTGCTTGTCTGCTGCTTTGTACGATCCCAGTGGAGGGGAAATTGATGAAATGCACATTTCATATCTGCAGTCATCCGGAAATAATTAGTCTGATTGGCTGAGACGGAGCAATACCGTAGTTTGACTATCATGTTTATTTCTGGTTTTAATCTGGTTTTGCTTCCAAGGAGAATTCCACGGACCTTTATGATTGGACTAGCAAGTCTGAAAATCGCGAGCCGACTTTCATGCAAAGAGATGAAGGAATGCAAGAATAAAGAAACGGGGATAAATAAATTTAGAGTAGCATTCCCGTGCTTCGTGGCATTCTTGGAGATCAATCACATCGAAAGTCTCCAATTTGACTGTTTATGAAGATGCTGGGGGTTGGGGTGGACGGAATACCTACTAGGTACGAATATAGCAGCAATCCCACTTCAATAAATTAAATCTGAAAATTCGTCTGTCACGTAATGATTCTATGCAATCCTGAGTAGAAATCTTCTCCATTGAATTTTTTTTGGTTTCTTTGGTACAGTTGAATCATTCATCTCAAAATCTCTCTCAGTGCTTGGCGGAGCTAGGCTCTTTTTGATTCGTCTATCATTAGGTATATATATTGAGGCCCGTCCAATATGGCTTCACGTTGCGCGCGCAGTAATTCTTGGCAGGTTGGCAGGCTCTGATGATTCTGGCATATGCATCTTGCCAATACAAGATATGATGCCGTGACCGAGGCAGGCAAGCAATTCACGGTAAGCCTCAATCTACGAATCTCGACAGGAATGGAAGCGGCAATTGTCTCTTCCGGGACGATATCCTGTTGATGGTGGAAAGAGACATTCGCGGTGCCATCTCTCAAAGTCTAGAACGTGTCAGTAAAAGACGAGAATGGAAATGCATCCGCAATCTTCAGACATTCAGTGAAGCTGAAATCGCAAAAAATGGCACCACTTGGACGAAAAGGGAGAGCTGAAAAACTGATCGACCATTCTCCACTCTGGATATCGGGAAGAAGCATCGCAGTACCGCCGAGATGGGAACAAGAGATAGCAATAAAAGATAGCAGTAGATGGCGATTGTTTGCAGCTGAAAGGTGGTGATGAGCTGGCAATGGATAAGGCAGGGCCCTTTTAGGTACGGGCGCCACACACAAGTTTGAACGCATGCTTCAAGGCAAGCTCAACGGCAGTGATGCGGCCATGGGGGAACCTTAAAGAGGCCGAGGACCCAATATCTACCCACAGCTACCCTAGCCGAGTCCATGGCATTTATTGTTTCCGTGGTTAGTAGGCTATTAATGGAGCCCAGCCCAGGTTGACCAGACTACTTGCGGCTCACTACTGCTGCAAGAGTCTAATAGGTATCATGCAGGTTGCCTGCGAGGCAGGGTATCAGGAAACGAAATCAGACTGGTGAGATTTGCTAACTAGAGGCCAGAGCCTACCCCCATGTCTCTCAATTGTGGTCGAGAACTTCTATTGTATCGTGCTCTCCGAGCTGGACTTGTCTTACCTGACTCAATCGACGTGAAGGTCATACCGCAACGGTGACCCAACTGAGAGGATGTGTTTCATGAATGCTCTTTCTTTCATGTGGACCATGTGCACTGCTGGCTATCTACCTATGAGCTCAAAAGAAAAAAAAACGGCGCTTCACCGCACCGAAAGAGGTTCAATGTCTGTGTTGGGATGTAGACCTGGGATATCGGCGCCAGCCGCATGCTCATTAAAGGCGGTATCTTTGATAATGCTCCATATGCACTGCGCGCGCACACAATTATTTGCTGATGCAAGAGCTTATTGACCATTGTTATTCGAGGTTTTGCGCCCCCGACCCAGAAGTCGACCTATGTGTAGGGTGGCATCGCAGCTTGAAATGAGATAGCTGCAGCAGCGAGAGAAGCGTCGCAGAACTAGATAATGACTTACGCCCAAAGATCACATCATCCTCGCATCCGCTGACCCAGGAAAGAACAGATGAGCGAGCTTTGATACTCTCGCCGGTGGTCTAAAACTTTAGGATAGAGAACTAGGCAAATAAACAAAGTACTACTACCACCAACTACCGACTACTATATCGCGCTCAAGCGGCTCAGGAACGCTTCAGTTTGAAATGGTGAGTTTAGGTGGTGTAAGTGCACAAAAAAGTGGCGATCCGGGAAGGGCCCGATAGAGTTTGGACGCTAATAAGCGACGGCGCGACCGCGCAGGGCCTGCTGCTGCTTTGCTGCTGCTGCTCAATGTTTCTTGGGTCTGGATCAGCAAGCTTCTTCTCTGCTCTCTGTTGGGCCTTGGCAGTTTTCGGAACTCTCACCACATTGGATAACACTCGAGAGTGGCCTCGTATTCCCTAGGTACAGTACTCGCTACTGCATCTCGCAGCACCCTGGCAGCCTGTCAGACATTGTAATGGCCCATCTCCCAGGGTATTGGCCAGTCATGGTCTCAGCCCATCTCGACAAACAGAGCTTCGTGCGTTTGGCCCTAGCTTACATCTTCAGGTCAAGGGATCCGCCTAAGTAAGTGTCTAGGTTAGGTGAAAGAGGCTTCTTCTTCTACTATTACCACCACCGTTCGTGGAGCGCTCATTTGGCTCGATGACTCGAGGTACTATAATTGATTCTATAATCATGACGACATAATCGTTTGTCCTGCTCCAGGTTCGTTCTTGATTCATGCTGACATTTTGAGTGCGGGCAAAGCTGTCAGCATTCTATTCTCCGATCAGCGACGAGACGTGGGATGCTTGTTTTTGGCGTTGCATCTAGAAGGACTTGGCCTTTTCGTATCGTGGTCATCCTCGCCCTCCTTCAGGCATGGACGGCCTTCGGAAATCCAATCAGCCAGTTGATCAGCCTGGCGTGATCTAGCGACGCTTGCAGCATGCAGGATTAGCTTTCAGGGCATGTTTGCCGTGCTCGTACCGCTGTGCCTGGTGCATGCATTGTCTACGGGCTACATTCAGCTTAAATTTTTTTTTTCCGCCGTCAGCACACATGAAGAACGGATCTCCTTCTCTTTTGGCTAGGTCATTATCCTTCTATTGAAGCACCATTACAGGACACGCTCCAAGTGTATACTCTTGGAGCGAAGAAGTATGCTTAACTCCCTAAGGTAGGCATGCGTAGTAGTATGTCTCGCGCATGCCTGGGGAGGCAAACCAAAGTTGGCCTTATCTCGACCTAAGATGGTGGACTGTCTCGCAATTTTCGCACCTCCCGAGATGGTATTGTAGAGCTTGGAGTCTTGCCAGCCTCTCATCTTATGTCATTGCGTCGCTGAGGTTACAGCGTGTGGCTGCCCTACCATCAGCGACGTGGTTGTCATCATTATATTTCCTGCACCAGATCTGATGATGGGAAGCATCTGTACTGGTACTTCCGCACATGTTCCACCAGTCAACCAGCACGGTCCCATATCTCGGTGCCATACCTGACCACCCCTGTCCCTAGTGGGGGGCTTTGTATTGGATGTACACAATATATCGCCGCTGGCTGGACCCTTTTGGTGTCCCTTGCAAGCAGAGTATTTACTAGCTTATCGTGTTTTCAGCAGAGACTAGACGAGGACCTGGCCGGGTTGCCGGAGCCTGAGAGGGAAAAAAAAGCGCCGGCGTCTATTACCATTATTCTGTGCGTATCCAGACCATGATAGGCAATAGGGCGCCAATAGACCGGGACGTCCGCCGCCTATGCCCCCCCGGAGCATGTAGCTTTCTGGTCGAGGTGCGTCTGGGCGGGTTATATCCATGTATCTATGAAGAAGGTCCTGCCAACAGCCCAATGATTTAGTTTCGAGATAATCCTCCCCTCCTCCTTCCCATCCTTCTGTCGTTGTTACTGTTTTCACGAGTGCCATCCTGCCTCGACGGCATAACACTGGAAAGTGTTTTTTTGTCCATCTTTCATTGCATTTGCCTTCTTTCGTTCATAGCAACTTGCGATTCAAAGTAGACAACATGGGCCTCAAGTCATACTTTACTCCCGGCAAGGGGGCCAACGCGAAGGAGGAAGAAAAGGGACATGTCAAGACGATATCGATCACCGACACCGCTGCCATGGCCATGACCGATGTTGGTCCGTCTGGAAAGACGAGTCCTCCTCTTCCCAGGCCTACTCCTATCCCTGGAACACCCGACCTGCTGACCCCCAGCGGTAACGGCAGTCCTTATGGTTCTCGTCCAGGCTCGATCTATTCTCGGCGAACACTCTACCCAGCCGGTGACTTTCGAAACACGGCAAGAGACAGTCTGCTTGATGTCAAGACAGATGTCATGTGCAGCTGGCTCTATCAACGACAAATGGAGAAACAATACGTGACTGGTATGCTCCCGGGTGAAGGAGTAGTTATCAAGAAGGGAAAGAACAATTATACTTGTTGCCCACCACAGCTCCGAGACTTGCCAGGAAACCTGCATGACATGGCTATGCAACTCAACGTCCGAGTAGGTCTCTCAGATTTCGCGACTACTAAGCTTTTGATCAGTTCTAACAATACATCAAGTGTGCCATGACGGTAAATACCAGAGTTGTCAATGTAATTCTGAGCTCCAGGAGAAGCGCGTTCGATTACATCCCCTTGCCCGATGGCCTCCGATTGCAGGTCCTGGCAACCATGACCGACCTTCCCCGCTGCCAAAAGCATCACTTTGCTGCTTTTATTCAGGATTCCGGCATACTAGTCGTCTGGGAAGACGAGCCTCAAAAACTGCTGCCCAGAGCAGAAGCTATTGAGCGACAGTTGATGAGAATGATCTGGGGCACTGGCAACGATGAAGACGAGGATGATGAGAAGAATCAGGTCGAGGTTGGCGTATCGGCCGTCGATCTCGAAGCTTCCCTCGATGGGGAGGTCAGGAAGACCAAGCTGACCAGCGCCATGATTGTCGGACTCACAATGGCACTTTCGATTACTTGCGTCGGTGTAGGTCTCCGCAATATCGTATACGAGCTCTCTGTGGACGGCTCCTATACCCGACTGGCTCTTCTTGCTGTGGTCCCTGTGCAGATCTTTATCTCTCTGTTCTTCTTCCAGACAATCATTGTCAACTTATTCGAGGTCTTTGGGCCCATTTCTGCTGTGGACAAGAATTCCAAATACTATTCAGGAAAGGCACCAAGACGTTTGGACCGCAACTTCACTGCCCTGCCTCACGTTACAATTCAGATGCCTGTCTACAAGGAGGGTCTCAACGGTGTCATCAAGCCCACGATCGCCTCAGTCAAGCAGGCCATTTCAACCTATGAGATGCAAGGTGGCACGGCCAATATCTTCATTAATGATGATGGTATGCAATTGATTACTGAGGAGCAGGCCGAGGCGCGCCGTGAGTTCTACGAGGAAAACAACATTGGCTGGGTGTCCAGACCCAAGCACAACCCCAAGCCTGCCGAGGGTGAAAGCGTTTTCCTGCGACGAGGAAAATTCAAGAAGGCCTCGAACATGAACTACGCCCTGATGGTCAGCAACCGTGTCGAAGATAAACTGCTTCAAGTCTCACGTGCACCGACCTGGTCTCAGGATGACGAAAACGCAGCTTACAACCAGTGCCTCGACGAGGTCATTCAGGAGGATGAGGGCCGAACCTGGGCTGAAGGCAACATTCGCGTTGGCGACTACATTCTGATCATTGATTCTGACACACGTGTGCCTGGGGACTGTCTTCTGGATGCTGTCAGCGAAATGGAGCAATCACCCGAGGTGGCCATCTTGCAGTTTACGTCGGGCGTCATGCAAGTCAGCACCTCGTTTTTCGAAAGTGGTGTCACTTGGTTTACACAGCTCATCTACTCGGCCATCACCTTCACCGTCGCCAATGGAGATGCCTGCCCGTTTGTCGGCCACAATGCCATGTTGCGGTGGTCAGCTATCCAAGATGCCGTCGCCTACCAGGACGAGGATGGTTACGAAAAGTACTGGTCTGAGTCTCACGTGTCCGAGGATTTCGAAATATCCATGCAGCTTCAATGCGCAGGCTACACCCTACGCTTCGCCGGGTACACTGGGGATGGCTTCAAGGAGGGCGTCTCTCTTACTGTGTACGACGAACTGGCCAGATGGGAGAAATATGCCTACGGCTGTAACGAGCTCCTGTTCCATCCTCTTCGATACTGGATCACTCGCGGCCCCTTTACCCCCTTGTTTAGAAGATTCATCGGCTCGTCCATCGCCCTCCCCAAGAAGCTCACTATTCTTGCTTACATCGGTACCTACTACGCCATTGGTGCTGCTTGGCCGCTCACTTTGTTGAACTACTTCATTTCTGGATGGTTCTTTGGATTGCTGGACAAGTTTTACCTTGATTCGTTTGCTATCTATGTCTCGATCATTGTCGTATTCACAGCTTTTGGCAACTTTGCTCTTGCAATTCTCCGATACAGACTCAATGAGCAAGGACTGCTCGCAGCCTGTAAGTTGACCCCTTATACGTCATCCAAACGATGATGGCGCAAACACAGAGATGCTAACACCCATTATCTAGTTTGGAACAATATGAAGTGGATTCCCATGTTCACCATCTTCCTCGGCGGCATCCAGCTGCATGTGTCACAGGCTCTCTTGTCGCACTTCTTCGGCATTGAGATGAACTGGGGCGCCACGGCCAAGGAAATTGAAGACGTCAACTTTGTCGAGGAGATTCCGAGACTGCTCAAGCGATTCAAGGGTACCTTTATCTTTGTTCTCCTTATGACCGCCCTTATGGTTTGCGGTTCCTTTGTCTTTCCATACCAATGGCGCATCAACGACTTTGCGGCCATCTGGCCACTGGGAAGCTGCACGATCACGCACTTCTTGCTGCCAGTGGCGCTCAACCCTGCCCTGATGGTGTTTGCCTGGTAGTTTTTCGGATAAAGCTACTGTGTTCCCAATTATGGGCGAGGAGGGAGAATATACATAATGTGTATGAATGTCGTTACGAGCTTTGCGCGGCGTTTGGGCTTAATGGATAGAGTTTGGGCAGGATAGACAATGGTTGTCACATGAAAGGATACCATCAACTTGGATGTTTAGTAATGATGTCTCTCATTTTACCCACATTCTCAATATATTGAATAAATTTATACTCTTTTTTTTCAGTCATTTGGCTTATATATAAAAAGAAGAATGTCTTATCGCCATCAGTGAAGCAAGTACCCAACTCTGATCTCGGATGCGAGGAGAAAAAGCTTCGGAACACATACGGAAGAGCACTCCATATATCAATTGCAAATGCGGTCAGCTACTCCAAGCGGTATCGCAGTCCGATCTCATCACAAACGCACATGCCAATTTCAAGTTTTCACGATCTATAGCTGTGCATTTCCGAAGATCGCTGGCAAGCGCTGATCATGGAAGAATCTTTGACTCCATTCATCCATGCTAGAAAAGGGACCCCAATTTGACGATTTTGTAGCGCATCGTGGATCTTTTGTGTAAGTCCTAAACCCAAATGGTGACGCGAGACGTTCAAGGTCCGGCATGTTCTTGACAAAGAGAAACTCCCAAAGGAGCCAAACAAAGCTTGAGCACCAAGACGCTACTGGGGAGAAACGTCAACCTCCATGCACATGACACGATGTCTTTTTGAAGGCAATAGCCGAAGCGAAGCGGTCCTTGTTAGGAGAGAAAAGGGACTTTGACTGTTCATAGTTTGCGAGTGTTCTGTCTTGGTACCTGAGGGGACGGGAAAGAGCTCCAATGTTTTTGGCGTCTTTGGCGTCCTTCAGCTGCTAAGTTCCCCCACCTCTCGGCGGAATCAACGGATCAGATAACGGCAGGGCGGGTCTCAACCACCCCCAGCTTGTCCACTGGCGCCAGAGGCCCCTTACGTGCTCCAGGAGGGAGCTTCGTCTCCAACTTTGAGTCCAGTCTCGTTCCCACTTGCGAGCCCACCTGCCTTTACCTTCTGAGCTACCATACAAGAGCACGGCCTCCGGTTTAGGAGAGGAAGGAAGCTCTCGTCTGTTACTCCTGCTCAGCCACGAGGTTTCGGGTTTCGTGTTGCTCGAGAAATAAAAAGAGAGGCCAAGCTGTTCATGTCCTGTTTCATGCACAAGATCCAAAGAGAAATCAACCCGTCACGTCAATAAATCACCTAGTTGCATCTGTCCTTTACCATCTTTCGTTCCCACCGTTATCTTTGCCTGTGCTTATCTTACGTCAACGACAACTTACACGCAACCACTGCCAAAAGCAATGGCTATCTTTGTTGATCTCGACGACGACGACGAATCACCTTCCCTGCAGCAGGGACATCATGTATATAATCATCCAGTGCAACCGCTAGGTGTACCCCAATGGGACGGCCGGCGAGTTGCCAATGATGCTCCTATTCCACGTGTCGAGCAGTGTCTGGACACGAAGCGGCAGGACAAGAATGAGCTCTCTAGCAGCACCACCAACGACCCGGCCACAAGCCAGATTATCTTCAGGAATGCAATGACAGAGGCTCTCGGATGCTATCCGTAGGCTGGCACCCCAAATATGCTTTTCTCCCTGTCTCAACAGCAAAAAAAGCTTCACCCTTTTGCCCGGGAACCTCGCGGTCCCGGGCAAAAGGATGTAAGCCAAAACTAACACAAGGTGCAGAGTCGCGATGGCTATTGCTTCATCTCTTGACCTCATTTCACTCGACAATCTATCCCGGACCTGCCGTCAGATCCACGCATCGCTTCTGCAGTACCGCACACCCCTCAAGTCGCATACTCTCCACTGCGAGTTCGAGGACGTCGAGTTAGACCCCGATGATACCCTCCGATACCGTGCCAGAGCCGGCAACTGGTTCTACATGGAAGACATGGGGAATTCCAGCAGTAACTACAACGGCAAGAGCGGGCAATGCGCTAGGGATATGGTGGCAGAATGCCGACGCTGTGCTCGCGTTGTGTGTAGGGTAAGCACTCCCCTCTCACTGTGCCGGTTTTGAATAACTGTATCCCTCCAAAATAATGAGGATGCAATGCCCATGGGTAAATTTAGGTTCCAGAGACTGAACCCGTATTGTAGAATTGTGCTATCAAGCCACCAGCTCCGATAGTACTCCGAGACAGACATCGGCGCCTCTGCGTTCGTTGCACCAAAGCGCCGCTCGGCGCTCTTACAAAACCTCCCTTGCAAGCAACCACACCTATCGATGCAGATATCATGAAGCGAGTAGTATGCACATGCCAAAGTGAAGGTGTTTGGCTCTGTCAGCCCTGCGGTAGAAGCATTCGCGGTGCAGACAGTGACTATCAGTCGTATGAACCCCATGATTCTTGGAAAACTGTGCCCAGTAGTCTTCCATGAAAGAAGCAGGACTCACTAACCATGGAATACAGAATATGGCGCTGGCGGAATCAATATGGCGACATCATTGGCGGTGTGGGAACAGGAATTGGCGATGGCGATCGTGGAGTAATCTGCGGCCGGGAAGCTGAATGCTGCGGCGGCAAAGAACGTGAGCATGAGACCGACTGTGATGCCGCGGATGCGCGAGAGCACGTTCTGTCCAATCCAGGCACACCGCCGCCAGCAAACCCGCATCCCTTCCAGTCACAAATGACCAACAACGATACGCTGAGTCCCATGCCCTCACCCTCATCATCACCTGGCTCTCATCGTACCCCGACTCCACCACATCTCGGGCCTGGGTATTTCCGCCACGAGATTGAGGGCATTGGAGGCGTGGTCAAGACGAAGAGACTTAGTATGATTCGAGTGGGAGCCTGTGTGCCAGAATATGAGGATGAAAAGCATCGAGGAGAAATCCTGGGAAGAGAGGTTTCCGGCCAGGTAAGGAGTTGGTGTGGCTGGTGCTGGAGAGTCATCCCAGGCAAGAAGGATTATGAGAAAGGAACAGAGAGAATGGGGAAAAGCAGGACGCCCACTATCAAGGCTGATGCTTAAAGAAAAGAAAGGAGAGAACACAACCTTCAAGGCGTCACACAATCGAGATTGCTGGAATCTGGGTTTCACGGCAGGGACGCAAACGACAACATGACTGAGGCATGCTACATTCTAGGCGCAAGGTGTAGATGAGGCATTCCATGAGTGCGCATGTTTGATAATTGATTCGGATTTATACAAATGATTGACGCCCATTGTTGAAAACCAATGTGGCCTCGTTGATATACAGTGAAGGGGTGATTAGTATCTGACAGTCGATTTTGCCGCATCTATCCCCCAAACGCCATGGTCGGCAAATGCCATATGCTTTTCGCTTTCTCCTTGTTTTGTTCCGTATATCCCGATTGAGGACGTTCTGTTGTACACATGAGACACAGTTTTCGTACAGCTTCGTTCCTTGCTCCTGACTTCTCGATGAGCAACTGCTGCTACGCTTGCCCACACTCAGGCTACCCTTTTGTTCAAGACATGGTGCTGGCGCCTTCTTCAGGCTTTCCTAACTTCGAGTTCGCTTTCACTGGTCTCTCCCTGATCCTTCCTACTATAACTCGCTTCTACCCAGCATGGCTTTCCTCTTCTTGCGCTCCTCTCTCGCCTGTGTCCGGATGGGACCCCATCTGGCCTTGATGGCCTCGAGTCTCGCCTGTTCGCTGGCCTTGTGCTCGGGGCTGGCCTTGCAGCACATCATGACGAACCAGTTGGTGCAGTCAAACTTCTTGGCCAGCGCCGCGACGCTCCACTTGGTCGGGTCCAGCGCCCGGAGTGCCCGCATCTCCTCGACCTGCTCCCTCGTCACGTTTTGCTTGGGCGGGACGAAGCCGCCGTTGGTCTGGGTGCCGAGCTCTGGTGCCACCACGCCGGTCGATGCTGGTGATGACGAGGCCCGGATGATCTGCGTGAGGTTGGCCTGCCGGCGCGGGTCGGAGCGCGGCAGAAACTTGAAGGGCGTGTGGTAGACCGAGGGCGCCGACGATGGCGGATTGAAGATGATGTGGTCCTCGTTGGTCTTGCCTGCCAGGAACGACTCGTGGGGCGCAATCTTGAGGGCCTTTCTCGTCCGGGATGCCGTGGCTTGGGTTCGTTTGGCCGTCAGAGGGAGGTGCTGTGAGGCCAGACGCCTAAGCGGTTGTAGGGCCGGACGCTCCATCTTCAATGAATGTGTATGTGGGAGATGGATATCGCGGTGGATTTTGTTTCGGCGGTAGATTGGGATCCGTTGGCCGTACGTCGAGGCTCACGCAACCGCCAATTGACGAAACCTGCCTGGCTAATTTCAAAGCCAAAAAGTTCGTATGATCCCCCAAATCGTTAATTCGCCGGTTTGTATGGTTGGGAGCGCATACGGGAGATTGTTGATGGCCCGACTATCCTCGAATTCACAAATTCTCAGGAGCTCCATACCCAACCGGTGCCGCGATAGCTTCGCATGTCGGACCCAGGCAAATTTTTTGTCCGCGTCGGTCACGTGGTCGCGTCGCGATAAGAATCGTATCGTTTTATTCTGGGTCTTTAGTTTGCTCGGGTCCAGGTCTCGAGTCGGCCCCAAAGAAAAAGACCCTCGTGCTCTCTGGGTGGAGGTCCAGCTCATCTCTGCCCCACAATTGCCCGTTCTGGAAAGCTGCGCAAAAGCGAAAAAAAAAAAAGTTGGGGGTTGCGTTGCCAGCCAGCGCGTCCAAGTCTTGTTCGAGGTCAGGGATCGACACAGGCACAACCCCGAAAACGAACAGACGACATCCCCATTGCCAATCTTTGGTATTGTTTGAGAGAAAAGAGAGACTGGGCAGCCCCTCATGGTGACGTAGTGTTTCCTACTTCACAACCACAATTTAGAGTTTCATGTGGATGAAGATGCGCAGCTCTCCATGTCAGGAACGTTCTTCTTTTGGACTCGACCCAGCCGTTGGGCATATATCGCATATACCCAGGCAGCCATTGATTTTCTTTTACAAGAATTACCTCATGTTTGCTCAGGTCCAGGATTTGTTGTCGCCCCCAACCTGGTCTCCATATCACGGGGCAAAGTCACGACCAGTGACGAGATCGCTACCTGTAACAATAAAGGACTGTTCAGGCAGCTAGGTAATGACCGTAGTTGGGTGCTTTTGTTAGTCCCCAACTGATTAGTGTACCAGTAGGACGTTTCTATCGCCTGGCTGACAGTAAAGTTTGTTTGAAACAGTCGAGTCCTCATCCAGTTGTCAGATATAACACAGTCGGAGGGCACGGGATCAAGTACCTTTACTTGTTCTCTTCGCAGGCTCAACCCCCAGCCCTATAAGCTTGTTTGTGACTATATCGATGTTAGTAGTATTTCAAAGTGCTCGCTCAGCAAACGCACTGGGGGCAAGGCTTTCATCGATATTACGGGAGAATATTAGATTGCTGCACGTTGCCATCTATACATAACATGGCTGTGCAATACTGTAGTGAGGCCATAACCCTTGCCGCACCTGTACTTATTTTCAGCAACGCAACACGGGATGGGATTGATTGCATGGGCTCTTTAATGCGACCAGTAACAGGCCCAATCAGGAAGCGCCGTTCAAGGGCATCGCATGAGCCGACTCTCTGCTTTCAGTCAATGGCCGTTGTTGGCCCAATATCGAGGACCTCTGGCTGCTGCTGTGAACTTGGAAACGGCCGCTGCTGCCCCCATTCGGCGCAACAAACAGGATCTCCTCCCTCCAACGATCGTCATCTGGCCTCTGCGCCGCGCCAGGGAGTCTCTTCCCTTTTCGAATACATGCCGCTGGGCTTTCCGATAAATAGACCCTGCAAAGCCCGGTTTTTTTCTTACTACTTCACCTCATGTGATCCTGATGCTGCTGCTGTTGTATCGTGACAAAGCTTGCTTGGTCCTCAAATCTTACGATCCACTGGACTGACGAATACATAAACTGAACCCGACCTTTTGGCGACCAGCAAACGCACATATACATACCATCGCGGTTGCAGTTCACACACGCCAACACAAATACTCCCATACACACCACATAAACTCTTACTGCTGTGGCACCTTGTACTTTTGTGTTATTCACCATCTCCTCTTGGTGGGCGAAATTCCAAGCAAAAACCAATTTTCAACACAATAAACTCAACCGAATTGACTTTACGGGAAAGTCGGAGAAGAGCGAACAAGGATATTCAAATTTGCTTACGGTGTTCCCGGAATCATTCAAAGTTTGTGCCTTCTACGATACCTTTGTTGGCTCACTACTAGTTTTCGACTTACACGAAGTTTCCAGCAAATCCACCATCCCCGCCAAGGTGCTCCTGTGACAGCCGACGCGACCATCGTTGGAGGGTTCGCAAACTAGCCAAGTCTGATTGGTAGCCAGTCCTGGGTAATCCCGAGGGGGTTTTGAAAATCAAGAAGAGTCACGTATTCGCAGGCCCTTTTTTGTGTTTTCCCCTGCTCTCCAGTCCTCGATCGCTCTTATTCAAAATCCCACCATAATACCCCTCGATTGACCTGGTTCACCCCACGTCATTTCTCGACGCCAAACATCAACTTGCCCCATCTGTCTGGATCCCGGCTCCAGCATCGCGGCTTTCTTTACATCTGGAGCAGATCTCTTCGTGACCGCATTTTCACTCGCGCGTGTTACGGGGAACGCAGATCGCATCCGAGGCGACTTTTCGGCAACTGATACGTCGACTTGGGTCCTATTGCTACTGCAGAGAGTCGAAAAGACGACGACGGCGGCGACGATTTATTATTGACTCGCGTACAAATCGCTTGGGCCACCTCGACCGACCCTGCCCATCTTGCGCAACAGCTTGCTTACGGTAGGTTTTTCTCGTTCTACGTGATACTTTCATCAAAGCCGCCGATAAGTTTTCAATCTGCAAACTCGAGAAGCAGCGGTCACGCATCTCCCATCTTTTCAGCCTAGAGATCTTCAAGATTAGGGACGCCATTTGATGTATGCCATGTGCGACCTGGCTTTGGTTCCATTCCCCCACATTCGCCTTCCTCACCGTTTCAACCTAGCTCGCGGCCTTTCCGAATGATATCAGTGCCCTTGTCCTCCAAAGAAAAAAACAAATAAAAATTATTTCTCTCTGGATCTTCTCGCTGACTTGTCCATGGTCTTAGCTGTCAAAACTCAACCGCCTCAAATCTCGCTTCCGGTACACTTAAGGTTCAAACGAGTGTAAGCTTGACGCGATGAGCCTCGCACCAGCCGCAGATATACAGAAGCAGGCCTCTGCGCCTAGCTTGAGCGAACCGACGTCAACCTCGGGATCCACCCCGACTCCGACTGAGAAGGACATTGAGGGTGACAACAACAACAAGACTAAGAAGCGCAGTCTTTTTGGCTTTGGCAAGAAGAAGGCCGACGACAAGGCAAGCAGTGCTACGACTGCGAGTAAAACACCGTCCAAGGCCGAAGCCAGCATTCCCAGCCCTCCGCACACTCAAGACGCATCACAACTATCCTCGAGACGATCGACACAAACATCACCGGGCCCTATGGAAGCCCCGCACAGGATACCCTCGTCTCCAGGACGGGGTATCTATACGACTTCTCCGCACCTTACGTCTCCGGCGGGCTCCCAGATCTTTGAACGAGATGTTCAAGAAAGTGCTGCAATTCTGCCCAATTCGCCCGCTATTCCTTCTCATATCCAAGTCGAGAACCATATCCCTCCCGCACTGGATGCAACATCAGAGGCCATCACCGACGACCATCTCAACCCCGACAGCGTCGAAATCGTCACGCACGCTTCTCACCAGCCTGCCTCCGTGGCTGTTACGGGAGGCGCTCCGTATGAGACGCAATCCAGCGCGTCCTGGGTAGACGAACTCCAGTCGCTCGCAGAGAAGGAAGAAGCTGCCTCGAATTACGGCAATTTAGATGCTGCAGACGTGAGACGTCTCAGCTTCATTTCCTTTGCCGATGTGGTTCAAGCCGAACAGCACGGTGTTGCGGCGAGCAGCCGAGACTCCATGCACCTTGCCGGGCTGACCTCTGTCTCGTCTAGCGGACTCAACCGCTCGCCTTCTCCCGTGCGATCACCCATGTCATCACAGGGTCCGGAGACTTCACCACCGACAAGCAAATCAGGCTCTGTCAAGGGCGTGGAGATGTCGCCGACTCGGAAACCTTTGGGTAGCCCCAGCTCTACTCAGCACAACTTGGGCATCGGCGCGAGCAGCGACCTGAATATTGAAACCATGTCACAAGCCTTGAGACGTACAGGCAGCACGGATTTTAGCATTCATCGCAGCATGCCTGTCAGTCCCATTGAGGGCCAATCTCCACGTTAGAAGCCGGGATACCAGTTGAGACTCCCAAGTCTATTATGTGACGATCGCTTCATGACAAAAAACAACTGCTGCAGCACACTGGATTCTGCAGAAATATCGGTAGCGCAGTTGAGCACAACCTAGCCCTCTCCCTGTGACATGGTGTCGAGGAGATTTTGATTTTCAGGAGCAACAGGTGTTACTTTTTCTTTTCTTCCCACAGGGACTACGGATCATTTTCGGACCTATCAAACATTGTTGAACCTTTTTCGTACGCCCCTTTTAGGACGGTGGTCATTTTTTGGAGTCACGTACTATTCCCCCATTGCGCGTGAGAGAGGCCAAGGTTAAAGGTGTAGTTATTTCCCAAGATTGGGATATGATGGGAATTGAGGCTAAGTTGCAAATCGCATAGATAGATATCAAACTGTCTGGCGGAGGATGGCTCTTGATATGGTGGCTCTCCTTTTTTGAACAAAATTCATTAAAAAGACAATGCAAACGGCGTTGATACCAAGACTGTTTCCCTATAACTTGTCAATGGTGATACCACACCGATTAAAAAGTGACACGACAAGGCAACAGTGATGGCTGTCCGTAAAAGTACTCGGGTTGACGCTATAATTAATTCGCCAAACACTGCCAAGGAAATCTGAAAGCATGAGTCAGGTGCCCAAGACACTTTTTATATCAAGAGTCAAGACTGGCGGCCGCAATCTACAGAGTACGTACCAACTACAACAGTCAGGGCAAAGGATTTTCGTGGTCTGCTTTGGCATTTCCGATATCCTCTGCCGTATTGACAACAATCTCCGTGCTCCCCATCGCTAAGCTTTGGGCTGGAATTCGGAGGGGAACCACTTACAGCGGCAATTCCCGTCTCTTTTCGTCCGATTAATAGTGGGATAGGGAGGACGACTACATAGATCGACACGACTGGGAGCCGTTTGGCTGACAGCTCGAGGGGGGGTTACTTTTACTCCACTTACGCAGTGGCCACGGCTCTCTGTATCACTCAGCCACCAGTCGAGTTGCCAGGAGTGTGAGCTTGATGAGAGGAAGACAAGAAAGGGGACGGACCGAAATGTTACCGCCTCGGGCACTAAAAAACGGTACCTACCTTGGTGTAGTTGTTTTGCTAAAAAGCCCGCTAGTCACTGGGAAACTATTAGGGGGAGAAGGGGGCAATAAAGTGAGGCTATCGCCAATCTCCATCCCGCTTGCCAGCAACCGAAAGTGGGCAACAGAGAAAGAAAAGTTCCCCCCAAGGGAAATTTTAGTGAGTATCGGCCGCCAAGGGCAATAAGCCGGGCTTGTCAGTTGAACGGCTTTTTTTTGAAGCCGATCTTGGGGAGATGTTGATCTTCTTTTCTTTTCAGCTGGCTTCTGGACAATATACTATGCCATTTTCTTTTTTTCCCCATGGAACCTGATTCGTTCGAAACCACTAAAAATCTGTAGTAAATTCGTTAAGTCCATGTTTGGCTTGACTATCATTGACTTTACTTGATATTTGCTGACACTATCGCATGGTGATCAACAACGGACTCTTTTCGCTTCGCTAAAGAAGTTCAACTCATCATAATCTCATGAGCAGTTTTCATGTCTTGAGAGATTGGAATTTCCATCCTTGTGTCTTTTCTCTCACCTTCACTCTCTTTTTTTAGTTGGCCATCTCTTCGTGTCTGCCACGCGTTCTCTACAACTGACCAGCCAGCTCAGCTTCCATTTAGCGTGGTGAGCTATAAAATCACAAGCTCCAGACTTTAAGAGACTCTGGCGTCGAACTTGGGACGGGGGCTATCAATTCACTAAAGTAGTTTTTTGTTGGCGCCCACCAATCCCGCTATCGAGTATCACCAAGGGTTTGATTCAAAGAGATACCTAGCGATGAGAACCGATGTGTATGATTTAATGAAGACATGACACAAAGGTAGGAGCTGAAGATTCAACCCTGCCGGTAGATGGGGAAGGGGAGGGAAAAAAGAAAAAGAAAAAAAGGGCAAGCTCATCAATCCAGGTGGGATAGAATCATAAAAGAAAGCCAGTACGAGTCAGGAGAATACGGACAAAGAGGGCATGTGCGCACTGCGTACAAGTTCTTCGTGGCGATATCAAGCACTGCCGAGTTGCGCAACATAAGCGACGGGGGTCCTTTGGGCTCTTTCTTATTCTGCTTCTTCTTCTCGTTCTTCTTTTTTCTTTACAACCCTGCTACTGTTCAGAGAGAGTACCATGTACGAAGTACATATGCTGCAACCCTGTCTTACTATCAGAGGGGAGGCGCTTTCTAGAAGCATACGTAAAGGTCGGCATTGGAAAGTCCCGGGAAAAGCGAGAAAGTTTGTTTTCCTTGAAGAGGAAAAAAAAAAAAAAAAGACGGGCTGGGATAGACCTTCTTTCTACTGCGGACAAAGGTATTCTTTCTTCTTTTCATATGCGACATGGTATGAGACGGGGGGCCATGAACTATGTATAAGACTCGAGTTTCCGAGACATTTTACGTACATACACACATAGTCTACCATGAAGTACCGAAAGACAAATTTACCATCCAAGCCATGCCAAGTGGGGAGGGGGGGTAATATAGACATACGCATACACCCAGGGAAGAGATTTGGCGGTGGAGAATTAATTGGGATTCCGTAAGCACATTTTCCGCAACGTCTTCGATTCCGCCCACGAGTTGTTGTACCGCGGATCGTTATTGATAAGGAATAAAGAAAAGCAAGTCTTGGCCCAGAGGTGATTGACATTCCAGATATCCCAAAACATAAATTCGTGCATGGTCGCCCAGGGACTAGGCCGCGTCCACCATTGCTCGTGTTCCCATAGTGGGGGGGCGATGGAAAGCAAGTCCCCGAAACAGAATTTCAACTCGAAATGGGAGGGGGGGAAAGGGAGGTGAGGAGACTCGAAAGAAGAAAAGAAAGAAGAGAGACAATAGTAGAGAAAAGGGAGAAGAAGAAGAAGAAACGTCAAGACATGATGTGCTCGGCACAGATAGATGGGATTGGCAAAGGCACACCCGACATGTCGGTTCCGCCTTGGGGTAAAAAGCAATCCCATCTCCCTGGGACCGAAACGTGCAGTGATCATTGCAGGCCGCGGTGGTCACGTTTAACCAAACGCGCCCGCAAACCCGGCACACTACATGTGGCACAGCAGATACAGGATGCGAGGTTATTTCCCCCACAGGGTCATACATACATACATGATATGCACGGGGAGGGGAAGGGAGGCCGGGAGGCACATGTTGTTTCACTTGGGCGTGGGTATAATGAAGCTGCCTGCCGGATAGTAATTCTTGCAGGGGGGAGAATTGCTATTGGCGGGCAAGAAAAGTAGAAAATGTAACAAGCTTGTAGTAGTAGTACAGCAACGGACTGGGCGTCAAGGAGACATTCTATCATATCTCACTTATTTGGCCATGAACTGCGGGCCGAGGGCGATGCAATTTACTCTATAACTTCAGTCGCAGGAGAGCTGCAGGACGACTAAAGCCAATGACAATACATCGTCAAGGCCAGTCAGCCCCCCTGCCCCTCCCTTGCGTCAAGCTGGGAGTTTTCTCAATATCTGAGGCAGTATTCGCAAGGTATATGTAGAGGCCATGAGTATACATGGTAGTTTTAGGAAAAACTCAACGTTTGTGAGTACGGAGCGGAAAGCCTATATTTCCTTTTTGGTTGCCGTTCCAGTTTTCATTCTCCCAGCATCGCGGGTCAGGGCCCATTCACTTTGACGCCAGCCCCGAAAGAGTGGGAAAGCGGACCCCCGCCCATAGTATAGAACCACTCACTCACTGTACGGCCTACAGTCTACACACGACTTGCAGGAAATGGAATTGTCGTGATCCATTTTATTACACATGTTGCTATGTAACTTGCAAGGCTCAAGCTTTCTCTTTGCACGCACACACACACACACACACAGTATGACTTGTAGGATGATAATCTACCATCTCCACAAGATGCTTCCAAGAATACACCAAATAAGCAGCCAGCAGCCAGCAGAACAAACGATCCAGTAGATACAGCTTTCCTCCAGTGCCTTCATTTGTCTGTGTGTCAGCTGAGGTACATATCTTGCTTGACGTACTGTGTAGATAGACGGCCCCCCCCCTGGGTGACTGTGGCACATTGTTCAACACCAACCATTGGCCTGACGAGCGAATAATCCAAAAGGGGTAATTATCTGACCCATAATGCGGCGACCCAAGATACGCAGGACCTTGGTCTGGAGCATGAAAAGTACAGGTAGCAGGGGTTATTACTGAGATCGCTGGGAGTTTCGGTCATTGTCTAGACTTGTGGCCTGGGGCGGCAGGCTTTGAAAAACAAGAACAGAAGGGGACTTGATATGACTGAGAAGCCCATGTCCAAATGCTCACTACCGGATGGATGGTAAGCTGCCCAGGATGAGACGAGAGATGAGATGAGACGAAGAAGCCCACGAGGTGAGGTCGACAATAATATCTTTGCCAGGGAGCAAAAGGGAGCCGATGTATTTTCTCCAACAAAGAGGGGAGTTTGTTGGCTGAGGCCCCGTGTCTACCTATATTATCTAGCACATTGATTGATTTTTTGGGCAGGGCACTAACGGCACTCTGCCGCAGAGCGCTGATCCCATGCAAGGTACAAGGAAACATTACGGAAAGCCAGCCCATCTGGCCCGCCTCGCGTGCTTTCAAACGGCCGACCCTCCGGTTGTTCCATTCCCCTGGACTCTCCTCTTTAGAGAGGGGGGCGGCACCTCAGGAAAGGTCCTGTCTGCATGGCGAGTACCCACGGCTGAGTACTGTTGGTGTGTGGTGTCAATTTGACGTCCTGTCCCCTCCACTGTCTGTCGCGCTGGCCAGTCCAGTCACCCTCCCCTCACAAGGGGTCAAGGCCAAGGGACCTCTTGTGAGCCGTGCCGGGCTTGGATGGTTGAAAAACCAGGTTGTCATAGACCAAACCCAAGGCTGTGCAGCTGTGGCACACGAATCGGACAATTTAAAGAGCTCCTCAAAGGGATTTGATCCAGAACTGCCACTGTGCCGTGTACAACTCAGACGTCACCCCCTCCGCACGTTGCTACCAAACGCAAGGGGAGGGGACGAGGTGGTCACCATCTGTGGTTTGGTATCAAAATGGGGAGATGGACAAATGCTAGAAGCGACAGAGCTTAACCCTGGTACAGTGGCACTACGTGGTACATGGTAGCCGGGAGATATGTTGTTGGATCCCTTGACATATATGCCTAATGTACTCGCTAGTCCCAGACCATAGCGTGCGGTACGTCTCGAGCCAACTAATTTCGACAGAGGTCGGGAAGCTCTTCTACCAGCCAGCAGGGTATTCCGTATGACCCGGATCTGTTCGCGGGGTGCCCATGAGTGGTAAGGTTTTGACATGGTATGTTTATATACGTAGATACTGAAGGTAGTAGAGTCGTATTCTTGGTGGTGTTTACTGCGTCAAACACTTCCGAGAGTTCCTATTGGAGATGCCCAAGCTGTACACTGGCCGATCCGTCCATTGCTTACCAGGCAGAGCCTCCAAGACGCCCGGGAGTGAAGTGAACCCCAGGCCAGCATTACCCAGGTTCCTCCTGGTGAGAGGGTATCTAAGGTACCACTAGCAGGCTACATCAGGCAAGGTAGGTAATGTATCCGGGAAGCAGCCCTGGCCGCCTCGAGTCTTCTGGATGGCTTCAAGTGGTCCTATACTCGGACGAGTTAACCCATGAGGGCAAGCTCTGGATACATCCCGTCCACGAGGAGCATCAAGCTTCGTTCACCTAATGTCATGATGCGGAATATGAACATGACAGAAGCCCACGGAAGGAATTCTACTGTGCAAGTACCAAATATTGAACGAGGGTCACCCAGTTACTAGCGGAGATACCTATCCACATGTAACCAACCCGTGTTGGAAGACAAGCACACAGTATGTATGCGCAAATGCCATATATCAGCAGCGGAGCCTCTTTCAAAGAGAAAAGTAGTGTGGGAAAATCTCAAGAGGAGCATGAGAAAAAGAATAAAGAAAATACTATGGTAAATAAATTTTACAAGGTGGTTAGGGGGGGACCGGCGAGCTAGCAATTGTGAGGAGCATCCCAGACCCTGCACATGTGCCTTGCTTGCTAGGTATTTCGCAAGGTATCTGGGTCGATAATGTAATAAGGTAGGAGGATATGTACATAGTAGGTCAAGGTAGGTGGTACTACATACACCACAAGGCAAGGAGAGGGCAGAATGGGAAAGAAGCACAGGTGTTTAACTCGTTAATTGGGTCAAATGGTAGCTGCTTTTTCCTTCAATTCTACACGACTTTTGGTGGCAGTAGTAATGGGGGGCCGCAGGTAACCACCCAACCACACTTGTTGCTTCAGTCTCAATCAACAGCGAGCGTTCTCTTTTTTTTTTTTTTTTTTTTTTTACCTTGTCTAGCTCTGGTTCAAAGTCAAGTCGTCGTCTGAACGCTGGACTGAACCTTGCCAGACTGACTTGCCCATCCCCGGCCAAGCTGCAACCAGACAGCGGCTGGCTCCTGATTCTACCTACCCATTCATTCTGCTCGACTTGTCAGTGCTGATTAATCTGCAACATTATTGTTGTTGTTGTTACTGTCGTCGTCGTCTTGTCGTTTGCCGTTGCTGCATTGTCTCTTGTCTGCTGCCTTACTTGGACGTCTTTCGGCCGACGACGACTCGTGCTGTGCTGTGCTGCCCTGCACTGCACTACCAACACAACGCTACACTGCACGCTTAATTTCGCGACTGCTACCCGACTCTACTTTTACAGACAGCTGTTGCAAAGAAAAAAAGAGGACAGACGAACGAACTGCATATCCAGTCACATTTCTCGGCTTTCATATTGCTACACGGGCCAGGTACTCACTAACGACTTCAACCCCCAAACAGAGGTTCTTTTGGACTTGCTGACCCGAAAGTCTTTATGCAGTTGGAAGGGAAAAAAATAAACCCCCCCAGGGAACTCTCAAGTCTTTGAACCCGGAACTTAGACGGACAGGCAACGTCCCTTTTGGCTGCTTTGCATCTCTAATAATAAGCCAGCTTTGTGACCAACGGCTTCTCAAGGCCGGCTTGTGACCTCGACGCACGCAACTTGGGGTTTCACAGCATTATTCTATCCGTTCACCGTCCTAGCCCGACAACTTCAATCGACTCAGTTTGCATCGACAACCTTCAATCCAGTGTTCCGGCATTTAGCAACCAGCTCCCCCGCGTCGCTGTCACCCCTCTATCTCAACAACCGCATCCCGACGAACAAGCATTCCCCTTGCGACATTCTTCACAGACATTGTCAACGACCAATCTCTGGTGATCATCCATCTCCACCTTCAGATATCCCCAATTCTTTGATACAGGCAACAATTTGTATCCATGGGTCGTGTCAAGTGAGAATAGCAACACAACAAAGACAATAGGCTGGTGCACAAATTTGTTGCCCATAGTTTGTCGTCGCCCGGTCCGCCCTTCACCTCGAAAGATCGAGCGTCACGCATGCGAGGCCTGTCGCAAAGACAGCAGCAGTTGCGCAGCAGATAGCTACACCCCACCAAACCTCTAGAATGGTAGCTTTCAGATGGCAACAGTGCTTGAACAGGGAATCGACAGAACGGAGGATCGCATACACTCGTGACGACACGTTCGTGCCGGCTCTTCACAACCTCGCCTTCAAAAACGGACCGTCGCAACAGCGGATGACCACAGCGCAAACGTACATCTAGCAACGAACACAGGCGTCAAACTCTAAAGCCCCCGTCGACACAAACACATACATAGAGAGAGAAAGCTCTAGATTACCCATTGCTCCGCTACATATGCCGCAGTAGCTGGTCAGTACAAAAGACAACTTTGCAGCTCATGGACGGACGAACCCACAATGGCGGCGGCGGCGGCCGAGAAAGTTGGACTTCGGCGGCCACTTATTCGCAACGTGGAAGCCTTGAGAAGGACAGCCACAGGGAGAGGAGTAGTCGCGCTGCCAGTATCAGCTCTCGGGCCAACGCCAACGCACAGAGTACTATCCGAACCGTAACGCCCGAACCCGTCGGAAACGGCCACACCGCCACACAAATGTCCCGAGGCTACAGTGCAACTTCTGCGCAAACCTCACCCCGATCGATAGATGACGAGCATAGACGGCAAGGTATTGTCTTCAACGATGTCTTTGGTGGCTCCTATGACAGCACGGAGTCAGGGATGCAGCAGCAGCAGCAACAGCAAACAAGGGCCCCGGTCCGCCCTCGCACACAAACAATGGACGGATCGCTTGCGTTACGCCAACAGACAGCGACCGCTCCTGGTGGTGACAGTCGGCACAGAGTCGGATCAGTCTCTTCATCGGGTTCTACACCATTCAATGAGATGGACGTGCGACCTCGGCCACCTGTCTTGGAGTCTGCAAGCTACCAATCCTCGGCGACCTCTGCCCCATCCTCACGGGCTCCGGATCTCAAAATTACCGTGTCCTCATCTTCATCGAAAGCTGAGAAGAAGCCGAGCAATCGACGCTTGGTCAAGAGGGCGTCGTCGCGGCCAACCTCACCTCTGGTTTCACCGCCACCTTCTGTGGATTCATTGCCAATACCCATACCAACCGACGATGCGAATCGTGTGCTTTTGCTCATGAAGACACTTTGTGGTCGAATGAAGGGTGAAGTCGAGTACCAAGCTGAGCCCAATGGACAGTGGTACTCTGGCATTTGCTACATTGATGAGGAGAGGGGAAGTCTACTGTTTGACTCTGGCCAAGACGGACCTTTCCACTTACCACTTGTCGGTGACCTTAGGGGCTGCAGGGTTCTGCCGGTGGAGCAGCTCGACGGTGGGGGTAAATGCCTCGAACTACTGAATCAGAAAATGGGCGTCGAGCTCCAACTCCGACCATTGATCGCTGATGAATTCGATCTGTGGCTTGCAGCCCTTCTCTGTTGGCAACAAGTTCTGCCAAACGGAGTGCGGATGCAGGGTGGGAAATTTGGCAACTCGCTGTCCACGAACCGAGCGGAAATGCGGCGGCGGGGCTCCGCGGTCGCTGGATCTACAGGATCCAAGGATGCCAACATCAACATCATCAAAGTTGGCAAGGTGATGCTGTGGGACAAGGGCGTGGCAACATCACCGCGCGCAATCGTGAAACGGCCATCGACTCGCGACCTGCGCGCCGCCACTACGGCCTGGGTGAGAGTTTCTTGTATTTTGCAGGACAATGGCGAATTCAAACTGATGACGGAGAATGATGTGACTGTTCTCTCCGTCATAGATCTTTCCCAGCTATCTCGCTGTGCCGTGCAGCAGCTCGACAAAACCGTGCTTGATGAGGATTACTGCATTGCAATATTTCCGATATATGCTTCAACGTCTAAGCAACTCTCGATATTCAGGCCCGTGTATCTTGCCCTTGATACCAGGGTCCTGTTTGAGGTTTGGTTTGTCTTACTGCGGGCCTTTGCAGTCCCAGACCTCTTCGGCATCCACCCAACGACAGACGAAGCGATGGAACTTTCCAGCCTTGAACCCAACTTTGATGGCCAAATATTCAGGCTCGAGAAGACAATACAAGTACGGGTTAGTGAAGCGAAACTCGAGAGAGCAGACCAACGGCCCGAGCAATACGACAGACATCACCATCACCATAAGACTGAACGTGACCCACTTACCGGCAATTACTTGGCAGAGGTTATATTGGACGGCGAAGTTCGAGCACGCACCACTACTCAGACTGACACCAAGACACCTTTCTGGAGGGAAGTTGTGCAATTTACAGAGCTGGCTACTAATTTACCGTACCTGTCTGTCATTCTCAAGAGGGTAGATGGTAATCTTGACAGTTTCAGCCATCAGCTTCAAGCCTCCTTGGGCCTGCCCAAGACTGGTGGTAATTTGACCGAAGTCATGTGTGGTGCTGTTGATATTCCTCTAGAGAAGCTGGAACGCGGCAAAGACCACGACCAGTGGCATTCGATTCGGGACGAAAAGAATGAGCACATCGGAAGCATGTTCGTTAAAATTAACATCGAAGAATTTGTTGTACTGGCAACCGATGACTACAAGTCGTTGTCAGACCTTCTGCACAAGTTCAGTCTTGGAATCCCGAGTCAAATCGCTGCAGCAATGCCCCAGCAATTGCGGCGACTCGCAGAGATCTTCATCAACATCTTTCAAGCCTCCACAAGATCTGTCGAGTGGCTCCTGGTATTGGTGGAGGAGGAGATTGACGGCATTAGTGGCGCCAACAATATGAAGAAGCTGCGATATAGTAGGCGAATGAAGTCGAACGAATCAGGACCGACTGGCAGCGATCGAGAACTGCTCGTTCGTGACATGGGCAAGTCGCTTGCTGGCGAGGCAAATCTACTCTTCCGTGGCAACACCCTACTCACACAGGCCTTGGAATTCCATATGCGCCGTCTCGGGAAGGAATATCTCGAAGATGTACTCTGCGACAAGATATTCGAGATCAATGAGATCAATCCTGATTGCGAGGTCGACCCAAGCAAATTGCCTCACAACGTGGATATTAACCAACAGTGGTCACAACTCATGCAGCTGACCACCGAGGTCTGGCAATGTATCGCCCGCTCCGCCAACAGGTTGCCTGCCGAGTTACGTCAGATTCTCAAGTACATCCGCGCAGTAGCCGAAGATCGATATGGCGACTTTCTCCGGACGGTCACTTACACGAGTGTTTCGGGCTTCTTGTTCCTCCGGTTCATCTGTCCGGCTGTTCTGAATCCAAAATTGTTTGGATTGCTACGAGATAACCCACGTCCCCGGGCTCAGCGTACTCTCACCCTTGTGGCCAAAGGATTACAGGCCCTGGCCAACTTGTCCACATTCGGCAAGAAGGAGAGTTGGATGGAACCTATGAACAAGTTTCTCAACAACCAAAGACAACCATTTAAGGATTTTGTTGATCAGGTTTGTTCCATACCCACTGAGCGCGCCTCTGTACCTCTGCCCGCAACGTACATGACCCCGATCACGATTCTCGGACGGCTTTCGAAACCAGCACGCGAAGGTTTCCCGGTGCTCCCCTACTTGATTGACGACGCTCGGTATTTTGCCGCTCTGGTAAAACTCTGGCTAGAAAATTATCAGGGAAATGCCGCGAAAATGCGCACATTGACTGGCGACATGGCCGAATTTCATGAGCTGTGCGTTGCTCTGCAGGCACGCTCTGACCAGTGCTTGGCCAGAATCGAGTCTATCCGAGCAGCAGAGAACGCGTCGATCAATGCGGACGACATTGTGGAGGGCATGGATAAGGCGTCGCTCATGGATTCAATGCACCTCGCGTATGGAAGTTCATCGATATGGGCAGAGAACGATCCATATCGGGCTCCAGGATCGTCCGGGTCGGATACTGAAGGACAGGAACGGCCAATGTTCCGGGAGGTGAAGTTCTCGGGCAGCAAAGAACACGGCGCACACCGCGGCGCATCGGATAATGGTGATATGCCTTTTCTCAGCGGCACACTTCGGCGAAACGGGAAGAATCCACGTAATTTTCTGAGTGGTCTCATCGGCGGCATGAAGGAGAAACATGAGAAGCATGCCAAAGGAGATGCGTCAGCTTCAGGGTATTCAAGCGTCAGAGAAAAGAGCAAAGAAAAGGAAGACAAAGACAAAAGAGGATTCTTCCTCGGCGGCTTGGCAGAAGGCTGGCCTGGCAGCGAACACCAAAAGCATTAGTACTGCCTGGGGTTCGACGCTCAGGTACATCGAATGATCTATGGTGGACAGAAGGAAAGAAACGTTTTAAAAAAGCGGGCGCGGCAGATCACGACAACATAGAAGGATGTTATTTTGAAGAAGCACATCAACAAGGACGGCCGAGTTAATTACTGTCTATACCGAGGACAGATCCCTCTTGGTGCGGCATCCACATGATTTTCCTTTTATTCCTTTTTATGGGAGCCAAGTTGAATATGGCTTCCCGACCCAAAAAATCTGGAGCATAGCCGGACATGCTTGGCCTTTTTGATTGCGATAGATGGGGAGGTAATACGTCATTTCCGGCAAACTCTTGAGCGGTGTATTTTTGCCAGCTTAGGAGTCAGCGTTGGGTGCGAGGGTCTTGGGGAGTTTTTCTTTTCTTCATCATGACAATAGATATGGAGCGGGAATCAGGGCTGTACGATGGACTTTTGGAGGGGGGAGGGAATAGGGGAGGGGGAGAACGAGGTGGAGTTGAAAAGAAGACAAAGAGCCAGAACGAGTGCTTCATCTATTTATTTTCTTTCTCAGATCATCAGACTTGTGGTATCCAGAAACGAGGAAACGACACGAGGACACGACGAAGAGTGGTTCATTGCAGTACCAATAAATACCCTTTGACACTTTCTTCCAATTTAATAAAGATGATTGCCGTTGATGTACTTAGATGCAACATTGGGAATCAAGAAGGAATTAGAACATGGCAAGACAAAGCTGATCCTGTGAACAGCAGATAATGAATTCACGTTATATATTCATTTGGGTTATACTTTGTTATTAACCCGTTGGTGTATAAAGCATCTTTTCACCTATACCCACCTCATGTTGTTATTGGCCAGTCAAGTTTACATATGCATTTGCCAGTCATTCACTCACTGCGCACTGGTTTTGATTGGGTCATAATCTACCCCTCCATTGGTGCCCCACCACCCACCCACATGCCCCCATCCCGACTTGGATTTGATGCTCCTCTCAGCCCCGTCCCGCTGGAACTTTCTAGCACACAGCGACCTCGAGGTACCGACTGGGTACTGTTGTTTGCCTGGGGTCGATCAAATAAAATGTATATGTATGCACACGGCTCACGGGAATCGGCGTTTGGATTGGAATGCCAACATTGGTTTGTCAACTGCTGCAAACAAGCAAAAGAAGAATTTTTATTACCTCCCAATCTGACTGCATAATCAAAGTCTTCCGTGACTGCCTCTTTTTTAACACCCAATTGCGACTTCTCATCCCCATTGTTAGAAGCTTTCGCAGCTAGTAGTAAATTCATTCGGTAAGTTACAGTACCTACTACTCAACCACCGAGCAACACTGCATTGTATCCTTGACCCGTCTTCACCCCGCCAACCAGCCGATCGATACCTTCCACCGCCAAGGAAAGAAGAAGACCAAAACTTTCAATAAATTCGACATCTCTTTCGCGAGGGACTTGTTCAGGACCGCTGCTGACCTCTCTCTCTCTCTCTTTGCCACAGCCGAAAGTCGAAGCCGACCAAACAATCATTCAACCACCATCATGGCCGACCAATCCAAGCGAAGCAAGGTCTTCTTCGACATCAAGATTGGCAACAAGCCTGCCGGTCGCGTCACCTTCGAGCTGTACGACGACATTGTGCCCAAGACGGCCGAAAACTTCCGGGCCCTCTGCACTGGCGAGAAGGGTCTTGGAAAGACTGGCAAGCCGCTACACTACAAGGGCAGCCTGTTCCACCGAGTCATCAAGCAGTTCATGATCCAGGGTGGTGACTTTACAGCAGGCAATGGCACTGGCGGTGAGAGCATTTACGGCGAGAAGTTCGACGACGAGAACTTTGAGAAGAAGCATGACCGGCCCTTCCTGCTTAGCATGGCCAATGCCGGACCTGGTAAGTTGTCTGCCTCAACTCCGTCTTAAAAAGCTAAACTTTCTTCTGACCGTGGCGTCGTTTACCAGGCACCAATGGTTCCCAATTCTTTGTAACCACCGTTGCGACCCCCCACCTTGACGGAAAGCACGTAGTCTTTGGCGAAGTCCGCAGCGGCAAGTCCATAATCCGACAGATCGAGAACCTGCCGACCTCGGGTGGTGACAAGCCTAGCCGCGATGCCGTTATCGATGATTGTGGCGAGCTTACAGGCGCCGCCGCCGAGGCTCTGAGCGGCGACGTCAAGGTAGCGGATGCCCTGGGCGACGCTTACGAGGACTTCCCCGAGGACGCCGATGAGCAGCTCGACGCGCAAAAGATACTCAAGATCGCCGCGGACTGCAAGGGATTCGGCAATCAGGCCTTCAAGGGCGGCGACGTTGCCGTGGCCCTCGACAAGTACCAAAAGGGCCTGCGCTACATCAACGAGGAGCCCGAGCTCAAGGACGAGAGCGAAGAGATCAAGGCCCAGCTCGAGCAGCTGCGCTTTGTGCTCAACAACAACTCGGCCATGATGAACCTCAAGCTCGAGTCGTGGGAGGACGCTGAGCGCGCCGCCTCCAACGCCCTGCTCGTCCAGGGCGTCGCCGATGCCGACAAGGCCAAAGCCTACTTCCGCCAGGGTCAGGCCCTTGTCAAGCTCAAGGACGAGGACGGCGCCATCAAAGCCTTTGAGCAGGCCAAGAAGCTAGCACCCAGTGATGCAGCCATCACGCGCGAACTCGAGGCCGTCAAGAAGGCCGCCGCCACCCGTCTGGCCAAGGAGAAGTCGCAGTACAAGAAGTTCTTTGCTTAAGCGTTCAGCGCCATTCAGTTTTTCTGTACCAAGGGCCAAAATGGAAGTCTCATCATTGCATACACATAAGTAGTACTTGAGAATCCATTGGACAAAGGGGATCATGGAGTTCAGGCAAAATGGATATTGGAATAGGAGAAAGAAAAACATCAACACGTTGTGCCCGCAAAGCATTTGATTTCCCCCCAATGATGAGTCTCCTGTGAGCTCGTTGCTCTGATGAGACTTGGGGGGACATTCAAGACGACGAAACGAGATAAACACGAATAAACTCATAATATCAATATTCAAATCTCTGAGAAAGATGTAATGGCTTGTGACCAAGAATCCCATGTTCAAGAATACCGAGATCTCTACGTTCTGTTAAGTACTCTAGAATCATACAAAGTTGTTATGGTGCTCAGTGGTCCAGTGCAGCGAAATTCTTTATTCAAAGTTGAGGTGTTGGAGATCTTATTAACTCAGGTATCAGTACAATAAGCTGAGAGCTATAGTTTCCTTGTGCCATATATCGATGCCAGACGTATCCAACCCCCACGTCTAATATAATATCCTACATTGAATTTGTAGAATATTTCCCATTTACATGATTGGAGATGAATGCACTAGCTAAACTTGTTTATAGACGAGGTGTATATCCAATGCGCCCAGCTTGCTTGATAAAACAAAAGTAATCGAGATTTGACCCAAAAACTAGCGACAAAAACGCCAAAACGCCACGCCACGCCACGCCACGCAAGCCAACTGTTCGCCATTTTCCAGTCGTCCAGTTCATCAACTAAATCCACTGAAAACGAAGGGGAGGGGAGGGAGTCCCGGCGTGGTCCTGCTTGAGAGGTGAAAAGGCTGTCAAAGGGCTGTCCTTATCATCCATTCGTCTCATCAAAGACCGGGAAGTCTCGGGTATTGTCGATGTCGGGCCAAGCGTGTTGCCTGGTGGAATATTCCGAGGGGCCGCTGCTGCACTGGCCATCGTCCTGATTCTCGGCATCGTCATCTGAAGCTTCCATCCTGTCATCCAGATCCTCGTAGATTTCAACGTCGCGGCAAGCAAGGTCTTCGGGATCGCGATTTTCCTCGTCCTCGACGTCGCTGTCATGGGCCAGGTCTTCTGGGTCGCGATTCTCCACGTCCTCGATGCCGACCAGCACCTCGTCTTCGGGGCGGCGCTGCTGGACGCCCTCCCATTCTGGCCACTCCGACTCTTCGCGGATGCGACGGGGGTGGCCAAGATCGAGCATGGCTTCATCATCCTCATCGGATTCGGCTTCAGTGTCATCTTGGCCGTCCTCGTATGAGTAGTCTGTACCGCTTCCATGGTCGTCTTCAATGTCCATCATACCCCGATAGGACCTCGACTCGACATGAGGGGCATTACTATGCGGCGTAGCATAGTAGTAAGGAGTAGTCTGGCGACACGCGGCATGCACTTCACCTTCACCGCTGATTATGGCAAAAGGCTCGCCAATGTTCATGGTGGCCAAGAGGGGACTTGGACTCGCTGCGCTCCATCGAGGCGTGTTTCTAAGACGAGCAGAAAGCGGGACCGAAGGAGACCTAGTGCTTCGCCTCCGACTTGCTCTGGTGAGTGCGAGGGCCGAGCCAGTACTGGCGCGAAGTAGTTGTGGTGATGGTCGACGTTCGAAATAATGCTGTTGAATGGTACCAAATGTTGCAGTAGCCATGCGCCGCCTTCCCTGCGAGGGCGATGCCAAGGGAGGGAGAGTCGGTGGCATAGACGTTGTGCGAACGCGAATCGGTCTTGGGATGGATGACTTGCGTTCTCTCAGAATGGCTGGCGATGCTGCACGACTACGGCTCGACGACAAGGAAGGAGACGGGCCAGAGCGACTCATGTGCAGCAAATGTTGGCTTGGCGTTCGTGACTTGAGTCGGGGTTGGGCAGCCTGTCGTAGGCTGAGAGAGTGCATACTGTCTTGGCTCGAGGAATTCTCGTCTAGTTTGTCATTCCAGGTCCAGTACGTTTCCATGGCGTCAGCTTCGGGAACCTCCAGCTGGCTGCCTTGTGAGTCGGGGTAGACTCGGCTTAACTCTCGGAGACGCTGCCAGCTCCAGCCATTATCGTAGGCATCTTGATCTTGCAAGTAAGCTTCTGGTTGCGTGATATAGAGCCGGTGGACACCGGTGGCCTTCATGACAACGCTAGAGCTGAGAAAGGAGACGTCCCAGCTTGTTGACGTGACCATCTCATCAGGAGACAGGAAGCGTAGGCGTGAGTCCTTGTGGATCTTGCGAAGCGGTATCCACGGCTGTTTGAGGCCAAAAAACCTTGACATTCGGTGATGCGTTGTTGAGCCATGATGGACGTTGGCTTGTAAACGCGAAAAGGTGCGAAAGAGAGTCCCAAAAGCAGCAGACACGGCTTGTTGCACGCTGCGAGCGTCGGGGCTTCGAACCACAACGTTCTTTATAAGTCCACGGCTTCGGAGTCGAAGGTCCACCACATTGCCTGGTGCACAAGCTCTTGGCAGAAGCCACTCTGATTGGAGCTCGGGGCCAGCCCACTCGTGCAGGTCGGGAAGTTGTGTTTCTATTGTTGATGAACTGTTGGGCATCTGAGTCCACTCATCGTGGTCGACAATGGTCGCCCCCGAGGTGCGCTGGCTTGGAAAATCTCGGGATTGGTACCATACACCTTTCAGAGGGAAAGGGAGAAATACCACCTCAACCTCCCAAGGCTTGGAGGCAGTCGGGAATGATGAGGCCTGGAGGTGGTTGAGCTGCGCTTTCAAAAGGGCAAGCTCATTCTGCATCTCTGCGCGATCTGTCCGCCCACTACCAGTGGTGGTAACCGAGGCCACACTAGCTGCCGATTGGTCCAGTCTGTGACGAGATGTATGATAGTGGCTCGAGACAACACTACTTCCATCGTTGAGCGTCTTTTCCAGTTCCTCGACACGTGAGGTGAGCTCAGTGACACGCAAGTCTGTCTGTTCATGCTGGTCACGGCAATCCTCGTGATCATTCTGGAAGGATACAGTCTCCAGCCTCTCGATCCTTTCCTCGTGGCCTTGCACCGTATTTGCAAGTTCTTGAAACTCCGTGCGCCGGGGTTCTGTCCGCGCCGGTTGAGATAATTGGCTCGGCACATCAGCACGTCGCCCAGACCGTGTTGACCTTGGAGTATTTGTGACCGTCTGCAGGTCATCAATGGATGGTGCAGCATTGCGATTCACTGAATCATGCTGTGTTCTACGATCCTCTGGATCGGGGGTAATTTGAAGGGCCTCGCGCAGTTTGGATCTCGGCGTGCTGAATGTGTTGAGGCCTTTGCCGCCAAATGGCTTCAGATAAGCCAACCGAGTAGATGATGTGGTTGAACTTGGCTGAGACGCCGGTTGCAGGCACTGGCTTGCAATAGACGGAGCTACATCTCCCTGGTAGTTTGGTTGTGACTGGAGCAGGTTGGTCCAGCTCATAGTATCCGGAATAGATGCCTCGGCTGGCGGTGCTGGATCCTCATCATTTCCAAATAGTTGGACATCCTGGTGAATATTTGTAGAGAAAGAGGCATTGTTATCAATTGTGTTCTGTTCCATGGATTGGTTCGCAACAGGAGGGGGGACCTGAAACGACATGTCCGGCATCACTGGGGTGAGAGGTTCCCGTCCAGCTCGTGGCTTTTCATTCTCTTGGCCGGCGGAATTGATGATGGGCGCAGTAAAAGGTCCTTGTTGGGTAGCGGGCTGAATGTCATCATGATAACATGCATGGTGGGAGCACATGCAAAAAGCAGATTGATCAATATGGCTGCCGCCATTGCTAAGCGCGATGGAGTGGTCAGAAAAGCCGTTGTTGAGTCCCAACGCGTTGCGACTCCAGAAACGGCGGCAACCGCATTTCGGGCCATTGGCGCCATGTGCTAGATCCACGAAGTTGCATTGCCCGCCCGGCAGCGCAGGAGCGGGCGATGTCCTGGCTACTGATCCGCCATCGGTATAGATATTGAAGAAGGAGCTGTTCGGGAGCGAGACGTCGGGAAAGGAGCCTGCCATTGAGCTGCGGCGCTCAAGCGATGAGGAGCATGGAGGTTGGCGGGCTGATATCTGGAGTTGGGTTGATAGATGAAGAGGACGCGCGAGAAACGTCGGCGTCGCAGATGAGGGGGGGATGAGCGCGACTATATTAATACGTTGGCAACCTGCTGCTGATGGAGGGCTGTACGTGGGAATTCTGAGCGACCCAACCAGGCGCAGGCAGGGTCGCAAAGTCGCGAATCTAGTACATGGCACTGCGAACTGTCTGTCAGTACTAGATTGCCCAAGCTCCACGAGACGACGCCGAGATGCTCAGGGCTGGAACGCACCGCAGAGGCGACGATGTAATAAGCAAAATGAGTCGTATATGTAGTGATAATTGTCTATTGATAAGTATACTTCAAGGCAACGGCAATGGGGTCGCGCAGGTCAGACCATAGCTGAGCGACAATGATGAGAAATAACGAGGTTGAGGTTGCGAAAGGAAGCGCCTGGGACAAGATTGGACGAGAGAGTTGCGGTGGTGGGGTTTGGGCGCTCTGCTCTTGCTCTGTTGGTGTGGTGTGGGTGTCGATTGATGTGGATGGGGGGCCGATGGGTGATCCCGTCGTCACCCGTGTCTATCTTCTGCCTCTCTGTCGCGTCAATCAATTATTACTTTTGGGCAGGTTTCATGATTGCAAGTAGAATGCCAAAGAATCAAAAAATTTGTCAAAGAAAAATGAAGATATTATTTTGTGCCTTGCTCATGATCGGATATGAGTAGATTATTATTTTATTTTATTTTAATTGGCTGTCGCGTTCAAGGCGACGACGACATGACCTAGAAGGCTGGCGCCTAGGTGTGTACAAATACAGAAGATAGATATCGGCTTGTTGCCCAACTGGGTGCCTATGTATCGTGAGGAGAATGTACGCGAACCGTGTGAGATGGATGTGCAAGACTGACGGGTGGTGACAGGCAGGTTTGCATAGAAGACCACCGTCGACTTTGCACAGCTCTCTCGGCTGGAGGACATGGGCACTCGACACTCTCCCCAAAGCTCCTCTAGCAAAAGTGTCCACTTAACGCGTCGGTTGCGAAAAGAAACGACGTGGTCGCGCCAGTGAAGCGGGACCGTCTGCTATTGGACGAGGCGACCTCTGAATCCCTGTTCAGCCAAACACGGGGCAGAAAAGAAGTGTGTCGTCGATCTGAGGAGCTTTCTTCCTCACCAGGCTTACCTCCATGCTATGTACATAGTCGAGGGTCCCGTCTTGTAGAGTAAGGTTAATAACCCAAATCCTCCAAAGTCCTACCACATGTACCCTACATACACGCTCAGCTTCAAGACTTGACAGTGACCTTTCATCAGTACGGACCAAACTGGCCGAAATGGCTTTTTTCCTTCCTTGCAGCCTACGTACTCTGCTTGTTCATGTATGGAAAAGATTACCACCCAACTCAGGCGATCAGATAAACCAGCAGATCAACACATTTTTGGTATGACGTGCTTAGGCAGAGGCAGGCAACCTCGGGCGCACCAAATCGTCGTGGACAGTCAACACATGATCTGTTTCTTCTTCACTGGGCTTTGTCGGCCTTTGCTTGCTGCCTTCTGATTATCATTATCAGCACGCCAAGGATTTGAGGACATGCTTATAACCTAACCAGCGAGGCACTGGAATGATCTTGGTGACTCGAACATAGTATTTATAGCTGTCGCATATAGCGAGTCAGGTTGGTATAATTGTGCTTGGCAAACTCGAGTTGCTGAATGTCTGTCTTTCTTGGTGGGTTTATTAAAAATCTCAAATGCGCCAAGAAGAGATTGCAAAGGCTCAAACTTACTGGACATAACCGCTTTCTCCATAACATCATGGCAAGTCGCACAGGGCGCCAACAAATGATCACTTTCTCTCTTTCTTTACAATCTATGGTTTACTGCAGTGCTTGATGAACAAAGTATAGGTGGTACTAGGTAGATAGCTAACCTAGCTATTCCGTACATTAGTAACTAATGTAATCATAAACTCGCCTAACCACTTTTGGGCGATCTGCTTCTCCCATCCTACGCTAGGCTTCTCGGATCGAATCTAAGACGCCGGGCAATTTCAAGATCTGAATCTTTGTACACTTGTACAACAGCAACCCGCCAAAGCTCTTCTGTACGGTTTGCTAATATCTGTTGAATTCGTAAGAGGAGATGCGTCTTACTCTTCGAAGGTCGTGCAATGCCTGTGCAAAAGCGAAACACAGCTGCGATCTTCGCACACCGCAATGTTCACGATGTGCCAAGAGGAAGTCCCAGTGCGTCTACGCCAACCGGCCGCTGAATCCGCCCACGAGAGACCAAGAGCTCATGAAGGCACCGCAACCGGCAAGCACAGCTTTTGATCCCTTTGACTCGTATCCGCCCACGAGACTGCCTCGCGCGCATGTCCAACGACTCATCCATCATTGTAATTGAGTTGACCCTATTACACGTGCATTGGCAAGAATGGCCACTAACACGAATATATCAGTTCTCGCCCATATTTCATTCCAGTACTATCCGCTGGATCTGGAAATGGATTCAAACCCATTCGTGATTTCGTGGTGGCCACAAGCGCTCGCTGATGGCGCTCTATTCCATGTCTCTTTGCAAACGGCCTCTCTAGATGTTGAACTCCGAGCAGGGCAGGGGTTTCCTATCTCTGAACTTCTCATGGCCGATTCGGTGGCCTTGGTGAGGCGAAAAGTCGAGAGCTCCGTGCTGGCGTTCCAGAACGAGACGCTCAACTCAGTCGTGACACTCGCCGCCATCGAGGTGAGTTCTTATAAGTCCCTAAACTCATTTAGCCCTGCTCACCATTTCTCAAGTATGGTAAAGGTAATACTGAAGCCAGCAAAATGCACATCGACGGCGTCAAACGGATGGTCTCGGCGAGAGGAGGCATCAGCGAGGTGAAACGTGCCAGTCCGCTTACCGCAAGAATGATCTCCTGGTAAGTATCGCTCCACGCCTTGCCCTGCGGCGTGTATTCGGTCAAACTGACCTTTCAAGGGTGTCGTTGATAGTCACGGGCGCACCCCAATTCCTGACACAAGATGATGAATCTGGTGGTGCGGAGGGAATTGGCTCAATTCCGCAATGGCGATTAGCTTCAGCATTTTCAGATTTACCGAACAGGTTCCTGGATAACGAAGACCTCGACCCCACCTTGAGAAGCATAATGCGCCGTCTTCACACCATCTTTCATCAGCCACGACAAATGTGTCCTCTGACGAACTTGGAGCTCCACGACCTGACGTGCTTCGTTATACACCGTCTCCTCCTGTTGCCTGATTTTATAGGCCAGGACTCGAAGCAGTCAGTCACATCCGAGTGCCTACGATATGCGCTGGTACTATACTTATTGATCATCCATGGTACAACATATTATTCACACCATGACCTGTCCAACAACCTTTTGCTTCGACTCAAAGGCCACCTTGAAGCCTTGGGCAAAATGGAAGACACCCATGGCCCTTTAGGACTTTGGATCATTTCCGTTGGAATGATAGCTTCCACCAACACGGCGTACCGTCAATGGTTCACAGCACAAGCTTGCATATATGCGGAAGCATTAAACCTTCAGACTTGGGCTGATGTATTGCTTCGCCTGGATCAGATCCTCTGGATACAATCGCCGCAAGAGAGCCTCTTCCGTCAAAAATGGCAGGAAATCATGAAGGTCATGGCAGGATGAGCTCATATTGCCGAGTGAGCATCGATTTATAAGCAAGACCTAGGAGCAGTGCTGACAGTCAACACTGTGCGCGAGAACGAGCCCAGACGAACAAGTGATTCCAGGCTGGCCCTCACACTTTTTTTTTTTCGGACCAGTTCCGGTCGAAAATCGAACGTCGAGAGTCGAACGATGTCGCGGAAGGTGAAGTAGAGATGGATTTCGGAGTCTAGTACTAAAAGAGACTAGACTGGTTATGCCAAACGAAAGTCATTCTTCAAGGGTTCATGTCCCACGTCCCCTAACATCAGTCATAATAGATGCCATATCACTGGCTCGGATATGGCAATCTCGATATCTGATTATGAATCAGCCAAAGGCAACAGGAAATCTCAGTTGATGTTGCGGCACATCTACACTTGTATCGACATGGAAGCGCAAAGTCTACCGCACAATTGAAAGGATACATAGTACTGCCACATCTCGGTTGTCCTTTGCCCTACGAGAAGCTTCAACGGCTAGAGCAATCTGCGTATCCCTGATCCCTGTTTCCAAGTTGCGGAATCTAGTACTAATCCGGACAGAGTGACTATAAATCCGAGGAATCAGGGACGGTCTCAGCAGACAACTCTGACGCTTTCACAGCGAAAGTGACATTAGCCCAGTCGAATTAAAATTGTGGTATTGATTTCAACTTATCATACGATCAAACACTTTTCATCTCCCTCTTTAAAAGCTGCTTGTGACCTCCTGTCCCGAGAGAGAGAAAAATACCTTTTGTTTTGACGTCCGTTCTGCTCGTTTTTCGTTATACACCATGGCAGCTGTTCTGGAAACCACTCCAGATGGCTTTCTGGCAAACTCTACTCGACTGGAACAAGATGGTCTCTTGGACCAAGTGCAAAAGCTCGTCACGGGTTATCTTGCAGGTTGGAGCAATTCACAAATTGCAGTCACTGTCTTGTTGATTCTAGTCTCCTATGATCAATGTTTGTAAACCAAACATCCGAGCCTATCATCTCTAGCCACTCATATCCATGACCAGATCGATACATCAAGCAAAAGGGCTCCATAGCCGGTCCTGCATTCAAGATCCCATTCATGGGACCATTTCTTCAAGCGATACATCCTAAATTCGATGCTTACCTGACTCAATGGGCTAGCGGACCTCTAAGTTGCGTCTCTGTTTTCCACAAGTATGGAGCTATATATTTCCAAATTGTCCGTAGAGCGGAAATGCTGACCAAGACACAACCTCACAGATTCGTTGTCCTCGCCTCGGACCGTGATCTCGCCCACAAGGTCTTCAAATCACCGACATTTGCCAAACCATGCCTGGTTCCCATTGCAACCTCGATCATGAAGCCCACGGCATGGGTCTTTCTCACCGGCAAGGCCCACGCCGAATACCGTCGCGGCTTGTCTGGGTTGTTCACAAACAAGGCCCTGAGTACCTACCTCCCGGTGCAGGAAAGAGTGTACGGCGACTACTTTGAACGGTTCGTGGCGGCCAGTGCGGCCAACGGCGGCAAGCCCACAGCCTTCATGGGCCACTTTAGGGAGATCAATTGCGCCCTATCCTGCCGCACCTTTTTCGGCGACTATATCTCGCAGGCGGCTATCAAGCGCATTGCCGACGACTTCTATCTCGTCACGGCAGCCCTCGAACTCGTCAATGTCCCGCTGTCCATGTACGTGCCTTTCACCAAGCCCTGGCGCGGCAAGCGAACGGCCGACGCTGTGCAGGCCGAGTTCACCAGGTGTGCCGCGGCCTGCAAGGCCAACATGGCCTCGGGCGCCAAGCCGACTTGCATCGTTGACCAATGGGTTATGCACATGATGGAGTCGCAGCGGTATCGCGACCGGCTGGCTGCCGGCGAGTCTGTGCCTGACGAGGAGAAGCCGGGGAATTTGATCCGCGACTTCACCGACACGGAGATTGGCCAGACCATGTTCACCTTCCTCTTTGCCTCCCAGGACGCTTCGAGCAGTTCCACGACTTGGCTGTTCCAGGTGCTCGCCCAGCGGCCCGACGTGCTGGACCGCCTGCGCGCCGAGAACCTGGCCGCCCGCGGCGGCGACAGCACCCGGCCCCTGGACCTGGCCATGTACGAGTCCCTGACTTACACCAACGCCGTGGTCAAGGAGCTGCTGCGGCACCGGCCGCCCGTCATCTTTGTGCCCTACCTCGCGACGCGCGACTTCCCCGTGACGCCGACTTACACGGTCCCCAAGGGCGCCATGATCGTGCCGTCGTGCTACCCGGCGCTGCACGACCCGGCCGTCTACCCGGACCCCGACCGCTTCGACCCCGACCGCTGGATCACGGGCGACGCGGCCCGCCACACCAAGAACTGGCTCGTGTTTGGCGCCGGTGCCCACGACTGCCTGGCCCGGAGCTATGTGCCGCTCACCATGGCGCACATGATTGGCAAGGCCGCGCTCGAGGTCGACTGGGTGCACCACCCCACCCCGCGGTCCGAGGAGATAAGAGTGTTCGCTACTCTCTTTCCCATGGTATGTTCTCTCCTCTTACTCTCCCTCCCTTCCAGCCCTCGGGATTATCACCATTATTCGCCTTGTCCAAGGTATTTGCTTATGCAGAATCATCGTGCAGGATGAATGTCAGCTTGTCTTTACTAAGCGCAAGTGAGTTTGCAAACAATGATTGCCCAAGTGCCACTATATTGTATAAATGGCAGGAGAGCTGCGATGCATGGTCTCGCTTGACCATTCTAAGATTAGACAAGAAAAGCATCTTTGTATTTCTCCCGGTCCTATTCGCCTATCATTCCAGGCATCCAGTGTCCAGCCCGTGAACTAGATTGCGGGGAAACCTCAGCTTCATAGGAGAAGAGTATAAGGGTACGGCCCGTGGGACAGCCTATAGTGGGAGAAGATCAAGAGTTCCAAGGTGACAAAGGGACCATTCATTATATGATTGGATTGTATGGAAGTGATCAACTACATTAACTGAAAAATTGATGGCACTCTTGAGTTAGTGGTTATGGACGGTATCAAAAAAAAAAAAAAAAAACATCACAGATCCACCAAAAAATCAACGTTCAGTCGGCATTTTCAGGCAACAACCGACTTATCAACAAAACAAAACGAAGATGAAAAGAAAATGATAATGCCAAAAAAGCTGATATGCAAAGTAAAAAACATACAACACCAGGGATTCCCCAGTGGTCACCCACCTGAGTACTGATCCGGCGATCGCTTGTTTATCTAGGGCAGAGCGGACGGGATGCCGAGTTCTCAAGCGTCTATGGTCGTATGTGATAGTACACGTAATTAATCAAAATTATAATGTTGTGATACTCCAAGATAATGATGGCCATATCCAATGCATCGCTGATGCGCACTTCGGAAATAGGTGCTCGCAATTTTGTTTGGCCTGCCGGCGCCAGCCCTTGGAGCTACGGCATTTAAATATTTACATTGAGGACCTCAGCACGCCCGCTCCCTTTGCTGTTACCGAACACTGGAAACAGTCTTTGAGGTTCTGTTTACAGGGGAAGGGAGGATACAGAGTGGACGACCGAACACAGGAAAACGGAGTGTTGAACTTTTATACATCTTGGCGTCTTGCATATACACACTGACACCCCGATGTAGTTATCAAATAGATGGTGTCAAACTTGAACTCAAACAGTTTCCCCGTTCAAGATGCCATTGGTGGTGTATTGCAATTATCAACAGATCCCATGGCCGACTGACTCCCTTGGTCTAAGGTTCGCTGTTTCGTCTCATCCCGACCTGTCGCAGCCTTGGGGCAACGTCTCCGCCCTCGAGGCTAACCCAAATCCTGGCCGCCATACTCTCCATTCCAGCCTCAGTACTGAGATCGGTTGCTTTCGCCTTTGGGCGGGGAGGGGCCACCATGATGGCCTCGTCAACCCAATGCGATCCACCAGGCCCGTGAAATAGAAAAGCCAACGGCGACGATTTCCACAATGGTAGCCCACGCCGTTGCGTTATAGAGATCGTAAGGGCAAGTACGATCAACGTCAGCGAGGCTACCACTGCTGGTAGTGTCAGCCAAACCCAGTTGGCCTGTATGCATGTGGCAGCGTGGAAGGCTTGCCCAATCACCGGCTCACTATAATTGGGATCACCATTTGTCCGAACCCAAAGCGTCAAGGTCTGTGCAACGTTTTCAAATGCCGAGGTGATGCCCGTCATATTAATTTTGCCGTCGTTATATAAAACTCGTAGTTGCTGGGGACTTGGGGCGTCATTGACGACCGCGCCTTCTAAGATGTCGGGAAGAACATCCATAAACAGGATACGGAGAAATGTTTCATTCATATGGTAAACACAACGCTTGAGCAACCAAGGCTCCGGTGGCGGTGTCGAGTCACCTGGAGGCACGCCAGGTGGCCGAAGGTTTAGACCGTAAGCAAGCCAGCGGCCGTGGCCATCCAAGTCAAAACCTGCGGTGATGAGCTGAGCGCGCTCTTCGTCAGAGATGCAAGACTTGTCAAGTATGCTCAGGGCTGAGTATACCGATGAAGTTGACGAGGCCCACAGAACATCTGTTGATGACTCAATTAAGGTCTCGTCAAACCGACCTGAGTTTATGTCGGCGGTGTGAGTTTGAACACACGGCTGAATAAAACAGGTTGCTGCCCCGTAGCCACGACAGCTCCATGTGTTGTTTGTCAGTTCTTTCTCGCAGCCCTCTGAGGGCAGCTGAGCAAGAGGGTCTTTAGCATAGATGATGCCATAATCATAGCCCAGGCTGATGTTATTTGGCCACGATACGGATGATAACCCAGCCACCTCTTGATTCATTCGCAACTTTGAATTTATTGTAAGCTGCTGGGGGGAATCCTTACTCTTGTCTCGTGGATCCACGAAATAGGAGGCTGACCAGATCGAATCGACGCTTGACGTCACGTTACATTGATGGTATGAATCAACGTTGTCCCCCTCCACCCAGAGGGCATCGCACAGAGAATAATCATATGTACAATCAATGATAGGAGGGAACTTGTTTCCTGCCCCTAGAGGATAATAATACTCCGTCCCGTTCTGAAACTTAAATACCTCACGGCAGAGACCTTGAACTTCCATTTTATCCGAAATATCTTGGCATTTGGTACAGAACGCGAGTGTACTGTAGTCAGTGCGGAACGTGCAGTTACCAGTAGAGCAATCGAAGTTCGAAAGCTTTGGTGGTTCATAATAACCTGAAGCGAGGGTTGCCGGCAGATCGACTGGGATGCCTCCGCCTGACTCATCCATTCCCGATATGCTGAGGAAATTCGTTCGAGGTACAAATGGTCTTTGTCCACTCGCTGATAGAACAGTGCAACTGGTCAGTTGTGCGAGCTGTTGGAAGAACGGGTCGAGAGCAATGCCAAGAATAGTGACTAATGCTGCCAGAGCCACAATGGGTTGGTGCAAATGGAGCTTGTACAGCGAAATGAATGCGCTATGGGACTTCTCCCCGCGTCTTGGAACAGAGCAGCGTCTTTAAGAGGACGTCGAGCGCGGAACCAGCTCCATTGAAGTTGACCGATACATGAGGTCAGAATAAGAGCCATGGTGCCTTTGAAGACGAAAGCATATGTGGAGATCAGAGCGTTGATGGAAATGGAAAGCGGCCAATCCGGCACAGGTTGTCCATCATGCATGCGTAATGTGATTATCGTGGCGATGATCATGATGAGGAGCAGGACAGCATTCACAGCCTCCCACGCCCAGTGCCGGAAACCATGAGTATGACGTTGTGGGACGCGAGCCTGGGTTTCCTTTTGACCTAGCTGCGTTGGCTGGAGTTCGCTCTCGGTTTGAGGTGTATGAGAATCAGGCCACGAGTTTGTCGGCATCTCGGTGTCATGACGACGATTACCCGGGTGCAACTGCGAAGGGTGATCGGTTGTTGACCCGGAAGGTGAGGTCAACTTAGCGCTCGAAACGCTCAAATCTGTATTAGCAGAATCATCGGGCTGTCGTGCAATGTTCTGGTCACCATCGCTAAGTAGGGAGACTGTGGTTGACGGGGTTTGTGCCATGTCTACCTGATTCAATGATTCAACAAAGCTAGAAGCGCGGGCTAATGACATCCTCTAACCGAAAGATCAAGACTGTAGGATGAGCGGCTTGGCAGGGTGTATATAGAAAATGAATGAGTAAACCAACACGTTCATGTCTCGTGGCGGGACAACACGTATGTATTTGTATTTGCTTCTGAACTTGGTACATCTGTGAAGCTTATCATAGCCCACGTCCGTGACACACGGAAATACAAGAACGAGCCTTTCAATCACCGGAGTTGTTGGAGCTGCGCACGATTTGTGCAACCCAGGGTTGAGAAAGTGTAGCCACCAATGCTGCGCAATATGTCAATAGCATGAGGAACAGAAGTTTGACATATGGACGAGCATTGTTTCCCAGTGGAACGTTAAGCTTTCTTATTTCCAAGCAGTGACCAAATCTCCCATCGTTTATTGCAACAGTTCCCACGCAAGAACGTTGAGACTTTGCAACAATATTGCGAAGACTAATTGAACCTCATGTATTGTGAGGTGGTGAAGTAGTGCCTAGTCGCTGACAGCGCGACCCGATACCGAGATGTATGTATGTACGGACTCAGCCCCCCGACGCACTTCGTGGAACAGCAATGTCTGACTCTGAACCAATCATGTGAATCCAGATTGGCATATACAGCCGTGCTTACCGTGAGGCGTACTTGTGGTTGGATACCATGTACCTAACCAGAAATTGATGAGCGTGGATATTATTGCTTATGACTCGCAAACGCTGGCGTGCGTGGCCCGAGGTCTGCCGTGCTTCCATGCATGGGAATTAGGGGCAATGCAGGAGCAGCACAAAATGTGGCAGAAGAAACAACAGGCAGATGGATTGGTACAATGCCGGTCCCTGCCGTGATTATACCGAAGTGCTCTACCACAGATTGATCGCGCGGGTACCTTGCAGACTTTACGTCCTGGCCAATGCCTTGTATATGGCGTTTTCTCGGCTTATTGAGGGCCAGAAAGAAAGGAGCCCTCAAGGATAGCAAAATTCAGCTTAACTCGCCACAACAGCACTATAATCAAGAGACATGTATCAATAGCAGTGCCGTGTAAAACTTGCTTGCTTTGAGAGGTAATGCTACGAAACTGAATGATGAGTGTAGCTGTCTGTGCTCACAGCAGATGCCATGGTGTATATATATATATGCAATAATCATGAAAGTCGTGTCCAAGTGCTCCAAATATCAACACACACACACACTATGAACGCCGCAATGGTCCCAGATATTTCCGGTCTAGATATTGTACAATATTTGATTTTCGCTTCCAGAGGCATCATCAATCAGATGCAATGGCCAGCTCGACTCAAATCTCACCCCAGCTTCCCATTGGCCCTGCCGCAGCAATCAGTGAGCCCGTCCCCACCGAGCCAGCGCCGATATCCCAATAGTGCCTAGAGGAGCAGCTGCTTCTTCGAACGGACTTTCGTGTACTTTGACTAGCACAGCTAGAAGCACGCCTAAAAATCACAGGACTTGTGGGCGTTGCTCCCCTGAATGAACGCCTCTCTGGGGGACGGATCTTCGACACAAGGGGATGATGCTGCCGCACACGGGCAGCTTTTGCAGCAGCGTCCTGATTACTCGAGGTGGCTGGATGGGATCCTGTTGACATGTTGCCCGTGCTGTTTGATCGGGACAAGAATCGCGATCGGAGGTAGCGAAAGATAAGCCTTACGTCCAAGTCTTGCTCCCACTCATCCTGCGTGAAGGCAGTAGCAGTAACCGCTTGTTGGTCACCAGTGATATGCGATGCAGTATGAGAGTGCGCTGGAGCTGCTTTCGTCTGAGGCACATCTATCGGGCTCGAATGAGTCGGAATGGTTGGTTTAAATTCAGGTATTGATGTCCTCGGATCCGCTTCCTGCAATGGCGCTTTAGTCATGTCATTTGTTGTTTCCGCAATGGGCGGGAGACCCGCATATGGTATTGGCATCTGCTGCATCCGCGTATATGTCGAAAATGCACCAGGATGCTCTGACAACTGATAAACAAACGAGCCCAACTCCTTTGCGATTCTTTCGAGCATTTGCAGTTGCCATGATGCATGTTCCGAATCAGTCATGTTGGTGTCCTTTTGCGACTCGCGTATTAGTGTTGATGCCTTTGGTGTAGAAGATAGATCGTCCTCGTCCGGCAACGACTCGCCAAAGAGTATGGATAACAGTTTGTCATCAATGCCCATAATGTCCCGGATAACCTTTCGGGTGATGCGACCCAGGAATGTTTCGCTCTCGTCTAGGTCGCTTGCTTGCTGCTCATGCCAAGCATCATCCTCGTCTAATGTCTCTTGAACATTCGAATGGGTGTTGTCGGGAACAACATTCTCCACCCGTTCAATGGTCGAGCGAGCGCTGGCGGCTGATCGTCTCCTCCTCCTGGTTTCCTTTTGAATCTCTTCCAGAAGGCAACGGCTCTGCTCCAATCTCCAGGCCTCGATTCGTCCCATCTTATCAATCTCTTGTTCCTGTTCAATATCCAACTCAACCTGAGCCAGCTCTAGACTTTCGCGTCGCCTCTTGACCCGACGCGGGTTGTATCTCTCAAAAGCATACAGCCTGTCTTGTATATCGGGGCCCATGCCATCATGGTCAAGGCGGAATGAACCAAGACCATCGTGTGCTGGTACAATGGGAGCCAATCCAGGGGCCGAATGGGAAAAGTGTGGCGTTGATCGAAATTCGGGGAGATGGCTGTCCAAGCTGTCCAATTCTGCATCGTCCTCTTCATCGTCGTCATCTTCTTCGTCTTCCTCATGTGTACTAAGCGATCGTCGTCGGCCATGACTGTCTGAACGGGCAATGGTATGGACGCTGCCAAGGTCACTTAGTCGCGAACGGCCAGGCGTGGACTCACTGCGGTGTGTTTCTGTAAGATACGACGTTGTAGTTGCGGCGTCGTTGATAGGAGAAAACAGCACCCAAGTTTGTGATTCATCGACAGCCGACGCGGCTGGACGAGGTACCTGTCGCACATCTTCCTCCACTGCCGGGTGATACACACGTTGTGTGGCTTGGCGGGTAGGTTGATGGAAAGCCATGATGGGCGATGAATACGTCTAGATTGCAAGCTCTCGATGTTGAGAAGGGGTGCGCGACCACGTTGGGACCCGGGCGGGACGGCCAACTTATGATGGTCGGTGGTCACCCAGGCTGCGGGGGTAATTAATAGCACGTCTGTATTGCTGCTGAGTCTTGGGATCGACAGAGCCTGGGGTGTTGCAGACGGGTGGGTAAGATGGCAGGAAAATCTTCTTTGATGCAAGTAAGACGTGACAGCCCCCCTCGCTGATGAGAATGTAAAGTTGACAATATTTGAAACTGCGCCCCTATCTTTGGGGCCGAACAGAATACGTTGTGCTACCGTGAGAGGGCGTTGAATCAACTATACTGGATGGCGTCAAGACGCTAGCTGAGGCGTGTAAGTATATGGGATAGTGGGCCAACGAGGCAAACGTATGCGGCACAGGGAAAGGCGTCTGGGCGTTGTTGTTGGGGGGTTTTAGTTTAGCGAGGATAGGTAGCAAAGTGACGAGGAGCAGTAAGGACTCTCTGAAATGCTGAATATTTTCATGAAATGGCGATCCAATGACGGAACTCTAGTCAGGTGTCCGATTGGGGGACCTGTTGATGATCGCGTGGTCGTTGGTTCGTCTTGATGTCGTTGATTGTCTTGGGAACGGCTCTTGCCCCCCACTTCGACTTTAGCGGGTGAGGACGGACGGGAGTTGAAGAATGCAACCACTATTGACAGTAGGCTGTCAGACTTTCGGCTCAGGGGCAACGAGAAGCGGTCAGCAAACGACACGGAATGAACGTGGAATATTTATTCTTGTAGTCACATGAGATCAGATCAAGAAGAAAACGATGGGGGACATGAGCATTTTTGTTGTCGGGCTGCCGCTCTGCTTGCGCTGGGATGGTCGTTCTATGTTGTCATCCAGTCTGGTGATGAGCTGGGCGGGGGGTGGATCAGGTTAAAGCAGCTTGGGCAGCTTATCAGCGCTCGCCGCGCCAAAAGAGCTTATCAACCCTCGACGCCCGGTTTCCGATTAGGTGCAAGAAAACAGGCCGGAATCGCTCCCCCGACCACCCCCAGGGCCAAAAGTCCACTCTCTTGCATCAGATAATCGCAAACTGACGCGCATCTGCGCCTGCGTACCCGTACACTACAATGCTGCGACAGGAGGATCTATTCATCGTACGGAACCGGAATACTGCATAGTAATCAAACAGAACGGGCGCTTGTCGTAACGGTTTTTAGGATTTCTTCTATCAAGAGAAAACGGTTCAACTAATGCACAACTCTTGATAACGTTTGGCACGTTCCTACATCCGTGTAGGCATACAAACAGCATAACTACTACTATCTTCTAGTCTGGCGGGTATGCAGCCCCAACGAAACTAAATAGCAAGAGATGACAGCTCGAGAAGGAATGGATTGCTCACCATGCTCAAACACTAGGCCTTGGACCTACTCTACCTGGCTGTTGGAGCCGAGCTGTCAAAGCACTTGCAAAGTATCCAGTCAATGTCCAAATGATAGAAACAGGGTCTGCACGTTGACAATGACTCGGACTTTGCGCTATGATTAACACGACGGTCCTTTTGCGGACTTTCTGATGATCTCATTCGGGACAAACGCTCCAGACTGGACTGCGATTCGGGCTTGTATCGCTCGATTGTTCTAAACACAACTCTCCCGCAGACGATACTGTCGCCGAGGTCGCAGAGTTAACGGCCATCCCGATATATCCTCAGGCATCTTTCCATGTTTGGTGACGGAGCCCAGGACGCTGGTTCGAGATGATCTCTTGGTCAAAATATGCCACCATGAACGAGATGTACATACAATACATCGTAAGTGACTCTAGGTTTTCGAGAATTTACATTCACAACGCGGAAAACACATGCACAAATTTGCAAGCATTGTGGATATCGGAAAGTATAGTGATTGTGGTGCAAATGCAAAGATCCTCAATTGACTGCCCATTTCACAGTACAGTGCTATGTTGGTAGCCGAATCAAACGCCAGTCCATTTCCCGTTGCTTCTCATGACACACGACAGAACATCCTCTAAGCCTGGAAAGCGTCGGGGAAACGCTTCATGTTGTTCTCCAGGTTGCCGTGGTTGGTAAGGAACTGAACGTAGGCACCGTCGACCTTGACGCGGCCAGCGGCGACCTTCTCCAGGTACTCCTCGCGGCGGAGGGGAGTGAAACCCCAGTTCTTGGAGATGATGATCTTTTGGCGACCGGGGAACTTGTACTGCGAGCGGCGGAGAGCCTCAAGAGCGATAGCACGGTCTAGAAGCATGGTTAGATTTCGACGGACATATCCAGTCATGGCGGCTGGTGTGCCGCAACCCGGGATAACTTACTAGAGTCACGAGTACGGACGCTCATGATGATCTGACCAATGTTGACACGGGCGACAGTGCCGTTGGGCTTACCCCAGGCACCACGCATACCGGTCTGCAGTCTATCGGCACCAGCGCAAGACAACATCTTGTTGATACGGACGACGTGGTAAGGGTGAGCGCGGACGCGCAGGTGGAAACCCTCCTTTCCGGCGTACTTGACAAGGTACTTGTTGGCGCAGATACGGGCAGCCTCGAGAGCCTCAGAGGAGAGCTGCTCGTACTCGTTGGAGACCATGTGGATGCATAGCGGGAAGTCGTCAACCTTGGCGCGCTTGCGGCCCAGATCGAAGATTCGGATCTTGGGGTCAGGGACACCACGGTTGAACCGGGACTTGGGATACGGCTACATTTGTCAGGTCAGCCTCTGCAAGATTCCATTCGCACGAATCCTCCCCAAATGACTACGTCCTCGCGATCAAACGACCCGATATTTGCCTTGGTTGCCGACCAGAAATACAAGTTTGATGCTCTGCCGTCGCAGTGATGATGATGATTCGTTCCAAGATAACCAAATTTTTGTCTCGTAGGCGCGCAAATATCGGGTCGTTCGGATCGGGTAGGTCGTCGGATAGGAGAAAAAATCGAGGAGTCCGGTCTTCAGCTCAAACTCACCTTGTTCTTGCAGTATCGGTAGCAACGAGCCGGACGACGAGCCATCTTGACGGTATTTCACGATGGTGTTGCTGGGTGTGGGTTGGGGTGGTTGATGTCGTCAAGTGGTGAGAGGCTGCCCACTTTTGAAGGAATTCCTTACCTGGCTTAGAAATCAACCAGAGGCAACTTTTGCGGGAGTCACAGAATGTGGTAGGCTCAGTAAGCTGACCAATCAGCACTTTGCCTCAAAAGTGGAGCCTTAGGGTGCCTGCCCTTTGCAACCGCAAATTCTGGGGCACGTGCAGACCAGTCGAGCTAGTGGGGACCCAGAGCAGACTGAAATCAAAAATTCACAAATACTCCGACTTGAAAGTTCGGATCTTTTTTTTCCTCACGCCCAACGACAAACACCAGAACCAACCGTCAAGTCGACCAGCACCACCAGTCACAATGGCCCCCAAGAAGAACAAGAAGGATGCCAACTCCCTCTCCTCGCGCCTGGCGCTTGGTAAGAGACCCCGCCGCTGCGCAAGGATCGTTTGTATTTTGATGCTAACTGCTTCCACAGTGATGAAGTCTGGAAAGGTCACCCTGGGCTACAAGTCGACCCTCAAGTCCCTCCGTGCTGGCAAGGCCAAGCTCGTCATCATTGCCGGCAACACCCCCCCGCTGCGCAAGTCTGAGCTTGAGTACTACTCTATGCTGTCCAAGGCTCCCGTCCACCACTTCAGCGGCAACAACGTAAGTACATTACAATTCTTTGCAGGACGGTGAATTGGTCGAACCACGGGCAACTGTAGTCGACCATGTCCGCTTGCATTCGGCCGATGCAGACTTACTCGTCTGCGTCGTGTCTACCCAGCGAAAAAGTCTCATGTAGACTTTGGAGGGCAAAATCAGTAGCTAACCTGAACCTCTCCTACAGATTGAGCTCGGTACCGCCTGCGGTAAGCTCTTCCGCTGCAGCACCATGGCCGTCCTTGACGCTGGTGACTCCGACATCCTTGCCGACCAGCAGTCGTAAATTTGACATGCAATCTTCGAATTTCGGAAGGCGTTAGGGATACTGGTCTGGGGTAAAAAATGGGAATGATGTTTGTCCATCTCGGTCGGCTCATGTAGTGCGTATCTGCACTCATCCGGCATTCGAGGCTTCACGATCACCCGGCGTCCAGAGATATAGTCGAGTAGATGAACGAAATCTGATGCCGAATGTCAACTTGCGACATGAACAGTAAAGGCACCTCGCTTTGGACGAGGCAGCACAAGTGATACCCAATTTATTTGTTTCTTCGATTTACAAATGTCGTCCTGCTATTGTGTTGTGATTACAATTGAATTCTATGGTTGCATACGCATGGTCGAACGGTACCGCCCAAGCCAGAGTTGGACAAGATATTTTGTACAGGGTCAACGATGTTCCGCGTTAGACTCCGGGTAATAATTGGACCCGATGGTTTTTTTTTTCTTTTTCTTTTCCTTTTTTTCGTGTCTGACTTTGACAGCGGATAATTGTCCCGCCTCGGAACATAAAGTACTCTACACAGTGGCATTCAACGTTTGGTAATCTACAATGCATGACGTCCCGAATAACATGTAGAGTTCGATGGTAATGTGTAGATTTCGGCTGAAACAAACCTATCATTTCTTTTGATTTAAAGTTCCGCAATGACCGTAGCAATTGTTTCTATTCCCATGTTTCTTGAGTGGTCTCTTGTCCGGCATCCTCCCGAATCCACAACCAGCAGCAGGTAAAAGGGATAGCTTATCACGTGGTACGGTAGATGCCTCAACGTACCCAGCAACGCAGTCGGTGAGTGTGTATGTATGGAGACCAATAGTGGGCAAATTCGCTCAATGGAGACAATGCAACGTGGTCGAAAATGTTCCCCCGACCACGGGTGGAATAGGCAATGATGGAAGAGGTTTGGTAGGGAAGGAAAAGAGTACAGGCAAAAGTATCAATCACTACGAGATGACTTGAGAAGTGAGGACAGGCGAAGAGACAGACTGTACGACTGGCTGGCATTATCACATGGGCGTCAAGGGAGGCTGCAATCCATGTGCATAAACTCTGAAATTACTGCTTACGAACAGAGTTGAGTGCCGGGCGAGACAACACTGATCAATGAATGGCATTGTGTGGGGTGGAGTCTCTAGGTGTACTGTGCTTGGAGGCTACGTTAGGACAAAGGGTTCCCCCAACGCCAACCAGACGGTCGAGGCTACTACTAACCTATCACTGGAAAAGGCCATGGAGTCAAGAGACACGCTCAGCGCCACAGAAATCCAAGCAATACTTTGTACACGTATTCTCTGGGGGGTCTCTTGAGAATCATCATCTTCATGATGCATTTGCCAAATTTGAAGTCGAGTGTCGTGTTTCAGCGAGTGACCCGAAATGATGCACTAAATTACTCGTTGTTGATGCAGACGGAAGCTTGAACATGTAATGCATGTATCGGGTGCCTGGCAGCGAGTGAGGACACCCCAGGTGCGTCTCCCAGGATGTAGCGTCTAGCGGACAATGCCCCCCCCCAGTTACCATGGATGATGGATGAATGAATTGTTATGTACTTGCAAGCCCTGGGGGGACATCCGAGCCAAAGTGAGCACCAGACGCATGGAAACGAGTCTTCAGAAGTACTACTTACACAGACAAGGTATCCAAGGTAACCACTGTAAGGTTTTTCTCAAAAATCTTTGACCGTGATAGTTTATCGAAAATGCGCAGTGCTCCAAGCCCATTCATTCATAATTCTATTCCATGTGCAAAGTATACAGACAACTAGCGATTGCAGGCGTGTAGATTGCAACGGCTGTCTCACACTATCGAGTTGGATGGTGCGGGACTGGCCACCGCCTAACAAAGGTCGGGATCGCCAACGCATCCATCAAACTGGCACTGCACAAATCCTGGCCCGAGGGACCTGCAAGATGCACTGAGGATCTCTCGGATCATATGGCGGACTGCGCTGTACGGGTTTTTGCTTCTTGTGGTCTGTTTCTTTTCCCATGGGTCAGATTAGCAAACAAGTTTACGTTGGCTCCTGGGCGACTCCTCCTGGGACCGGACGACTTACCGCATTCTTCTGACAAGAGACAAGCTGTGCGAAACAGTGGTGGTACTTTACCTACGTCGAGGTTACCAACATTTCACACAGCTGCCGACCACAGCTCATGACAGATTGATCTAAAAAGTGAAGTTACATATTTAGATATATTTTACGCTATCTGCGTTAAAAACAGGAGCGAGCGAGCTACTTTTGGGGCTTTCGGGCTTACACACCATCCTCTTCGTTTGTACTTCAGCTTTTCATTGTACCTAGTATTATCCGCCAAAGTTCAAGCTTCTCTTTGGCTTTTTCCTTGGCTTTGACTTTTTCAGTGCTTTGCTTGCGTGCTGAGCCCTGCCCACTCTGCTCTACGCTGCTGGCTGCTCTGTTCTGTTCTGCCCTGTCAACAGAGAGGCCCAAACCGGCGCTACCGACACCCAACCCTGGATTACTAGGCCGACGCAGCCCAGACTAGGCCAGTGCTGTTCCGTACTAGTCCACTTTCCAAAGGGGGGGAGACTGCGGCAACGGCTGAGCACGAGGGAAACCACCGCCAGTCAACATCGAATCAAATCATCCATCAACACCCCGACTGGAATCGGTCAAAATCCTGGGAAATCCATTCCTTCTTTATGCCAACCTAACAGCTATCTTTTTTTTTTCCCCTTCCTACTCAACCACACCCCCAAAAAAGCAACCCCCCAAAGTATCGTCTGTTTGTTTGAGACGGACACAGACAGACAGCATATCTTTAGATATATGCTATCTGCACCACACAGCGCGCGGGCAACCCAAAAGGAAAAGACAAAAAGCAACCCACCGCTCACCGCGCTTTTAAGGTTCACCGTATCGATTTGCTGCCATGTCCACCGCGACTAGGAAGCCGCCCACCGCGGGACCCAACACCGCCGCTGCCACCTCGTCGTCGCCCTCGCCCTCTGCCGCACGCCAGGCACGTGGCTCTATTTCTGGTGCTTCATCGGCTGCTCAAAATGCTGCTGCCGGCGCTGGTACGCCCGCAAGGAGAGGTTCCATCAGGACAGGCACTCCTGTCTCTGCGCGCTCTGCCATGCACCGCGGCTCGTCCTCCCTGAGCATCCCCACAAGCGAAGCTGAAGAACTCGCACGCGCAGAGGCTGCTGCCATCGTCGAGGACCTCAAGGCTAGACTGGAAAAGGCAGACGCTGCCGCAGAACAGTACAGAAAGCAGACCGATGTCCTGCAGTCTAGACTCGACGAGGCCCTGAAGGAGCAGGCCAAGCTTGAGGAGCGCTGCCACGAGAGCGAGGAGCAGATCGAGGCACTGCGCAACGAGAAGCGGGAATCCGCCAGGCAAATGCGGGAGATGGAGACCATCTACGAGGCCGAGAAGAGCAAGATCCTCAAGGAGAAGGAGGACATGGCCAACAAGGAGGAAGAGATGCAGACCGTTATCAACAGGCTGAAGGATACTATTAACCAGAGAAATGTCGAGGACGACGGACGGTCATCGAGACACTGTAAGCTTCTTGGACCTCTACTCTCTACTGTTTCACTGTATACTAATATAGCCCCAAAGCCAACAATGCCTCGCCAAGTGTGGACAATGGCAGCTTCGCACCCCCTTCGTCAATCACTCGCAGCGACTCCAGGAACAACTCCAAGTTCCTCCTCCAGAAGGACAAGCTCATCGAGTCTCTCCGCCTTGAGCTTGCCGAGGCACAGATTAAGCTGGTTGAGTCGGAGAACCAGGGCGGTGGTCGCTTGCACGAAGTTGAGCGACTCCTTATGGAGGCTCGCATGGCGAATGCACGACTGATGGAGGACAATGAGTCGTACCAGCTGCTACTGCAAGAAAAGACTCTGACTGGCGACTTTGGCAAGGGTGACTTCAGCTATATGGGCGTCAGTGCCCACCAGGATGCTCTCGATGCACTTGAGGGCCGCCCTAGCTCTGGCGGAGACAAGGATACCACCGCTGGCGGCACTCTTGCTGACGAGCTTGGTGATGTTGCCGACGACTCAGCCATGTCGCATGCCGACGATGGCGACCATCAGCGTCGCCTCGAGGGCGAGCTGCGCGTGCTAAAGGACCAGAATAAGGCTCTGACTCTCTACATTAACAAGATTATCGAGCGTCTGCTTCAGCACCAAGAGTTTGAGCACATTCTTGACCAATCTACCGATGCCAAGGCTGGAGGCGCAAATGTAAACAAGGAGCTCCCGCCCGCACCGTCCGACAAGTCCGATGCTAACGCATCGTTCATCCAGCGTGCAAAGTCCATGGCCACAGGTTCCACCACGGCGCCACCAGTTCGCAAGCCCCGACCCATGACCTTCATGCCATCTTCGAACAATACTCTGCACAACAACCCCGAAACGGCCCCTAGCATTCCGATAGGTATGTCCAGAGCTGCTTCGACAAGGCGTGCTGGACGTCCCATGAGCGAGCAGTACCCCAGTGCAGCGGGCATAGTGAACGCCATGTACAAGGGACCCGACGGCCCAATGGGCCCCATTTCGCCCACGCTGTCCAACCCTCGCAACAGCGCCCAGTTCTTTAACGGCACGGGCTCGCCTCGCGTAGTTTCTTCCAGCAGCGGTGCACCAACGGCGGGTAACTTCCCCGGAATGCGCAGCGAGACGAGCAGCGTGAGTGGTGACTCTGTCACTGAAGGTACCAGCGTGAGCCAGAGCCCGCCTAGGACCATCAGCTCAGCAGGAGGCTACAGCCACACCGGTGAGAAGCAAGGCGCTACGTTCGCCGGTAACAAGCCGAGACCGTTGAGGCTGGTACAGGAAGAGTCGGATAGAAAGGCGGCCGAGAACAAGCGCGCCAGCTGGTTTGGTGGCTGGCAGAACTGGTCCGGAGCTGGCAAGAAGCCCGAGGAGGTTGACGCCATCAGGGAATAAAGGGCTCCTGCATATTGTGAGTGCTGAGCACTCACAGGAGCCACAACTTAAAGTCAAGAACGAACGAACGAACGAACTCTACGAACCGGAATGGCTGCAGAGGGCTTGTTGCTCCTGGCTGCGGTCTCGACTTCATGCATCAGACAGGAATTTCTGCATCAACGGCGCAACATTCTGTGTTTTTTCACGATCATCGAAAGACAATTTCATGGTGCTTACGGCCCACTTACCTGGGAATCTGACATGGCCCCCCAAAGAAAAGACGATTGGAATGATAATGGGATGGTGGGACAGATTAGTACTGTACGCGAGCAAAGACAGCCTCATGTTACATGGCATTGTTTATCATTATATAGATATCAAACGCCTTCCTTGGATAGGACAGGTCGGGATGTAGTAGATACCAATGTACTTCCTCAAAATTGTGATGTATTCAATTTCATTTTCATCTTTTCATTTGTCAATAGATAGTTTGCCCTAATTCAATAATGAAGCACCCTGAACCAAACACCTTTGTGTTGTAACGCATATATCCGCAGTACTGGGTTGAGCTACAGTGTGTAGTTATCATAATAATCCTCCATGCCACCGATGGAGACCTGCGTCCTAGCAATTACGCTCTGGGTTTTCCAAGGGTGAACCAACTTACCAGGTGCAAGAAATGACGTTTCCTTGGGCCCACAGCCCCTGGCCACGATGTGATGTGTGCTCATCAGCCCAATGACCATTTCATGCCCTTAGCCCTCCGCTCCATGGACGGAGCATGGAAAGGCAGAAAACCTGGAATACAACCACCATTTCTCTACGGGGATTGTACGAGTTTGAACGAAAAAGGGGCAAAAGGATCATGGCCCTTTTGACCCCTCTTGCACTAGAATTCTAGGTTAGGTAGTTTGACCTCGGCTTCACGGTTGAGCAACTCCTCTGGAGATCCGCCACATAGGAGATGGAAAACAAGGACATCGCTCCAGTAGACAAGTACAGACAGGAGAGAAAGGGAAAGAAGTGAGACATGGCAAGGAAAGAAAACAGGATCCCGAGTGGAATACTCTATTAGTTTTCAATCACCCATGAAGCTGGCTCCTATGTTTTATTTTCTTAACTAATATCAACCAGGGCCTGGCTCTCTATTATACAAAAGATGTGCTGGGTGGGTTAGGAGTCCTTTTTTGCTTGCTTCCTTTTCATGTCCTTGTCACCAAATAACCCCCCCTAATTCCTTGTTTCTGATCTTTCACAGGTGTATGATAAAGTCTCTCTAATTTTCTTCGCGTGATTCCCACATACCGAGGAAAATGTGTGCCAAACCATCCATCAAAGTCGTGAGCGTCGTTAAATTCTTCTTTCCTTTTTTATTTTCCAACCCTTTTTTTTCTTTTTCTTTTTCTTTTTCCCCCTTTCCTTAAACTCTGAAGAATCTGAGAAAGATTCTCGACCAAGAGTCGCATTGACGCCGAGTTAAATGCACCAAGTAGAGAAAGAGAGACGAAAAAGAGTGATGTTTGTGCGTTGCCAGATAATAGATAGAGCAGGAATCCCAACGGTCGATACGCCACTGGTTTTGTTTCTTGGTATTTGCCTGATAAAAGACGAGCGCAATATGATATTGTAGTAGAAGTGAGTTAAGCGGTTGTGGTGAGCATTTTTCGAAAAAAGCAAGAATAGAAAATATGGAAGCAATGGTGAAAGGAATCTATCCCCGTCATGTTCGTGTCGTCTAATCATTGCGTCATGAGGTATGATCGGAGGCGAGGAACCTTCTGATAACCGTCCTTGAGTGAGAGAATAAAGAAATTGGTCCCATCGGGTTGGAGAGCTCAATCACTGAATGTCCAGCATGCTGCAGAGCAAAAAATATACGCAGGCCGATCAGTCCGTCTTTCCATCGTCCAGTGCCTCAAGGGAGGCGTAGGGGTTGTTTGTAGGCAAATTTCCCTGAGTAGTCAAGCTGCCGTCTATGGGACTGGCGATGCTGCGACTCATTTGTGCAGAAGTGCGCGGCGGCGGAGGAGCTATCGGGCCAAAGGGTGAAGGGTGCCAAGCTTGAAATACTCCAATATTAGCCACATGCTTGTCTCTCTCTAGACATAGAGGGTTCAAGTCAAGGGAGACCTACCAAAATTGTTGGCACGAGATCCCAAATCCTGACTACCAACGCCATTTCTCGAGGTGAAGCCTCCTCTATTGTGCTGAGATTGCTCGATTCCACCATTCTTGCCAAAGACGTGGCTATTCTGCTGTCGCCAAGCCATGGCCGACGTGGAGTTGTTGACTGAATCATCAAAGTTGCCACGGATCTCGGTGCCATATCTGGCGCCGGTACGGTTGCTTAATTCGTTTAGTTCGTGCGTAGGTGTCACTTCGTTCATGCCTAGATTGGTGTTGGTCCCAGGGTTATCGCCCTCGGAAAGCGCCTCAGAGCCCAGGGTCTGGGACACATCCCTCTGCCTGGCGAGCTCGGCTTGGTGCTTCTTCCACCACGCTGGGAGGCCATGAAACAAGCCGAGCTGGTGCTGCGTAACCTTGTCAAATGGCATCTCGTGTTTGTATTTGCAGCCTTGCTGGGTAAATGCACAGACGCCCTCGTGAACCCATTTGTCGCAGTAGACCTTGGGTCGTCGTTGGGGCTGTTGCTGCTGTTGTTGTTGTTGTTGATGGTGATGGTGAGGGGCCGAGTTGCTCGAAAGAAAGCTAGGCGTGTTCTGATGACCTTGGTGCTGCTGCTGGTGACTGTTATTAATGTGACTGATCGAAAATGATGCGCTCGAGCTATGGTGCGTGGGGGTTGAAGGGGTCGTTGCAACAATGTTATCGATCCGCGACTGTCCCGATGAGTAGGTGATCACGTTAGCCGCAGGGACAGCGGGACAAGATGAAGATGTCTCTCTGCAAAATATTGATGGGCAGGAAGTAGAAAGGGCAGCATCGACAATGATCGATGAGTACAGCGAGGCAGTAATGGAGGTAGCAAGAACAATCCGACAGGCTGCCGAATCTACAGGCGCAGCATCCACAGCAATTTGAACCCTCAGTAGCAGGAGGCAAACTCACCTGAATATTATCAGCAGGGATTCCGGGGGTGGCGGGAGGAGTCTGTGTATCATATTAGTCAGTAATTCTCCGAAGCACATGTCGGGTATATTCCATTCAGCCAAGGCCTAGCATCTTCGCAAGAAGAGGCAAGGGTATTTTACTTACTCTAAGAAGAATCGGGTCGGAGTTGCTGGATCGACTGTTCGATAGAAATGCACGGGGCGTCGGAAGTACAATCATTCCCTGGCAGCCTTGCTGAAGTGCGGGAACATTCTGCAAAGTAGGCAGCATGTCGGCTGGGATGAGCTGAGTGTATTGGCCATTGCCACGATCAAAGCAATATGCGTAGCAAGAATCGAGCTGTAGGTCGGAGAAGGCGGCCATGTTGGGGTATGACATTAGAGCAGCATGTTGCTCCAGTCTGGGCAGACTGTGGGCAGGAAAGGAAGAAGGAGGACCACGGCTGGCCTGACTTGGAGTAGGAACATTGCCAACAACAGGGTCAAAAGAATTGTACATGATCTCGCCAAGAGGCTGTGTTCGCCAATTGTTTGAAGTGAGGCTACGCAGAGCCTGGGCACTGATGGAAGTGCTTGTACTCGGGCGCAGAGTCTGAGGCTGCTGAAGTGGAAATGGTCGCTGGGCCTGGGGACCGTTGCTCATAACATTGTTCTCGTTGCTACGCTCTGCAATCAACTTGTCCCGGCGCAAATTGACCGACTGGAAAGCGTTTCGTTCCATCGTCGGCTGAGATTCTAGTAAGGTGTTGCTGGTGGGCTCTATATCCGAGTTCGTGAACTGTGCGAGATCGAGAAGAGCGGAAGACGAGTGCGAGCTAGCTGGAGAGCCGATTCGTGTTGAGGCAGGAGAGACCCCGGAGGAGCAGAAGGACACGTCGGAGGGTGCTTTAATGGCAGGACTGTTGGTAGTGGGTAAAGATGAGGAGTCCATGATGAAGAGAGAGGCAGACTCTGGACTGGGGTCTTCGAGACACGGGGCCAGAACAGAGGGCTACTTCTAGCCAAAGGAATAAAGGAAGAGCAAACGGGCCTGGACTCACGCTACGTACACCGCAAAACTCAGTTCGAGCAAGAGAACGTATCCGGCACCTAGTTTAGAACGGAGAAGATCACCTAGAACGTGAATGAAATGCTAGACGAACGCTCCAAGATGAGACGATAGCAAGTTCAAGACAGCAGGAACCAAAGGCAGCCCTTATAGAGGGCCTTGAGACCCTTGAGATGGGCAACTCAGTTGCTTCCTCATCCATGGTTGCCATCACCACCGTTTGCAATGTCAAATAAGGTTAGATGCACCTGGACGGTTACCTGCAGTAAGCGTTGTGAATCCCACGTGATGATCCCTGTACGCAATTCACAATCCAAACACTGGTAACAAGATTGCCCACGTCTCGGTCACATTCACATTTATCAAGCGGGAGAAAGAAGTGGGCCTTGTGCAATCGTATTATCGTGACCTAGGCTCGTTCCTATGCTGCTTGTCTGGCGCCTTTCGATGCATGAGTGTCAGCAAGTATGATCAAACATCTAACGGTATTTACCACTGCAAAAACATATTTGCTGATGCGGATAGTACTTGGTTTCCACGAAAGTGGTGCAGACAGCCGACTGACTATAATGCTGCGCAAAACTTGAGATCCTATGTCTCAACCACTTTTTTTTTTTTTTCATCTTCGTTTCCTTACTTTTCCTTGTCAGGTTTATTTTCCGGTCATCAATTTCAAGCGCTCTTTGAGCTTGGTCCTAGCCATTTCTTTGATGCCTGCCCCAGTCTCGGTTTTTGAGGTTCTCAGGCTGTCAATTGCAATGCGAATCGATACCTCTGAATTGATATTAATGCACGACATGGGTTGATGCATATTGTCGCAAACGAAGCAAGGGCCTTTGACAGGCCTTTGTTGGACATTATTGAGCTTCTCGGGTGCTGAAGGGCGGGCAATCTGGGGATTTGTCGAGGTGCTAGCACTTGGAATCAATCCAGGAGGCATCATGCTGTAGCCCTGCTGCGACAAATGTGGCCTATTGGGCAAGTTTGGTTGTTGATGTATGGGCTGCTGCCCTTGATGCCAGGCTGATGCTATGGGACCTGCATTAGCTGCGTGTGGGATCTGATTACTTGAAAATTGTGGGAAGTATGGAGGGAACATTTGTGGCTGCTCAAGAGGATGTCTCTGGGCCATTTGCCACTGTTGCTGCAGACGTGCCTGTGTCTGCTGTACCGACTGATTCTGTAGCATGGCTGTTGGCATTGACGGCGACTGGTTGGGTCTCGCTTGATTGAGCATTTGTTGAGGCGGCAACGTGTGTATCTTTGGCGGTCGAGTCGAGTTGGCTGGTTCGGGAACCGTCGTCTTTGGTCTCGGCCTGGTTAGTTCGATCGATGCTTTTCTCGGGCGACCTCTGCGCCTTGGCTGCTGCACCTCGGTCGGAGGGGATACGGGGCGTGGAGGGGGAATGACCTGAGCAACGGGTGGTGGTTGAGGAAGCAGGTTTTCTGGGAGTTGAACGGCCATTCCTTCCGCTGCTCGACTGCGTGTTAATAGTCTTTCTTTTCTTGCTAGGTGGTGCCGTGCTTGGTGTACGGGGCGTTTTGGGTGTCTGTGGCTTATGGAGTATTGGAGCAGTGCGCTTTCTACCTTTGCGGGCTCTGCCCAGATCATCGCTGTCCAGGTCCGATCCTTCATCGTCACTCTCAGCGGATTCTTTGCCGCCCTCGAAATCATCGTCGTCTGAGGAATCGAGCGGAAGGTCTCCGAGAACCTGAGGCTGGTTGGAGGTTAGGAAGCTGTCATTAACACCTTCAATGAAGTAACCTACTGCAACATAGCGCACGTCCTATATTTGTCAGTAAGATATCTAGCCTGCGAGTTGCCTGGAAATACTCACTTGATTTCGACGGCGGGCACCACGGCCGTATTCGCGTTGCTGCGCTGCCACTTCCCGCTCATGCTCCTCCTGGCGTTGCTTGAGAATATTCTCCCAGACGTTCTGATCACTTGGCGCGTCTTCATTCTGAGCACTCTCATCATTGTTAGTAACCAGTGTGCCATGGCCATTCTCCCAGACGCGGGCAAAAGAGAATTGCGTCTCGGCCGATTTATCATCTCCAGCCATGGTACTCTCCATCTGACTGCGATCAATGAGTTTTTCAACAGCCGCCTCATCGTAAACAATGTGATCTCGAGCATCGTCACTGAACAATGCTTCAGCTCCATGCTTGAGAATTGATTCGAGGTCATCCCCAGCATCTTCACGCACGTCCATGCTTTCGATCAGTGCATGGTCCAGAGCCATTTTCTTGCGTCCAATCTGCATAATCTTTTCTTCAACTGTATCCTTGGTAGTCATCTGAAAACAAAGAACCTTGTTCTTCTGTCCAATGCGATGCGCGCGAGATAGGGCTTGAATGTCTTGATGTGGGTTGAAATCGGGATCGTAAATGATGACGGTATCAGCTGTTGCAAGGTTGATACCGACTCCACCAGCACGTGTCGACAGGAGCATGGCGAACAGTGGTGAGTTGGGTTCGTTATATGCGTCAATCCTCTTCTGCTTTTCAAGGGCGGAGAGGCTGCCGTCGATTCGGGCATGCGCCAAGCCAAGAGCTGTGAGGAAATCCTCAATAATGGTCAGACTCAGCAAGAACTGACTGAAGATCAAAACACGATGACCCCGTTCTTTCAGCTTCGGCAGTAGTATGTTCAAGAGTTTGAGCTTTCCCGAAGCCTCAACCAGATTGTGCTGAATGATGGCCGGATCTGTAACAGTTCGATCTTCGACTGAATCGCTGAATAGGAATGGATGGCACAATACACGGCGAAGCTCCATGAGTATATTGTTCAGTCCCTTGCGTTCTCCAGCCTTGGTTCTGCCTCCAGAGATGATTGACCTGATGAGATGGGAATTCTTCGAGATGATCGACTTTGAGAGCTTCTCTTGCAAGAACGTCATAGTCACAGGCAAGATGATCTGAGCCATCGGTGGCAGGAACTTGAGTACCTGTGCCTTCGTGCGACGTAGGAAATACGGCCTGATCAACTCATGAAGTTCATGAATGGTGTCCTTGGTGAGATCAGCGTATTTCGCATCAAGTTCTTCAGCGTCAAGTGCAGGATCAATGAACTGCAGAAGGTTGAAGAGTTCGCGCTTGTTGTTCTGTAGAGGTGTTCCTGCATGTAAATTTAGTCCTTGCTCCAATTTATTGGAAACAGTGTGTCTTACCAGTCAGAAGCAACCTGTATGGTATCTTCATGTCCCGCAGCGCACCGTATAGCAAACTCTTGTCGTTCTTCAGTCTTTGACCCTCGTCAACGATCAAGCCCTGCCACTTGACAGACCGGAAAGTGGACTTTGCATCGACAGCCGCCTCGTACGACATGATTACAACGTGTGCCTTGATGCCACCCTTGACACCTTCAGGAAAGATTTCGTGTCTGAAGGCGAGATCTTGAGCTGCTCTGCCGCCGTGGTATGTACAAACGCGTAGATCAGGGGCCCAATGCTTCAACTCGCGGCGCCAGTTGGGGCAGGTTGAGTTGGGAACCACAATGAGAAAAGGCCAACAGTTGGGTTTGTCATGAACAAGAGTCGTGATCAAGGAGACGACCTGGACGGTCTTTCCCAGACCCATCTCATCTGCCAAGATGATATTCAGAGATTGATGGAAATTGAATAGCATCCAATTCACTCCTTCGAGCTGATATGCCATGAGCTTTCCTCGCTTGAGGCTGTCTGGTTGTTCATGGAGTTCGCAATGTCTCTTAAAGTCAAGGCCACGGAATTGCTTGACCCGTTCTGCCATCTTCTGGTCAGAGACATATGGAAAGTAGACACCTTCAATGTAGTCACTGTACGCTGCTTGGAATGCTGCGTAAGGTGCCCCAGAGTCCTTTGAAGGCGGCTTGTCCCAGACAACCTCCGTGTAGCTCAAACCCTGGAACTTGACGAAAATCTCTTTCACGTCTGAAATCCGGGCAAGGTCCTTAGCCTTGCTCGAGTTCGATGCATTACGTGTGTATTTGAGATTCAAAATGACGTCAGGGAGAAGCCACTCTTCATCCACAGCCTCTTTGAATGTCATCTTCGGGAGCATGCTCTCCTCGCGTTTCAGGAAAGCGATTCGCATAGGCGCCGAGGCTACACCAAAGATCCATGCACCAGGCATCCAGGTGTCGTGGAAGTGAGAGGTCTTCTGCCATTTCACCAAGTATTCCTTGTGATCCTCGGAGAAGTCCAGGGCAGTAGTTCCAGGAGTGTATGACTCTTGATCAATGGGACGCCATGCAACCAGTGTTTGGATACTATGCTCGGCGTTGGCACAATCTTTGCAACGCCAATCTAACATGGCATACTCCTCCAGGCGAGCCTCTCGCAAGTCATCGGGTATTTCGCTCTCTTGTGTAGTCGGCGGCAAGTGGTCGAAATGATACCCACGCTTGCAAGCAGTGCAGCGAAACAAGAGTGTGTCGGCGTTATTGATAAGATCTGGCTTGACTTGTGTGATGGGATCCTCGCCACCATTTTCGAGCCGCAATCGCTCCTCGACCTTTGGTGTCTTTTTTGAAGAAAATTCGGAACAGGATGCGCCTGTCAACTTGCATGATTGACACATGGCAGAGTTAGGGGCAGATTCATCCCTTTTCTGGTATATTCCTATGCAATACCGACACTGTAGGACAAAGTGATCGGAACCAATCTTGGTGACTCGGTGGTCTCTGACTGATCTCTGCCCCAGACAGATCTTGTGATAAGACGACGAACAACCTTGACAGCTGATGAGAGGGCCTTTGCCGACGTGAGCGTCAGAACCACAAGTCTCACAATTGGTTGCATGCAATTTCAAGAATTCAGAAGTTTCTGGGAGCGGCGGGAAGATCTCCTTGACCGAAACGTGTTTAGGAGCACCCGAGACTTTCTCCTCAATGATTTCGTACTCATCATCGATGTCTGGAACGATGTAAGTCGTCTCCTTTGTAGCGCGGCCCGATTTCCGAACAGGCTCAAACTCAATGGAGGACTCTCGTCCATTTCTGCGAGTATTTTTGAGCTTGGGCCTGCCTTTGCCACCTTTCTTCTTCTTCTTCTGGCTGCTCTTGAAATCCGGTAGATCTGAAGTGACGGGCTTGAAGGCATCATCAGAATCGTTGGCCAACTCATCTTCAGAGGAGGGGATGAAGGAGATGTAGCTTTTGCCAATCGAATTTCGAGGCCTTGTACTTCTGCGGGTAGTGGGTTCTTGAGGTGTCTTTTGGTAATCCTCGTCATCGTCATCATCTCCACCATCGAGGAGCGTATCGGCCTTAGCAAAGGCATCATCGATGTCATGGTTGGAGGCGTAGTCAACCGAAGCCTGTCGCGATGTTGTTTTTTGCCTTGTGCTGCGGCGAAGGCCCATCCGTGGCTGCTCAAACTCCATCGTGTCTTCGTCACTGGAATCGATAATCCGGCGACGCTTGTTACCGTAGGAGGTTACTATGGAGTTGTCATTGGCGTCCCGGCTTTGCTGAAATCTCTCTAGAGCGAGGGAGCCGTTGCTGAGCGAGCGCAAGTCGTCATGTGCGAGCTCAAGAAAAAGTTAGCCTGGAGTTCAAGATTGGTGACCGACCTTGGAAAAAGAAAAGGGAAGAGGGAAGCCACCCTGGATGAATGCGTAGGATATGGACGGCTACAATGAAATATGAGTGGCGGCGACTTGAATGAGTAGGCTTATAGAGTATCTCAACATCAGGCATTAGCCATATCACTTGACGGCCACCACGTGAGAGACCACAGCTTATGGCTTTCAGTTGCTCAACGAGCCGCGCAAACAAAGCTCTTGCGCCCACTCACATTGGTCTCAGCAGGGACAATAGGGTATGAGTGATATGTTGTGATTGGAGGATTGGTAGGTCGGCGGGCAATTGCTTTCGGACTGTGTTCAGGGCAAGCTCATAGTTTGTTTCCGAGTCTGAGATTGAGACCAGACTCTGCGCAATGCAACTCACAGAAACGAAATTGAGGAAAACACTGACGGAAAGTCGACAAGGGTAATGTGTTTGACTGTTGTTGGCTCGAGGATGCTTGAAATGGCCGAGGTCGTCACCTGGACCAAGACGGAAGAGCTTGAATGGTGATAAGAAAGAAGGATGACAAGGAATGGCGAACACCTTCACCACAAGGGCTTTGTGGTCGGAGTGAATTGAGTGGGCAAGTGAAAAGTAAAAAAGGTTGAAAAGAAAGTCAAGGGGGAAGGTGAGAGTTTGGTGGAGGAAGAGGAGATATTTTATTATGTGCTTGTACAGGAGGAAGGCGCAATGGTGCCGTGCTTGCCTGAACTGCGAGAACAATGCTATCCGCGAGAATGCGGTTTTGGCTATTGTATATGTCGGTCCGAAAGAGGGTGATGCATAAAAGGGACTCTGAGAAGAAGGGGGAAAGAAAAGAAAATGTTCCATAGGGGCGCATGAAATTGGGAAACATATCCTCATCCAGATATTGATACTTACCTGATCAATACGGCCATCGTCAAATTCCACACTGTACCAAGTATCTTGACCATAGCCATAGTCGTCTTCATCGATGTCGATTTGATCGATGACCCTCAGAACATACCATGAGGGCGGCAGCTTGATTTTGCTGAAGGAGTCTGGATTCCTCGGGGGGCTAATAACCACCTCAATAGGATGTAGTTGCTGTTGCTTTGTGGCTGAATGATGGCTGCTCGGAGGGCTGTCCATGTTGACATCGCCCGTTTGCTGCAAATCATCATCTCCGCTTTGAACCACAGGCCCGTTCTGAACTTGTTCATCTTCGTCCGCCTTATCTTCCTCGTCATGGTGATCACCATCGTCCAGATCCATGTGTGCCACGGGCACCAAAGATATCTCGTCCGGTGTCGCCAATTCGGCCTCATCATGACCGACTTCACCTCCGTCGGCAATTTCCATTGCGTCCATCGCGTCCATCGCATTGTTTGTGGTCATGTCTTGTACATATTTGGGATGCTCTCTGGACGAATTGCACTCGGCGAGTTGTAATGGCTGTTTGAGTAGTGGGATGAGACTCGTTAACCTGCGCAAAGAGATAATTAGGATTTATTCCGAGGCAATGGATCAAAAATCAGTCCAAAGGGTCACCAAGGGTCGCATACCTTCTCCAAACCTGCCAATGGCTTCTCGCTCATCCACAATGGCGATCGTGGCTGCGCTAAAGGCCGTGATGGGTTGTAAAGGTTGTGAGTCGTGGTTCACAAGCGTTCCGACTTTCGCGGTTGCTGTGACCGAGACAAGACGCGCTTCGAGCTTAAGTGATTTGCAGGGTTCCCAAATTAGCAGGCTAAGGCACTACGTAGCTGGCGGCGAGGATCTGTAGCAACGCTACCGAGCACGCACATGTAAAACACGATGTCACCACCAACCAGAGCTCTCCACTACTGAGTGCCGCTCCCCTGCTAAGATAGCGCACTAGCGTCATGCCGCCCGCCAGGGACCACGCGAAATTTTCCAGAAAGCATCGAGGCAAGACACTAACAAATTGGTTTGGGAAGAGCTCAACCAGAGCCTTCATACTGGCGCATTGGGATTTTTTTGGTTGACACTTTCTTGCCACTACTTATTTTCTCTCATTTCTTCTTCTTTCACCTTAATTTTCACAAAGGCTTGATATTTTCAGCACTGCTGATACTATGAAATGAGAACCTTTAATTCGCTGTGTTTTGTACACAGACATACTGTTTTGTTCAAAACTTCTGCTTTCACCTCTGCGAATCATGTACCAGTACGATACTCTTCCCTCTCCGCGATTCACCGGGGTTTGCGCAATTCCGAAAAGTCGCGGCCTCAAGGCTTCACTCGTGGAGCGCTAGAATCTGCAAAGTCCACCAGAGCAAAGCGACCTCCTTCCCGCGTTCGAAGGGACCCTGATTGGACACCCACGGGCTTCAAGATCAAGAAGGGCAAACGGGACATCACTGACCAGGGCCCCCAACCGAAATCACGAAGCGGAAGATTCAATGATCCGACCGAAAGCTTCGGAAAGAAGAGTCTTGTCTATCAAGTCAAACATGGGCGTCTACGGGAGCAGCTGGACGCTCTAGGTGGCAAAGCGCCCAAGGTCTCCTCACACGACAGCTTCGAAAGCAAGTTTGCCAGCAAGTTCGGTGATGACTTTGCCGAAGCCAAGTCTAGCCGCAAAGATGATTTCCGCCGTTCGAGCTCCTCCAGACCCAAAGCGGTGGATCCACGACTCGATTACAAGAATGAGAGGTCCGGAAAGCCATTCCCACGCAAGGATGGCGCAACTGGAGGCAGATCTCCTGGCTTTGCTAGACTGGGCGATCGGAGTACTGGCAGATTTTCCGATAATGGATCGCGCAGGCAGGACGACAGGAGTACTGGCAGATTTGCCGATAATGTATCGCGCAGGCAAGACGACAGGAGTACTGGCAGATTTGCCGATAATGGATCGCGTAGGGAGGACGACAGGCCCCCACGCACATTTGAAAGCCGGAGCACAAGTTTCAGCGACCGACGAAATGATGATGCGAGCCCACAAAGAAGTGGTTCGGCTAGGGATGACCTACCCATACGTATACACTACACTACTGCCGCATCGCAATTCCTATACGGTCGCTCCGTGGTCGAAGCCGCCTTAAGAGCGTCGCGGAGGAAACTGTATCATCTTTATCTCTACGCTGGTAGAGACCGCCAGAACCTCGTGCAGGATGCAACACTGGAGAAGCTGGCGAACCAACTCGATGTTCCGGTCACAAAGATTCTTGACAATGATGGGCTGAGGATGATGGACAAGATGAGCGGCGGACGCCCACACAACGGTTGTGTTCTTGAAGCCTCTCCGACACCGCAAGTACCTCTGAAGTCCCTCGGCGGATTATCAGAAGACACTTCCAATCGTAGCTTCAAGGTCGAGTTGGCCTATCAATCAGCCGAGGATGCAGCTATCAATGGGTCCCCTGAAGAGATTCAATACCATGCCAAGGGAAATAGGAAGCCCTTCTTCCTCCTACTTGATGGCATTCTTGACCCTGGCAACCTCGGAGCTATTCTCCGCACAGCTGCCTTCCTTGGTGTTACTGGTGTTGTCATCAGCAAACATGGATCTTCAGGGTTGACGCCCGTCTCTCTCAAGGCATCATCTGGTGCATCGGAAGTGCTACAACTGTATTCTACGGCCTCAACTTTGGATTTCATCGAGCGCTCCAAGGACAACGGCTGGATGGTATACGCTTCCGTGGCTGCTGGCCCACGATCGAGGGGCAACGCGCACCTCACCATTGACAAGATAGAAACGTACGATCCTCTCTCAGAGCAACCTACAATATTAGTCATTGGCAGCGAGGGCGAAGGTCTCGAAAAGAAAATCAAGAGACTTGCCGATTTTGAAGTTTCCATTCCTGGACAGTCCGGATTGTTGAGCACCATTGACAGTTTGAATGTCAGTGTTGCGACTGGCATCATGTGCTCAGCATTCTTGAAGAAGAGCCACAGCTTTGAGATTGAAGAAACAGTGGACAATATTAAAGAGAAGGAGGGAGAAACTACACTCTGGTGATCACCGGAGCAATATAGAAAAACATGTACAACGCCTGTATACTACATAGAGGGTATAAAACAATGGATCGGGGGTGGGAGGACTGTACATATAATGATGGATAGGTTCTCGTTGGCTTGTAACAAATCATGAGATCAAGAACGCCCAAAATTCACCACTGACAGAAATCACAATTACCAACAATGTATTAATAATGACCGGTACGCCGCTCCTTCTATATGCTTGACTTGATAGAATCACTTCACCCCGTCAATCATTACACTACAGACCCAGAAGTATGTTTGCCATTGCTCTTCTGCCCCAATCATGATGTAGTATTTAGGAACGCATGCACCAAGAGTTTATTGAACAGTGGAGTGCCCAGCCCAGTCACTGGATCCCAACCTGCCGTCGCATTCCATCCAGCGCCAATGATTTCGGGCGTCGGCAGTCCAGAATAATCGCTATAGGGGCCACATCCTCGGCTGCCGCCTTGCGTAATGTCAGTCAGGGCACCCGCCGGGCCGGCCACGCTGTATAACCAAGGGTTGAGAAAGCCGAGCGGCTTCCGGCCGGCAGCCACCAGGGCATTATTGACGAGCGAAATAATGGCCGCAAAGGTCGGTGCCGCCGCCGACGTTCCGCTGATTGATGCCACGGCCCCATTATCCACGATGCGAAAGCCGTTGCCCTGGGCCGCGACGTCGGGGAACCCGCGGCCAGAGGTGTTGTACAGGCCGGCAAAGACATTCGGGCCGAGTTGCTGCAGGTACGCCGAGACGGCGGCGTCTTGGTAGGCCGGGCGCGGAAAATAATCGCTGAAGCCGCCCGAGGAAAAGGACACGGCCAGCTCGGGCAGCACGCCGGCGGTGCCGCCCACGGTGGTGATGTAGGGGCAGCTGGCCGGAAACGTGGGCGTGAACCGCGGGGTCTCGGTCCCGTCGTTGGTCTGGCAGGCCGAGCCAGGCCCCGTGTCCCCCGACGCAAAGATGATGCTCACGCCGCGGGCGCCGAGCTGGCCCAGCATCGTGCAGACCTGTTGCGCGTAGGCGAGCGGCAGCTCGCGCTCATTGTCGCCGTACGAGGTGCTCAGGGTAGTTGGCAACTCTGCGTCGGTCAGATTGAGCAAGTATGTGAGGAGCTCCAGATACGGCTCGACCATATTTTGATCCGCGTACGGTTGGCTAGAGTCATTCTGCTTAATGGTTGTCGCGGCATTTGAATTATTCACGTTGCGAGGGAAACTCACTCTAGATCTGGGATCAAAGGTCCGCGCCCTCCAACCGAATAGAACCGGAGATCCGTATTGAAACCTAGCGCTGCAGCATATTGTATATCCAGGTTGGCCTCCTGATCGTCCGTCCCATCTTGGTAGTCGTCGCCACCGTTGACCAAGGCGGTGGTAAAGGTCTGATTAGAAGATAGCGATGCGTATTTTTCCAAGAAAGTATCCAGAAATTCATAATTGGCATATTCCTGGCAGTTATTGGTAAGAATAGTTGCTTCAACATTTCTTCTGCTCCTTGTACTTACCTCGAGAAAGCCACTGATGCCAAAGATTGTCTTTGCGGCTGGCTTCGCGGTATAATTTCCAATGTTGTATAAAAGCCTTAAGCAATTCGGAACGATCAAGTAATTGCATACCTTGAGAGCTTCCGTCTTGTTGATCGTGAGTACCGACGAATCCAAAATCGACGATAACCCTTCCGGATCCGGAATTTGTTCATACTTGGCTATTCCGCTCATGTTTTTCCGCATACGACTGAATACCGTTGTAGGTTGTATCGTCGTAATGTGAGGCCTGATGGCTTGTGGCACCGAGTATTCTAGTGTGCGGGCCTTCAAGCCGCTCGAGTTACCATGGCTGTAAATGTTGAAATCAGCATTTAGTAGGCGTTCTGCCTCGGCCACTGTAAGTCTAAAATTGATCCAGTCGCCCACGTTCTCGATGTTCTGGTCGGGGATTCCAGCAGATTCGAGCCACGCCAGAACGGCATCTGTAGACTCTTGCCGTGGCTGTACGAGATCTTTGGCTTGCTCTCTTGACAGATACTGGCCATAAGAAGGATGAGTCGGCGAAGAAATCTCAAGGAGCGTTTTCTCGAATAGTCCGCTGGTCACGTTGGGTGACTCGAGTGCGACCCGTAGCCGAATTACTGACGAGGAATTGGCCTTCTTGACTAGCTGCCATCCATCTGGAACACTAGGTAGGGACTCGACAATAACGTTACTGCTCGCTGCAAGAGGGCTGAGTAGCAGCGCCGCCGCACCTGTAGAAGATTGGAGTCAGTGACTGTCTCTACAAGACTTGACCACAAGGGTAGCACCTATTGAACTGTGTTACAAGTCTGACACCCAAATCTTTCTGCAGTCTACCAACAACCTAAGGAGTGAAGTGGTAGATACATACCAAAAAGCACCATTTGCCTCATCTTGAAGCAAAGTGTGTACAAGAAACGGTCCAAGCTGTTCTACACGGAACGACTAAGGTTTTACTCGGGCCAACTGTAGTACAAATGTAGGAACCCTGTGAACCCTTGGAACCCCGGTGGCTACACCGCGCAGGGGCGTCATGCAGAGGCGGCGATCATCCGCCCGAGACTAGCTATGTCGTGGCTTCGGATCGGGGATGCCAAGCCTATGATCAGATGGAATCACACGTGTGTGACTTGAATTCTCGATTGAATAAAATCCGACCGACGGCTTTATAGTTCTTGGCAAGGGAAAGGTAGAGATTATTTGCGCCAATCAAGGGAACATGCTGATCAGCAGCATAGGGCTGGCACGCTGAATCAATATGGGAACACGCCATTCACATCTAGATGCAAACGATCAGCATGCATCGACACATTCCATTCATCCATTCTATACAAAAACTTGTCGTTCAGGTCGGCAGATGAATTGGACGAGGCTTCCTAGTGTTCGGCCTATCATGGATCAAGTTGTCTATACCGACTGCCATTTTAGGGTTGAGCCGAAGCCTTCAAGTGCTCGGCACAGGGATACACCCTAGGCGCTACATTAACAATTACCTATTCGAGATTGACGACCCGTGTACATCTGGATTGACACCTTCCAAGTGGGCGGTAGGGCTTGTCAGATTCTGCCTCAAGGTTTTCGTGTGCTTGGGTTCGGAGAATATTGCAACGCTTTTTGTATCCTCCGCTCGTAAAATTTGCCAGCGCGTTCTGTCTAGGCTCCTGGGCGTCCTTGGCCCTGATGCAGGTTTGCATAGCCAAAATTAGTCGATTGTAGAGGACACTGAGCCAACAGCCACAGCGTCTACACAAGTTGTCTACCTTTGTGCGTCCTCGGCTTGATTGATATGAAACATGCCCCAACAAGTTGAGAGGCTCTGAGATGTATAATAATAACCGCCATTATCCTTGTACGGATAGTCTTGGCACGCTACGTATAGAGCTTTAAGCGAATGAGACAGGCTGGATCATGCGACATGGTAATCAAGCAGAATTAAACGACGACCATGTCCCTAATTTATGCTGCAGCCATACTTTATGACCCTTGGCTTAGACTGCCGCCGCATCATATAAATCTGCAAGTTATAAATGGAATCGTCCAGTGACGGTAATAACAGTCTGCTGCATAGTTTTATTGTCATATTTGTCTCAACCAAAGTAATAGAGCCTCTGATGGTAGTTTGCCAGCGCTTATATACAATGCTTCATGTAAAACGCGTGCTGCCGTCGTAGAGAAAGTTATATGCCACTATCAAGGTACAGAATGAGGCAAAACCACTGTAATAATACCAAGAGGCAAGCCAGATGCTTCAGGTGAGCTCAAAGCCCTACTTCAACCCTAAAAGGAATAAAATAGGGTTCTTTCACTGGTGACAAGAAAGGTTTGGCACTGGAGGTTCTTCAGCATAGAAATTTCGTTTTCTCACGGAAGACTGTTCCGGGAGAAGAAGTCTATGAGGTGAGGGCTTGTGAAGTTGAAGTTGGCGGTATGGTTTGGGCGACCAGCCAAGTCCAGACCGAGTGTGCTTGGCCAGGCGTGTCCCAAGCCTTCGATGGTCAGGGCTCTGACTTCAGCGCCAGGGCAGTCCCAGACTTCCTCGAAGACACCTTCGTAGATCTCCAATACTTTTGGCTCTGGCCACTGACCGTGGTATGTACCCTTGCAGCCATTGCGTTCTGCCCACTGGCGTCTCCACAGCCTGACGTCGGGCTCCGGTCCAAAAGAGCCTCCCTCGGGAGTGCGGCCAAAGAACGGAGTAATGGTGTCCTCAACACCATGCGCGTGGTAAATGGGTACTGGGCGAGAGGGTGTGCAGTTGTGGAATGAAAATGTTCCTTGATATAGGGCCGGAGAGACGGGCGCAAAGGCAGCAATCAAGCTGGTCGTATCTGGCCTGCAAGCCAACAGAGCAGTGAAGCCGCCACCGTTGGATTTTCCGCATGCATAGATTCTCTTGCGATCGATATTGTAAGTCGCCGAGATTGTTTCGACGATGTCGTAGACATAGGCAATCTGTTGCGGTCAGCTATGCTCGTCCGTATGGTAAAGAGTAGAGTGTGGTGATTATACATCGTCAACCGTGGCGTTTTCATACGGAGCTCCCTTCCAAATGTGCTTCATGGGATAGTCCGTGTTATTAACGCCCTGGGCATATGCCGTCAGGAATGGCTTTCCGGCAATGCGCAACGTCGGATCCGATAGCTCCGTGATTCGTTGCTGCTTTTCGCTAAATCCACCAGCTGATGATACCTTTTAGCACTCATTGTCTTTGTAATTTACGACATCAAGAGGATGTCAAAATCGGAATAACCAACCTCCGTGGAATGAAAGCACGAGAGGGTGCAACTCTTGGTGATCGTAAGTATCAGGGACATTGAGAAGAAACGTCCGTTCCGTCGGAAGTGTATATTTCACGTTGCCCCTGGCAGGAGATAACAGCTCAGGTCCAGATAGCACTATCTGAGACGCCAGCGCAGATTGGGCGCCAAGTGCAAGAAGAATAGTTCGCAACATTTCAGCCACCAGGTAACACAGTTTCGGCGATATTGAGAGTAAAAAGACAAGAGCAATTCGTTCAATCATGGGCGTGCTCAAACTAAAAGTAAGCCGTACTTCGGATGCAGAACCGAAGAGGAGGTTTCGGCACGCGACGAATGAGCCGCCTCCGCAACCCCCCACTTTAGATATCACGACATGGCGGGCATAGTCATCGTCAACTGAGCAAACCACCGTTGGTGCGCTGCTTGTCTGCATATATCGTAATCGGAAGGAAGTGTAGTCAAAGAAAAGAACCGAAATCGTCTCCTCGATTTCCTCATGGTTTGTTGGATATCAAAAACATTGTGCCTACCTTTGTACAGAGTACTTGGAGTCTAGGGGCCGCGAACCCACCAGGACTTTTAGTTGATAGTTGATCGCAATGACACTAAAACTGGGCAATCTATGCATAAACCTCAAGGTAGGTCATCGATATTCGGTAGGCGTCAATGACAGACAGATCGCGCGTGGTTCTTCTACTACTACTTCTTCCTTTTTTTGTTTTTATTATGGGAAGGAACAGTGAGAGGCCTTGAATCAAAAGAGATATCAGAAACAAAAGGCAAGTATGCAATTGGCTGGCAAATGTGTTTCCTGATGCAGGTGGACCGTGGTACTGCATACAGGTATCTGACAGGCAACGCGAATGATCTTTCCCAGTGCACCAATACCTTATGCTAATATGAAGAACAGAAACCGACCATGGGTAGTTCTAAAAGAAACGATAGAAGTTATGACATTTGTTAAAATGATGCCTGAAAACGTTGAAGCGTGGGGCTTGTCACTGCCGGCAGGCACCCAACAAACGCACTGTTTATGTGGCTGCCTTGGGCCCTTTGCGGAAACTGCGACCTACAAAAGCTTTACCAAGGGAAAACAAAAACAAGAGATTCACTAGATATCTGCAAGTGAACAGAGTCAACCCCAACTCTCATTTCATTTTTGTGCCAGAGAGTTTATCAATGTTCTCACCTTCGTAACCAGCGGGAGGAAAAAGTCCTTCGTATTTCGTGTCCACCCCTTCTCTCAACAACACAAACAACCCCCGTTGAAACGCGCGACGGCGCTTCTCGTGTTTCTTCCGGAAATCAGCATGACACTCGAATCTTCGAAAGTTGCTCTTCTGGGGCCAAAGCCTGAAGAAGCCCGCGAAATGATACAAACTGCCCAGCACCACGAGGTCACGCCTGCAAATGAGGCACAAACTGGCTCTGACGCAGATTCGGACGACCCAACAGAGAACGCGAAGCTTGAGGATCAAACAATGAAGGCAGAGCTCAAACGTCTCGATAGAAAGTATGACGATTATGGTGATAAAAAATATCTCGAACGCAAGCATGGGGACCATGTAGAGAATGAGCGCGATGTAAGTGATCCCTCACCATGCATATTCCAGTATTTTGTTTTCTGGGCTGGGGTTATTAGACCGGTTTCCATGGGAGCCACAAGGTTACCCTCCAGGTTTCCAAGCTGTTAACCTCACCAAATTATCTGAATTTTGAGGAAGATGCTGATCAACCATTGCCTTGTAGTGGTGGGATCTTTTTGCTTTGTGCGAAATACGCAGCTTCTGGGAAGACGGTGAACTCGAGGGCACAAATTTGCGCGTCAATTCGCATCTCCTCAAACAGCTTCTCCAGGATGTGGTTGGTGACTTTCCAAATGAGCCCATAGATGCCAGCACAGATGTTGAGCTCAGTGTACCGGCACATTGTCTATTCTTCTACCACGATGAGTTGAAGGAAGAGGGCATGAAGCGCTTTGCAAACAATGCAGAAGGACAGGCTCACATTAACATCCTGCTGAAGTACATCCGCGACACGTTCGAGGATGAGTCCAGATCGTACAAGAGAGCAATCAAGAGCGAATCCGGTGCTATCAACTACGAGCATCTTTGGACCACATTCAGACCAGGCTCGCTAGTCTACGCTAGGGTTCTTGGACATCCTCATGCATATAAGCTTCTCAGCACATGCTACTACAAAGGACAGATTCCCGCGTTGGGATTGACTGTTCAATTCATCGACTATGATGGCGACAAGTTCGGCACTCGCACGACAGAGTTCCGCATCCCTCAATTCTCAGGTACGCTACGTTTTGATCAGCTGAACATCCGGCCCTTGGATACCTTGTCCAACGAGGACGAAACACGGAAGCAGCTTATTCAGCGCGGGATCCGATTTGAAAAGCTTGTTGGTCAGACTTACATGCACTACACTGGCGTTGCCGTCAAAAAACAACAAAGTGGCTATGAGAGAGTCAATCTGACTGAGCGGGTCATGATTGATACCAAGACTTACCATCGTCTCGATCCAAACGACGCATTCTGGGTATCGGAGATGACGGGCAATGAAGCCGCCAAACGACAGCGCGAGATCCGCAAGCACGATGGCGGAATTGTAATGGATGGCATTTCCGACACCGTATTGTACGACGAGTTGCTAGATGAACATCGGCTCATAACGAACGCGACAGTTCGAGGGTACGCCTTTACCAACAAGCGCTTTTTGGAATTCTTCGTCGACCAACTTTCTCCGATTGAGTGGAACACGGACTGTTTCAATGAGCTCGTTCTGGATCCCGAGCCCAAGAGAACTGTCAAGGCCTTGGTTTCTATGCACGCGCGAAGGAGCCGAAACGATCCTCAGACATTCGACGATATTATAAAAGGCAAAGGTCAAGGACTGGTCCTAGTCTTGCATGGCCCTCCTGGTGTTGGCAAGACACTGACAGCTGAATGTGTGGCAGAATGGGTCCAATGCCCGCTCTTCACGGTGTCCTCGGGAGATCTTGGAACAGACAGCAATGCTCTGCAGAAGCGTCTGAACGAGATCATGGACATGGCTAGCACATGGAGAGCGGTTCTCCTCATTGATGAAGCCGACGTATTCTTGGAGCGTCGCACTTCGCAAGATTTACAACGAAACAGCCTTGTCTCAATCTTTCTCAGAGAGCTGGAATACTATACAGGCATCTTGTTTCTGACTACCAACCGGGTCGCCACATTTGATGATGCATTCAAGAGCAGGATTCATGTCCCGTTGCGGTATTCGAAGCTCAGCCTCGAGTCTCGACGAGCCATCTGGCAGAACTTCTGCAACCGTGTTCCTGGTGGAACCGAGATTGATGGGAAGGGACTAGAACAGCTGGCACAGCATGAGTTAAATGGACGTCAGATCAAGAACATAGTCAAGACTGCTGAAAGTCTTGCCGCGTTTGAAGGCGCGAAGCTGAACCTTGACCGACTCGAAGAAGTCAGTCTTATTCAGGCCAAGTTTGAGAGAGATCTGCTGGGATCCGTAGATACTGGTTTGGACGGAGTATGGACGTATGATTGAGGCCACTGTCATTGAAGCAGTGCCAACTTGGGGTTTAGAAGTATCAATATGGATCCTTTTGCGAGTGGGTCATGAAGCGTGGCAACCAAGTATTGGAAGTGTATAGATAGCTTAAGTAGCAACAAGTAGCAATAATGATATCGATGAGCCAACGTCGAAACGATTGAGATAAAACAATAGATACACAAATCTTGCTCTGGTCGTGTGCCAAGTATGCTTGATATCTGCAAGTTGCCTTCATACTGTCCAGAGCGAGACCTCTTTCATGTTGCAAAACACAAGGCATGCGCTTGAGCAATGGGCCTACGTGAGTAGGCGTTCCCGACTAGAGCTCCATATGGTTAGAAATGTGTATACTCAACCCCACCACTGTCGCTAGGTGGAGTCGTACACGGATGTCGGCCGCTAAATCTCGAGCCTCACTGCCTAACGAAAACTAATGGGCCTGGCCATTGGCGGTAGTGGTATATCATGACGCTCCGAATAGATTCCGCCTGATGGCGAAAAACAGATTTGGATGGCTTTCTAGGTAGGTACTTGACCGTTACTTGTGCAACGATATAACAAGATTCGAAACCACGGAGCAAAAAGTGCCCGTCTACTCCAATACTCGGAGCTTCTGCTCCTGGGTCCGTCCCCACGATGCAGCCGAGCGACAATCTAGCGGGTCACTATAGCGGGAGAGCTGCAAGCCCCAGGCGTTAATGAGCGGGACGCTGCCTTTTGTTCCTGACGCTCATTTCGTCATCATTTCCTCAAACCCGCATAATATACCTTACAATACGACACGACAGATCGCGATGGCTCTCAGCAAAAGAGAAAGCGGTCTTCAAGGTGAAGGGGAGACGTTTCTTCTTTCCTATTATTTGCCAATCGGAACCCGGTGTGCCCTTCTCTGCGTTGCCTTCTCGACTTACACGTCATGATTCCCCGGGCCTTTACCTACCATAAAAGACCTCTTGCGGCAAGAGTTCTTTGCTGCACAACATATCAACAATCACAGCCACCATTTCACAGACTAGGAATTTCAAGAACAGAAAACTTCTCCAAACTCACTTCCTGCAGCTACCCAACATCACCAAAACGACACTCGAACGGACAAAGCACCAGCATGTCTTCAAGCAACGCCCATCTCAGCCGCGACAACCTCTTTGACCTCAAGGGCCGCGTGGCCCTGGTCACGGGCGGCGGGTCAGGCATTGGGCTGATGGCCACCCAGGCCCTCGTGGCCAACGGTGCCAAGGTGTACATTACGGGCCGCACGGCGGAAAAGCTCGACCGAGTCGTCGAGCAGTACTCGCAGGGCAAGGACTCCATCATTCCACTAACTTGCGACGTGGGTAAGAAGGACCAGATCAGCAACCTGGTCAAGGAGATTTCTTCGTGAGTGGCGATAGCTTCTCACCACGAGTACAATGTTGGATAAGATCGTTGACAGAACATGAATAGGCGAGAGTCTTGCTTGTGCATCCTCATCAACAATGCTGGCATCAGCACTTCCACGGTGTCGACCGAGGCCAGTTCGGCAGAGGAGGCAAAGCAGAATCTTTTTGACACGGAAAAAGCGACTTTTGACGAGTGGACAGAGTCTTATCAGACCAATGTTGCTCAGATCTGTAAGAACTATGTATATTTTGTTGTTATATCGTGTGGGGATAATGAAGACTGACATGGACGTAAGACTTCATGACAGCCGCGTTCCTACCACTTTTGCAAAAGAGCACCGACAAGCACCCCGGCTGGAGCTCAACCGTCATCAACATTAGCTCCATCAGCGGCATGGTCAAGACGGCACAGCACCACTTTCCCTACAATGCCTCCAAGGGTGCTACTATTCACCTGAACCGCATGCTGGCGTCGGAGATTGCCGGCCAGGGCATGAAGATCCGTGTCAACTCGATTGCTCCCGGCGTGTTCCCCAGCGAGATGACGGCCGACGGCAGCGGCTCCGACCAGAAGAGTCACATTGAAAAGGACAAGTACAAGAAGGTACCGGCGCAACGACCGGGCAAGGACGAGGACATGGCACAAGCAGTCTTGTTCTTTGCAGTCAACCAGTACTTGAATGGTCAGACATTGGCCGTGGATGGTGGCTACACGCTTGCCGCTGGGCTGTAAATTAGCGACGCCCCGAGCGAATATGATTGCTTCCATACGCAGTGCTACTATTTGCGATTTTCAGCTCGAAGCGCATTGACGACATAATGATTCGTTTTAGTACGATACGGTGGAAATCTTTTTTTAGCTATTGCCGATGTGAATTCAGCTGCCTCCAGCCTTAGCCGACCAGTAGTGATGATGGGAATGGCCAATGGTTATACCCTGCATTTCCGCCAGTTGGTTCATCATAGAAGAGCACCAATTAGCCATCTAGCAATCATGACCGTCGCCAACCATTTTCGATGCGCGATTGCGACCATCAAAGATGTGCATCGTAAGAACAGGAGGCTTACGGGCAAATCGTCTTGATTTCTAAGCTTCACATGATGCTGCCCTAGTCCTAGACTTGTCTCAACGCTTTGATGAGATTTTCTGTTTGGCCGTAGGGCTGACTAGGTGTGGAAGAGAGACCAAAAAAAAGTGGCACGGAAGTAGTGTTTAGACTATATTTTATAAACTCCGAGCCAACGGGCGGGCGCACCGAGTTCTAGAATTGACTTTTTTGTTGCAATTGCAGTGCACCTTTTTGTGTTTGTGTGGCTTTTTCTTGCGACCAAAAATCTCGATTGACTTTTGACGATATAAATAGGACTGGATCAAGACCACGCCAAGTAATATCGGCAGTTGGTTTTTTGCTTCTGAACTCGGACGCTTCATGTGCACGCGACATTGATTGATTTTTTCTTGTCCCCCTTCCCTCCTGGATGATGATGATCATGATGTCTGAATCGGCATCATTAATACATACATCTGTAGAACAAGCCGCCGAATCGAGTTTCTTGCGGAAGTGGGCGGAAATTGCATGAATGAATGCATGCACTCTGGGCCTACTACATACATACATACAGCATACAGAAGTTCTTCGTGGAGAAGAAAAGAGTCCCTGCATCCTTGTTTTTTTTTCCCCCTCCTGTTTCCGCATTCCCGACCGTCTCGAATTCGTCCCGGTGTCAAAAATCTTTTCTTGGATCTCCTCTATTTTAGTTTTGTGCCTATCGATAACCTTAATCGTCCCCCTTGTCCCCTGTAGCAGAGACACGCAAGAGAGGAGGGACAATTGGAAGGGTCAAAAAAAAAAAAAAAAAAGAAGAGACACCCCACCAATCCATCCGATCTCACCCCTACCCTTATGGCCATGTCATCTGCACGATAAGATTTGAGATCGGGATGGGCGCTGTTTTAGGCTCGACGGGGCCGCAACGACGCTCTAGAAGCTGATCATTCATTGGCACTAAAGTAAGGGCCATCGTGCAGATACGCCCACGATGGGCGGTTTTGATTCCGGGGCCAAGGATCCATGAGAACAACAGATCCTTCACCCAGGTTGAGTTTGCGCCCTCGGAAATAGCTCAAACATCAAATCACTTGAAGCCGGCCACCAAGACCAGTAAAAGTCAGTCACTCATAATGAATCCATATCATGTGGTTCAATCGTATCATTTGCAGCTACCTAAGGCATTCTTGTCGCGCATGTTGCATTCGTTGTCGCATCAATAGACAGTCAACAGCGGTAGGTTGCCATGGCACAACAAACCACATTTCCCTTTCTTTAAGAACATGTCAAAAAGTCCCTTGATGGGAACAGAGAGACATGACAATCGCTCTTTACCCTGAACTCTGGAGTGGACACCTGAAAGTGTCCTTCGCAGGTTTTAAAAAAAAAACCAAAAGACCAAACAAACATCCTAGTAGAAAAGTCCCCATCTCACGCTCTGCTGCTGGGGGGGAGGGGCCGATAATAGTAAACGCCGAAAGGATGCAATGCAGAGGTATCCTTAATGGGTGAAGCACGGGAAAACAAGCCGTGTAAACCAAAAGCAAAAGAAAACAAAACCGTGAACCATGAACAATCTGTGGAGTGGAGGATAATCTGAAGAGAGACTCTTCGCGCTCCGGGTATCAAATGTAAAATGCCCTGATGCTGTGTATATTGTAATCGGATCGTGTTGTGATGATGTGCCGAATGTGCCGAATAGGAAAGAATTAACAAGGACCGCAATGATCAATAGAAGAGTAGAAAAGGCGTAAAGTTGCTGTTGTGCTGATGTCTCTCTGAGACTGGAAAGTAGTTGGTCGGCATGCCACCAAGATTTGTGATAAACCGCTATGTTGTAAAAGGAAAAATGGTCGAGTGGCATGATGTACGTTATCTGGTGGCACCAAGATGTCGTTGCGTCCCATGCCTGACGGTATCGCCTTGTCGACTGCTGCAGTGTACGCTCGTGGCGGACGGAGGGATATCAATTAGGCAAAGCGCGCGACCCAGTGCTGCTCTAGCCAGCCAACTTTGTCAAAGGCCGTCCACAGCTTCGATGCCTTGTTGACGTCGATCTTGCAAGCCTGCTGAGCATCCGTCTTGCGGAACTCCTTTTTGATTTTCAGACAGTCGAGGCGAGCCATGAACATTCTGCGCTTGCTGGTCAGGTAAGTTGCAGCATCAAGTCGCAAGTTGGCTGCAAGCAAAAGCTCGTCAGGGTGGAGCAAGTGACGGTTAGGGTCGCTGTTCAGATCGATCGGAGCTCCCTTCCAGTCAACTTTGAGGCTGTTTGCCTTGGCGGGTAGAGAGCTCAAGGGTGGGCAGTAGTCCGGCAGGGCATTAAAGTCCTTGTCCTCGCGGCTGGGTGCCGTCACTCTGCGCGAAGCGGGATCGGGCGTGGCATTGATTCTTGAAATGACCTGCCTCTGAGGTGGAGCAGTAGGGGAGGCTGCTCGGATAGGTCGAGGAGCCGGTGCCGATGCTTGCAGCGGCCGGTTCGTAGCTCTCGATGGTTTGACAACTCGCTGTACATGATTGCGGATAGGCTGGGGCTTTGCCGGGAGAATGGGCTTCTGCTTGTGACGATTGTACTTCCATTGCTCCTTTCTGTCTATGAGAGCTTGTTCACGGCAATGCTTGTACCATGCTCGAGGATCCTTCTTGTACAATTCCATAACCCGAGACTGGAATGTCATGATCACCTGATAATCTTCAAGGCGCGGCGGCGCAACTTGCTTGAACATATCAGTAGGTCTAGATTCAACATGAAGGTCGATAACACGCCGAGTCTCGACTGAATCTTCCCGGCCGAATAGTGGTGGTTGAGTCGGTGAAAGCTCGTGACTGGGATAGAGAATAGGGTCCTTTACGGGCGTGCTACTTCTGGTAGATGCAGCGACAGAATGGTCGACCTTTGTCAAAGGACTGATTGGTGGCGACAAGGGAGGATTGGGTCCATGAGCCTTGCGCACGTTTGAGGTTACCTGCTCTGTTGCCTTGGCTACTGTTGTAGAGTGCGCAAACGACTCCATGGGAGGAAGCTCAGGCGGAGACATGAGGTTGCTAATGTCGAGAGGCTTCGTGGCCTCGGCGCCAGTCTTTGAAGTAGACATTCTGACGGAATCGATATTCGATGTTGTCGAGAAATTATGTGATCCCGAAGGAAAACTCATGGCAGAGTTTTGTCTGGTTGTTGAAGTTGCTGGCAAGACAGTATGGTAGGCCAAGCGGGTTTGTAAGCGTGAGTCTTATATAAGTGGGAACGAGGTGGCGAAACCAGGCAGACGCCAGGGTGCGCGAGAAGGTTCTTGTGAGTCAATCGAGAAAAATTGAAAAGTAGTTGGGATCAATTTCAGGTGCAAAGGCGCAATGCGCAAGCTGTTAAAAAATTGAATGCAGCCGAAATCGTTGGTAGCGTTGGCTGTGCAAAGCGTGGGAGGCAACTTTGGGTCTTTGATGTTGGAAGTTCGGGGAAGATGCAAGAATGCTGAATCCGGAAATAGGCGTTAGAAGTATGAATTCCGTTGGCTGGCTTTCCACCCCCTCTTCCAGATTATGCGATTGTGCAATAGTTGGACCGTCCGGCTCCTTGTGAATCAGAGGAACAATGGAACTGGGAACAGTCTGCCCAAGCGTCCAATTCAAAAAGGATACCTAATAACAATAGCCAGCGATCGTGGAGGTGGGTTGCTGGTTGGTTGCCACTATTTGCGGGGAGGAGGCCCAAGATAGTGTGCGTACAGGGAAGCGGTATAGGATTCCCAAACTTGAATCCAAGACCCAAGGACATGCATGAATAAATATGTAGCGGGAAAATGGCACACACCAGGAGGGTGGCGGGAAAAAGCGTCGACTGCTAAGTGGTCAACTGACCCAAAAGCGCGACGAGGTGGGAAGAAGGGGCTGAGGAGGAATTTGAGAAGAAAGGAAAGGAGGACGACGAAGAAGCTGATCTGGTGGAAGGCCCATTGAGAAATAGACAACAGATATGAGGGAGCTCGCGCGGAGAAGGGCAGCCCCCAAAGCAGCAAGGAGAAAATGGATCAAAATCCAGGCGGACGCGGCCACCTCAACAGCAGCAGCAACGAGTTGGTGGCAGTACCTCGAGGTAGGAGGTAGCTTGTAGGCGGATGATGGCGCCGTGGTGGTGTTGACCAAAGGAGTCACTTTCAATACAGTACCCCCCAACTTACTTTCCCCCCCCCCCATGTACAACCCAAGTCACCAGGCAGGCTACCAAGCAGACGCAGTGTGCGGGCGCAGGGATGTGACACATTGATACCGGCTTATTTTAGGACTGGCCCTGCGTGCGAGGTGAGATTGACATTAAAGTACCCCAGGTACCCTCATGGCTGAGGTACTCATTCCAGGAAGAGGGAAAACCTTGTGTCTAATGCCCCTCCTCGATATTGGGTAGTGGTAGGTAGCCTTTCGGCGAGCCACCTGCCTACACGCAGGCACGCAACCAACGGTGAACTTGAGGTAAGGTACATTGCTTACATGGGACTAGGCCATGAAAGCATTCTTGCGGTCAACTCTCGCACTGGCGTGAGGACGACTTCTGTCGGGGCGGTCGGCGCTATCGTAACAGATAATTTGGAATACAGCCAAAGACGTAGAGATTGACTGTCGCATACTTGTTCTGTACTGCAGACATGTAGACGACAACGACGGCCTGGATAGGTAGTCAGGAGACTCAAGAGGGGTAGGTAGAGCATGACCAATGGCCCCGGGCAGAGACGATGGGGTGTGTGTCTCAAACATGGGGGCGTGTGATGCATCCTCGTGGATCATTTTGGTGGATTTGCACCAGGTCATTGAATGAATGCCCAATAGGCGTCGGATTCGGCACACCCAAACGGATGCCAGGGAGATCCAATCGTCGAGATGAATTGAGGGCTGCCTGTGCGTGCGCGGGTGCTATTGCGCTGATATCGCCGAGCAGCGCGCGCGCCCAAGATAGATTGAATAGATATGTATGCACATTGGGTACCAATGTCGACTTCTCCATTGTTTTGGTGCAACTACACATACTATGTACACTGCCTAGTAGGCAGGCTCCGCGGCATAGGTTGGTAGAAGTATTGTTTGGTTTGGTCTGACTGGGCTTGGCCTTGCTGCCCCTCCTCCTCCTCCTTGGACGAAACAAGCAACTAATGTAGGGAGCGGGAGACTGGCCACGCGTGTGTGCGCGCCTCCACGGGAGCCCGTGAGTGGCAGAACGGTTGTGTTTTAAACAGCATTGCCCAGTGGGCGCACGATGGATTTCTCCAGCAAATTGTCAGGGCAGAGCTCTGTCGTGTTGCCTTCCTTTTGGTTCCTCGTTTCGTGCAACAGGCGCAATTGAGATCATGTCGCCCAATTGACGACAGGCGGATCCGTTGGCAATGCGGTTGTTGCAGCAGTCCCTGCGATCAGAGAACCAAAGTGTATCTGACATGTCATCATCCCGTCGGCTAAGACACCTTTGCCAAGCTCCCAATGAGAAGGTAGGCTTTGGTAGGGCGTAGGTCTTCATAGGGTAGAAGGGACAAGTAAGCGGATTCGTCAATAAGGTAATTGTCAGTAGTTGGCAAAAGACGTGAAACCCGTCGGTGGAAGCCTGCGGAGGTATTGGCGTGGAGGCAACATTGGCAACCTTCCCAAGGCAGATAGGCAGCCCAGCTCACTTGAAGCCTCGACTACAGTTTTTCTTTTTCTCTTTTTGCCCACCTTGATGAGCTTTGTTCATTGACCGAGCTGCCTGCCTCCAAGGTACCTACCTACCTACCTAACCTACATGAATCCACGAGGAGGTATGGTTTGCTGGAGACATCACCATGGCAGCAAAGGGAATGCCCCGGTCCCAGTGGGTCAATTGCCAGGGCCAAACATGATAATGAAGTGTTTCAGATGGCGGCGTCATTGGGCATCATGGCTTTGTCATATGTGAACGTATGTGCTCACTGCTTCCAGTGCACGCGAAACAAAACAGAACCAAACCTGACGAATTGGCCAATAATTGAGGGGCAATTGACGGTGATGGGGCTTGTCGCTGTTGTCCTGTTGTGCTGGACTCGGCTAGGGCATTCACGACCATTGTGCCAATTGTCGTGGGGGCAGTGCAGGCGACGAATGAACGGGCATCCATCCAGGCACTTGCTTGTTGGATTGCGGTTGAGGTCTGTTGTGAGTCATAATCGCAAAGGCGAATGAAGCCTGGAGGAGTAGGAGACTGATTGACTGGAGTTGATGGGTGAATTGAGCCTATCACAATCAGTCACAGAAGGAGCGCGCCCGGCTTGGGGACGGACCGACTAAGCCATGGATAGTAGCTGCCGTTGGAAAACCGGCGATTGATTGGTTGGCGGGGCTCTAGAAATACCAATCTGGGTTTACGCCTCTAGACAAATGATCGATACGGCATTTTTGTAGTCTGGGGCTGCACATATGCAGGAAGTATCTTTCGATGGCTTTAGAAGCACGGTACATGCAGGTACTTGCATTTCGCAGCGTCATTCAAGCTCTGGAACAATAAACGACAGCGACAAGGCGCAATCTTAGTGCTGAGCACCCATCGCCGAAGATAGACATTGCTCACAAATCCAGGCCCCTCCCATCCCCGCTAATAAGCAAGTCCAATCGATCCCGACCAACTACTCTATCGATAGCGAATGCTGACGATATCACTTATCGCCGCTTTCACCTGTGCGGCTTTACGGACTCCCGCGATTCCTCCAACATTGGCCATTTTACTTGTTGCCTTCGGGTTCGGGATTGCGAGTTTCTCTATGTCCTATGTCCTTAGCTGCCTAGGGGAGGACGTCATAGACATGCCCAGGCGGCTTTGATAATTGATTCCAGTTTTAACCGTCTTCTTTGGTCTTTTCTTGGAGAAATACAACCTTCCCCAGGCTCCCACCACCAGGTGCGCCTCATTGAGACACTGAGACCCCAAGCCCGCATTACACAACATCTTGGATTGTCTTGGTCTCCTAGTAGGCGTTCCTGTCCTAGCAGAAAGCGCATTGACGGGGCGTCGGTGTCGACAAGCAAGGCAGGAAGGATAACCATGGGACATTGTACGAGTTAAATGCAGTCCGCTGGAAAGCCACAAAGAAAGTCTAAATTTCAATATCGCCCATGCTATGAAATTGATTTGATATGCCTACGTACGTGGTTTGCGTTGAGGGCGCTTGGACAATCAGCGGTTTGAGGAGTGTCTCTGACGGTCGTATAAAACACAATTGCTGCTTGATTATCCTACGTCCTGACCATCAAGCCACAGAGTAAGAGCTCACATCAATCCCGAGGGCGCCGGCAATTGGACCATGTTTGCCTCTCGTAAAAATCAATATCTGTCCATAAAAGGCATTCGCCAGGCCGATAGGTTACTTAGTTCTGTTGATCTTTGTGCAACACCTAAACTGAAGCTTCTTCGAACTTTGTACGCATGAAGCTCAACTGGCGAGCGAGGCAATAATCCAAGTAGCGACCGTCAGCTAGCCTCAACGCTTGACACTGGGGGCATGATACATTCCAGCCGCCCGCTCACTATATTCTTGGCTGGAGGAGAACCGAGTCTCTGTTTCCCAACCTAGCTGCCCACATCAACGAGACAGAGATAGTAAGTGCATGGACGCATCGCAGTCCGTGGCAAGCAAGCCAGTATCGGGGTAGTCCAGTCATGAACCATACACACACACAACAAACAGATGGGCGGCAGACACTAGTTGCCCCGACCCATCTTGCTAAGGTACTGTCACCCTTCGCGAACCACCTGACCCCTCCTCCGTATAATCGGTCAATTCATGGAGGGCTGGAGGGTTCCCCATCCCCTCCATTAGTATATGGAGGCATGACTATGGCACAAAAGAGGGCGTCGTTTATCGTTATCTTTCCGACACCGCGATATGCGGAAGTTGATCATCTTCCCAGGCTATCCAACTAGTACGCTCACTTGATCACGCTATCCCGTCCGACTTGGGACCACGCGGGAGCGGTTGTTTATCGTGGGCTACCGCTGGATCTGCCCGCCAGGCGGGAGATGGTGTGTAAAATCCACTTTCACATGCGCCCCGCTAGACTCCAGCACCTTTTGCGCCGTTCCCGCGCACGAACGCTCACAAGTGGAAGCGCCCTTTCTGGTCTCATCAGGCCAACCACCCACTGCCCCTCCCAACAAGAAACAAGAGAGCAAGTTTGTTTGCCATGGTTTTTGAAGGGGGTGCGATTGATTGGGATTCCTTGTTTTGCCTTCCAGCAGTATGCCAATTGCTCACTCCACTTGTTTACTTTACCTAGATACTACATTACCTATGTAAGCGGGCTGGGCAGGCATTGAAACGTCCAAGGCTTGTATCCGCTATCCTTATCGGCGGGGCCCTTCATCTGCAACATTGAACACAGGTTTGGGGTCTGGCCGCCTGGGTTCCAAGGTCTGTCTACTACCTACTACATTACCTCCTAAGCTAAAGGTAGACTGGGTCCCGGTCTTTCTGAGAGTCTGGGGTGAAGGATCCCCGCAGCAGTGCCGTCGGGTGCATTTCATATCTCATCCCTGACAACCATGCATAACATCTCTCCATACATTACCTTTCCACGGTATGCTGCTGCTGCTGCTGCTGCCGGTGCTGCTTTCACTACCTGCCGAGTAAGTATTTTCAGAGGGCGAGACCAGAGAACCAATCACTCGAGTACCAGATCCAACATCAGAATATAATGTCGTGTTTCAGTCTGTTCTGTCAAATGACCAGAACTTGGCAAGAACGCGTTCCACGGACGGACTACGTACAGGATTGACGAAATTCATGGCCCAAGGAGCCACGGAAATTTGCGCCCGAAGTGAACGGGAAGCAGAAAAAAAAAAGAGAGTTTTACTCGCCTCTGTTTCTGTCTGCCGAATTGGACGAACACCTACTGCGCCGCAAAGCCCGTCTTACGCAAGACGGTCAAGTCAGCCTGCAACACACACGCACCTCGTCATACTATGGTACTCAGAACAGGTCCTCCTCGCTCGCTTCTGGACGTCGGTAGAGCAAACGGTCCCCGCTCCTGTCCACGGCAGCTAGATTCGTCCGTCGACATCTGGCCCCCGCAGACAATTGCTCTCAATTGCTCAAGATCATATCAGGTTCTGGACAAACGACCTGCTCTACTTTAGCTTGATTATGTGATGAGCAAAAAGGCGGCGCTGACGTGCATGAAGACACGAGTGTTCCTTACCCATGCTCAACCGATGATATGACCGGCTCGGAACCATTACCATACGACCTCGTCGTTGCTTTACATGGCTCCCCAATCAAGCAATGCTTCGCCCATACGAGGCGTGAGCCTCACTGCAGCTCCATTGTCGCATCGCTTTCGGCTCTTGGCCCTGTGGAACATTCGACTTGACGAGATCGGCTCTCCCCAGTTTGACGTCTGTCTTGGCAGCCTGCTTGGCTGGGCCCTCTGCATCCTTCCCCAAAGCCAAAGCCCAAGCTCGGCCATGCCGCCAGATGCCGCCAGGTTGATTGTACACTCGCTGGGGATCACAGACTTACCAAGGGGAGGGGCACTTTGGGATTGGAGCAACCGTTCATGGCCCATCACCTGTAACATGAGGGTATTGGAGTGCGTAGTCATCGTAAATGTGGGCTAGCGAATGAGACGTCTTGTCAGATCCATACGTTCGGTACCCTTCCCGCCGGCCCTTGCTCTTTTGCAACCCCGAGGCTCGCGTGAGCCTCACGGACATGGACCTTCGCGTCATTCGCTGACTACTTTGGCACCCCAGACCAAAAACGGTGCTTTGCTTGTATCCCTCCCCAGTGACCTTAGTTTTTCTTACAAAAGGGCGAGGTGCTGCCTTGTTGAGGACGTTGTTGCGCGCATCGTTTAAGCTTTTCCTAATCTTATTTCTATCACATCTCACCCTGACCAGGTTGTTGATCCTAACCAACTGACCTTTTCATCCCATGTGGGGTCCTGGCCGTGAGTTATTAGTCAATTCAGACTAGGTGGTATTGAACTACTATTATTATTGCTCTACTGCCTGCATACAAACACCAGGCCGAGTCCTTGAGACAAACGGGCCGCCGCCTACAAATCCCGAGGTTCGGCTCCAAAACCAGCGTTCGTCCGTCCATTCGTCAGCAGCAGGGTTCTCGCCTCTGCCTTTTGAGCATAACTCGAGAGAGATAGCAGCCAGCCCCTTTATCTATTATTCCTTGCGAATCCACCATTCCCGCGCTCATACAATTTCGAAGAGGGGACGAAACAAAAATGGCTACCTACATGTGGGAAACGCAAATCTACCCCAGCGAAATGTTCGTCGAGTCTTGCGGGGCAATCTTATTCGACCTCTCGGGACGATCGAGAAAGGTCTGCCTACTCCACCTGGTGAAAAAGGACCACTGGGTGCTTCCAAAAGGCCGGCGCAATTGCAACGAGACGCGACAGGATGCGGCCGTACGAGAGGTGCGAGAGGAGAGTGGTTACGCATGTCGACTTCGGCCAGTCACTATGCCAACGCGCGCGCCCTCGGATCTGGAGGCAGCTGATGTGCAGGACTTGGCTAGGACGTATCATGGACTTACAGAACCCTTCTTTTTGGAGGTCAGGGATCTGGGCAAGGAGAGCGGCGTCAAGCTGGTATGGTGGTTCATCGCCGAGGTCGACAAGAGCATACCGCCAGCCAAGTCCGAGATACACTTTATTCCCGAATTCATTGACTACGAGGAGGCTATGCATGTTCTCACTTTCCAGAAAGACCGAGATATGCTGAGCAGGGCAATCAACTTGGTCGAAGCCGCAGGATGGAGTGGTTTCCAGCAATGGGCTTGACAGCAGAGTCATGAGAGGATGACACTATAGAAGGGGAGGGGAAAGGGGCCTTCACCAGGCTCATAGGTCTAGAAATGGAGCATCGCATACGTGCGAGGGAGGTTCTTTGGTTCTTTTTGGAAGGGCAAAACTCAAGGCGCCAGTCACATTCACGACACATCACATACTTTTGTCGAATTATTATTTTTCGCGGGCGATACCTACAACTTTTTAGGATTCTTTAAGTCATTTAATTCACTAGAGTTTTTCACGCAGAGTCTTCACTACGTAACGCTTGAAGCCTCTGAAACCTCCTCACTACTTGATTGCTGACATGCACTCCGCACCAGGACGAGAGCAAGCCGGCGCGCCCACCTTTTGACGCCTGTTCTCATCCAATCCTGCCTCTACCTTTAGCCAAAGTCATGCCACGGGGTGATTGGGATTTCGGGTCTAGCCGGATCGATCTTGGACAAGGGCCCTCGAATCCCTGCTGCGTCAAGTTGCGATCTCGTGACATTTTGCATCCAGTCATCCCTTCTCGACTACTAGTAGCTTCTCAATAAGCCGTTGTCCAAGTTCAATATCATGGGCTGTGACGGCCTCGACTTGAATTGTCATGGAGGTGGCATTTCTTTGTGTGTAAAACAGACTCGTTCCGCTTTGACTGGACTTTCCCCAGGCTTGGGAACAAGAAGGCGGGTTGGCCCCTCCGACGCTGATCGCAAGTCATTGTGGCATTTGTCGGGATCATCGGGCATGGCACCGACCTATACTTTGTCGTCGCACGAAACAAGAAAAGCACGTTGACACCTGACAAACCATTGCTTCGGTAGACGTCAGACGTACCATTGGCATGTCGTCAAAGCACCAAAAAGCAGCCGCTTGCCCCACCGGATGATAACGAGAAAAAGCAAAAAAGGGGGATATTTCAGTCTTCCCCCCCTGTCAACTTTTTTCTCTTGCCAACAGCAAGCAATATTTTGTTGCACAGCGTTTATACTCGATACGCAGTCTAAAACGAACTGCTAGTAAAAGGCAGGCTACAGGAAACAAACCCTTTTGACCCCTCCATCACGCATTGATCCATCTACCTTGTCGACTCACGCAACCAGCAGAGTTGACGGCCTATCCAATCCCCACACCGAAAAGTACGGTGAAACCTTAATATATGACAGAAAACGGAAATCAAGCCTTTGCTTTCTTATTCTCTTGGGCCACTCTTGAGAGGGAAGCAGGTGATCATGCATGGACTATCGTAATCATTGCTGAGAATAGATTGCAGCTGCGAGACGATGGAATGTCGTCCAAAGTCGGTGCAACTGGTAGCGCATGTTGTCGCACAATACGATGCAATCAAACTATGTATACTCTCTCCCCTCCCACCTCGGTGACCCAAGTGGGACACCGTTTTACGACTCGGCGTTGCGCAATGCCTCGATTGGGAAACACATCACCGGACTAAACAAGAAAGTGGACCACCGTCGATACCCACAATAATGGGAGTATAGCCTGCTGCTGTCTCATAGACTGAGACACGGCGCTTAAACTGCCTGCGAACCACACGGCAATCACTTAATGAACCATGTCGTTCGACTCGAGTTGGGAAGGGGAAAAAAAAAATTCATATCCGGCAACGATCCGGGCAAGAATTCATGCTGCAGCGCAGTTGATGCCCAATTGATTATTTTGGAAATATTTCATGACGTGGAGGTATAGCTCAGCTACACACCTTCACTACCACTCCGGACGCGACCTGAACATCCCCGAGGCTCTGATACAGTCTACCGACTCCTGGCCGGAGATTGAGGTGTACGCATTCACGAGCTACGGCCGGAGAAAAGAAATGGAATACGAATAATGTAGCAATTTTCCCAACCTGCATGCACCGTTTACGAGTCATGTTTGTGGGACAAGACTGAATTCGAAGCCACTCGGAGCGGTCCCGCAGCACCACCCGGAGACGGTCACGATAATGCAAAGCTGAGCACATGATCAAAAAGTAAAGAAACTCGTCAAGAAAAACAATTGCCTTGGTCGAAAGCAATGACCATGACGATGAAGATGACCATGACAATCAAAGAAAAAAAATTAGCCTTTCCCCCATCTCCTTCCTCCCACGCTTCTTTGTTTGTGACGCCGGATGCTTCAGACTCCATCAACAGAAGCAAGCGTTATCAAACCTTCCAGAAATGTGTTGACACTCATTTGATCCTCATCGAACCATGGGCCACGAGCCACCAAGGAAGGAAAAAAAAAAAAAAAAAAAAAAGAGCCGCAACAGCTCAGCTCACCAACGTTCCACGGGAGGAGGGCCAAGCATGGCCAAGGATTCTCAGTGGAGCTAAACATGGATGCACAGGGCTGACCAAGCAAAGTACGTACGGTTCGCAGCAAAAACACAGCTGCAGATGTTCCATACTTGCGCATGACATATTCGACAACATGGATGTCTATCTAATGAACTTCAGCCGTTACATTCTGCCACGAGTCACGATCCCTGTAAAGAAGAGCAAAAGTGTTTATCAGCGACTTTCCTCCTCCTTCTTTCTTGTTTCCTTTGGCTCCTTGAAAATGGAATTCTTTTTTTGCCAAGTTGCGACGACCTACAAGGGTATTTGCATACATACGTGGCATACAAAATATCAGTACCTGACGCTCGCAAAAAGCAATCTACCATTTAAAAATTGTCCTTTCCTTCTTTTTTTTTTCTTTTTCTTCTTCTCACAAGGCCCGCACTCGACCGCATCATCCAGCATCGCCCATGGCAATTTTTCTTTCTTTAGCAAATACGATAAAAGAAAAGATGCCATTTCCAAGGGAGAAAAGAAAAGACGTTTCGGGGCAGCCAACACAACCTGGGTAGATATGAGAAAGAAACCAAAAAGGATTGATAATTTGCCACCAGTGAGCTATTACACAGTACTTCTTTGCATCCAATCTTGAGCGTCCGACATCGCCACGCCAGCCAAATGGGACAAAAATCCGGAGGAGGGAGGGGGGAAAAAAAAAAGTAACAGCACCCAAGCGCTGCGTAAATACTTTTTCAATCCTACTACCTTGTAGATCCTTGACTGAAACAGAGCCCTGGTGCGAACAGAAAATTACCGAAATCAGGACCCGGATACGATCAGATAACGGCCAGCTCTTTTCTTTCTTTCTTTTTTATTTTTTCCCCCTTTCGTTTTGATAACTCAGTTCGACCGACAAAGTCCAAGAACCGAATCTTTTCCCAAGTACACGCAATGGACGTGCTGGAATATTGCAACGATAACGGCATACTTGCAACATAACCAATATACTTGGAGACTGTGAGACAAGGAACATCATGACTCGGTCAAAGCAACGTCATTTATCTTATTGGTATCTTCTGTGTTGGGATGCATTGAGAGGATCCTCTGATCTGCCGCGGTCATATAATGAAATCATGTAAACAACAAACAAAGGCGCTAGCACTTCAACACCAAGTGACAGTCGTACATCTGAGGCTCTGCCATGGTGTGATAGTACATGATAAACCTTTAGACATGCTAACTCGCCCCCTTGAGTGACGACTTGGAACCATTGATTACACAAAGCTGACTGTAATTCTCAGCAAGCTGTCGAGTGCAGCAGATTACACCCTATTTCCCGTCATTCATGGAATTTCGTCAGTCGTGTCAAATTTGTAGTCTCTTAAACCATTCAGTCAGTAGCGGTCGCACTGATCTGTGTAAAGAACCAAGTGACCAAATCCAGGAAGAAGGGGTATATTCAAGGGTCTCGTTGTTTTCCGACTGTCGTTGTAACGGTGTGTGTCGGTGAAAGATAGGCGCAGCTTGTACTGATCTTCAGTGCCATAACATGTGGCGCCGTCGCTAATGAGGTTGTGATGGACTTGGGTTTGTTTATACGCAAGGCTGCGTGAAGCCCAGTAATGGTCCGGGCCTTCTCTAATGCTCAGAAGGTGGAAACTATTCTGGTCTTGTGTCTTGTGTAGTTGTTGGTACTAGCCACTTGTGCTAAAGTAGTAGTTCTCCCAAAGATATTCATAATCTTCGATGATGCTTCCTACGAAGCTGGGCATACGCTTGGTCACACCAGAGATAAATCCCTTGGTGACGTTTTCATATGCAGGACCTCTCATCACCCACCATCCCATGGCCCACGCTCGCTTGCCCCATTCCTCGCGCTCCAGTGCTGTCGCCCTGAAACTCCTGTCTCGGACTTGCCGAGCAGCGTACTCGATGCTCAGGCCAATGAGCCATGGGGTCCACGACTTCTTGTCCTTACTTCTAGACAGTGCCACAGCATATATGAGGGGAGCTAGTATGTGTAGCACTTCGGCAGCCTGCGCAGATCCCTGCAGCGAGTTGAGGAGCCGAGCAGCGGGTTTAATATCATCTGCAGTAAGCACTTTGCTGAGAAGATAGGAGCTGATGTCGTTGGGGCTCGGCAGACTCGGCAGATTACTGCCAGTCCGCGGCATGGACCATTCCTTTTCGTGGGCTGACTTTGCGGTTCCATTGAGATTCATTGGGCTCTCTTCGACTTCCTCGCCCATCAGCTCCTTCAGCGCGTCCTCGTTGCTCTGCGCATCTTCTTGTTCCGGTAGCGGTTCTCGTTCGGGAAGGACTGGCGTCACGATGGGTCGCGAATTTGTGACTCTCAGAAGGAGTAGCTTGCAAACAGCCTTGATGACTTCTAACAGGATAACGACTCGCCAGCGAACTTTATTTCCCCGTCGCTTTGCCGCCATCTCCCATAATAACTCCGTGTACTGTACAGTTTGAAGAAGCAGCGCTATCCTGCGGTAGATGCGACTCTTGGCAGTCCAGAACCGGGTGTATCGCGCATGTGGACTCGGTATACGCGACGCCAGGCCGGGGATCTTGGAGACGGCGCGAAGCAGCACGTCATCGTGATATAGCGAGAGCAGCTGCACGCCAGAGTGGATCGACTCTGAAGCGATTTCGGCATCGCGGAAGCGACCGGGAATTATGTACGTGAGGGAGCGCAACGCGCTTTCAATCTGTGAGACGGAATGCGCATTCTTGGTGATGAAATCGCTATACATGTGCAGCCATGTCGGCGGTAACGAGAGGACTTGTTGAATGGGATTCTGGCGCGGCGATGGCGACGACGGCGACGATGATGATGATGGTGACGACGATTGGGCGGCGCCGGGGCGGGAAGCGCTCTTGAGGGGGTCCGCAGGAGCTGCCATGATGAGCTCACTGCCTAAGCATTGCTCCTCTACCTCTTTTCAGTGATGGGAATGTCGCAGCATACGAGTGGGAGCTGAGATTCTTCGCGAGCTTGGGATGTATAGGGGTTGGGACAGTTAGGTGTTTGGCACGAATCAGGTCCTTGGCTAATGTAGGGAACAACATAGGTAAAGTTGATGCGCAGCTCGGCATCATCACGTTCGACTCGATTGCCTCGGCTGGATGCATGAGCTGAAGCTCGGACCACATGCTGGCCATGGACCACTATCACTGCTTATTAGCAGCGCTCGGTAGATGGCCAAATGGCGTTATACACTGTAAATGCCAGTCAAAGTACTTAAGAGCACTAAAAGCCATAAGCAGGCCCCGATCAATCAATTATCATGTACGAATCAATGTAGTACCATGGCTTCTTGTGCATGAGAAATGCGCCATGGTAGATATCTCCAAATTAGCATGCGCCGAATGATTTGAGTCTCACAGGAAGATGCCCTTCTTACTCGTAGCCTGCCAACAGACTGTTACCAGCACGGAGAAGCTAGTAGGTACCCATCTGGGTGCAGAAGAAGCATTGCTTGAGATGCTATATATGCACACATTATTCATTATCTGGCTACAAGATTACAATGAACCTTTTTATATATATGTAATTCTATTTCATTTTATGTTATTTCAACGACAAAAATAATTCGAAATTATATATCAAGTTTAGTTTGAGCCTAGAAGACTTGATAGAGGCTGGTGGCACCCTAGCAATCTTTTTGTTTCACTGATCTCACTCTATGTAGTTGGCCGTAAAAGAAGCAGTTTTTGCTGGAATATTCTCGTTTGAATGAGACTGTGAGGTGTGGGATTCTAATTTCACTCTAGATAATGTGATAGCGTTAATCTTTCTTTCCTTCTCTGATTCATTTGCACTCTACTTTACTCGTCCCATTGTGTACACAATGGTCCTCGAGCTTGTGAATCAAAATCAGAAACTCCTCTTCTGAAATCAGTGCCAACTTCAGATATATAGCATATTCAATGACCAAGAAACACTGACTTTTCATGATAAAGATAAATTCCTTCAATATGACACGTCTGTCATCAGTATAATGGTGTTCATAGGTTGGACGTCATCGTCTTATGGTCCAGCAGCCTTGACAGCAAAGCTTGCTCCGGGAACGAAACTATTTTGGATTTCATAGGACCATATTTGACGTTCCTCGCCTCTTTTAACTACATACTCATCCACAATGCAGATCATTTGCCTTAGGACTCTGCTAAGATCGGCCCACCAGCCAATTTGTTCTGCATGTCAGATTTAGAAAGACGACCATTTTGGCAGGTCTCGGGTCATGCAAGCAATCGTGCGTGACAAGGCCGATATCCTCTAGCAATCGAACAGAGATCTGCAGGCCAGACCTTCTGATTTCCCGGATTTTGTGGACCTGGACATCTCTGGAAACTGATAGGCTCATGTCACAGAGATTCCGGGTCTGCCGAAAGGCACAAACCGCATGGGGTAAAGTGCAGATGAAGAAAGATTGCCGCCACAGTAACACATCTCACACGTGCTCACTGATAGGCCGCTGGTATCTATGATCAGATCTCCCCTGAGGATCGTCCTATATCAGCCTGGAGGTGGGTAATATCAAAAATGACTTCTGGGGCTCAGCGCACGGGATACGGCACCATGAGACGTCGTCTACCCAGGTCATCATCCTTTGAGCCGACCCCAATCAGAGAAAGAACTGTGGACAAGAACCGACTGTTCTTCTAGAAGGGCCGATACCATCTCCTTTGAGAAAAGACCCGAACCTATAGAGAATGGATTGATTGTGTCTAGATCCTGTCCATTTGACTCTGTCATGATAATCAAAGATCAAAGGTCAACATGTGGCAAAGTTCACCCACTCACTTTTCCAACGAGTCACCTCGACAAAGTTACTAACGAAGCAATGACTCAATGAGAACTTGGATTTTTATGAGAATTTCGTCAAGTTCCAAAACGTTTAAACTTCCAACCGCTCAATACCCATGGAACACTTATTCAAAGAGGAAGCCGCCAGTCGCGTCGCGATATCGGTTTTAAAAGTAAATAACCACGGCAACCTGTACACGTTCATTAGTTGCCGGCTCTCTTGGCATGCCGTCATTCTATCATCCTTTGGCACTGGTATTTATCTTCAGTGACAACTAGTTGTGGATCCTGAGAGCGAAGAAAGAAGCAGAATGTAACTTCTCCACGCGAGGCTAAATTGATCGGTTAAAACCCCGTACAACCAGTATAAGACTCCCTGAGTGGCTACGTGCCAATCACATTGTCTGTGGCCAAGAACACGAAAACCTCGTGATTGGCTGGGAAAGTTTCAACTCCCGACCCCTGTAGTTGGTTCATATTATATCCATATGACAGGACCTACAAGTGTCCTTCGCGGCTTCGGCAGTTCTACTTACCAATGGGGGCGGCAACTCACAAGAGGCACGGCTACGACGAAACCTCGTGTTCGTTCTACATATCTAGTCTCCAAACGGCTACGCTTCGAGCATCTCCTTGAGCCAGCAACCCAATTCCACATCGATCGTCACACCCGAACGTGTTTAATCTCATCTTGAAGTCATCATCCTTGATCAACAACCATCATGTATTGGACATCTCTGGCAGCTGCCGCACTGCTTGGGCAGAATGTCGCTGCACAGAACATGCTTCGATTCGCCTGTTCTCAGCTGGTTGTCGAGCGTACCGACCCTCTCGTCAACCCTGGCATGACTTACACACCGCATTTGCACCAGATCGTTGGCGGGAATTCCTTCAACGTCACCATGGACCCTGCTACGCACGACTTGGCCTCCCAGTCGACGTGCACATCATGTACCTTCAAGGAAGACCTGTCCAACTACTGGACCGCTGTCATGTTCTTTCACCACAAGAATGGCAGCTACATCCGCGTGCCACAGGTCGGCAATGGCGGTCCTCAGGGACACCTTGTTCAGGACGGCGGTTTGGATGTCTACTATATCCCTAGTGGAAAGACCACAGCATTCAAGAAGGTATGTACACATAACTGTCCAACAAGAAGTCGGCTCGCGCTCATCAGTGCCAGGGGTTCCGTATGCTCGCTGGATCGGCGACCAACACGGACTCGAGCAAAGTCAGCAAAGGCAACATTTGCCACCGCTGCTGGACCTCGCCAAACGACAACACTTTTGTCGGTGGAGCACCCTGCTCGGGCAGCGACACAGTTGACATCCCTGCCGACGCCAGCTGCAAGATGATCAGACAAACCATCATCTTCCCAACGTAAGTAATATGAAAGAAAAACCCTCCATCGTCTGACGGGGTACTCCAAGATTACTAACTCGATTCGACCACCAGCTGCTGGGACGGCAAGAACCTTGACAGCCCCGACCACCAGAGCCACGTCAACTACGGCGGCGCGACTGGTGCGGCCGGCGGTGCCTCAAGTTGTCCCTCGACTCACCCCGTCAAGCTCCCGCAAATCATGTACGAGCTCATGTGGAACGTTAGCGCCTTCTCTGACAAGAGTCAATGGCCTACGGATGGCAGCAAGCCATTCGTCTACAGCATGAACCTTGGGTAAGAATCTACTGGCCTTTTCCGTTACGAAAACACTTCAATATTTTTCATGTCTTTGATGACTGACAAATCTCTCATGATAGCGGATCCGCCGCCCACGGAGACTACGTGTTCGGCTGGCAGGGTGACACGCTCCAAAAGGCCATGGACAATGGCTGCAACCTCAACACGGACTGCTCCAAGGCTGGCATCCACGCTCAGACATCCGCCCAGTACAGCGCGTGCAAGGTCCAGCAGCAAGCACCAGAGGCCGTCGATGGCTGTAAGTGCTCCATTTTCCCACTACATGTACATCTTGGTCTTCTGGAATCGCAGACTAATGACTTTAATGCAACAGGGCTCAAGGCTATGCCCATGGGCGAGATGTCCGTGCTGGCCTAGAAAGCTTGCTTACCATAATGATCTACTACAACTTGCCAAATAAGAGATAATCATGCATGGTATATTCGTCAATGCCACGCAGCCAAGATGTAGATATCAGCATATTTTAATAACTTCTGAAACTAGAGCTTTGGATTGTGGAGGTTGCACAGAGAAATGGCGGGAGACTGAATATAGTTGATTTTTGAGGACATTCTTCCAGCATGGTTGTGACTTTTTTTCTCTACGGTTTCGTCGACATACTTACTGCGATTGTGACCTACGATCTACCATCATATAGGTTTTCGTTTGTCTGTAGCGAGCGCTTTCTAGAGAACCCGAAGCCCATCATATCGAAAATCATGGTAGATGCATCACATTCAAATATCATCAGATGAAGAAAAGTTGCGATGAACCAAAAACTTAAAATCTATGCGAAGCAACTCGAGCACACTATGACCAATACGCAAATAACCCCATCAAACGCTGTAGGATCCACAAATTTCCCCGTGAACCAGCAAATTAACTGTTCTTTGTGACAAGAGCAGCAAAGTTGGCATTCGCCGCCGAGGAGAAGTCGTGGTTCCAGTAGTTGGTCACATCGTGCACAGGAAAGCTGGAGGAACCCGACGACGGAGTGGTGGGCTTGCTCTTGGAGTAGGCGAAAGCGAGGCGGTTGGACCCCGTGGGCGTCAGCGTCTTGTTGCCGCTGGATCCGGCAAACGTGGTGCACCCGGTGCACTTGAATGTGACCTGCCAGTGTGTCGAATTGGTGTGCGTGCCCGTCTTCAACACCTGGAGCGTCGCGCCGCTGTAGACGCTTGGCGCCGTGTGGCCACTTTGAATTGGGGTCGATTGTCAGCAAGAAACTGGGTTTGTGGGAGGTTTTTGCTGCCGTCTTTGAAGGATATTACTCACGTAGCCCACCGCGCTGTAGCCACGGCGCTGTTGCCGTTGGCCCACCCGACCGTGAGAGGGTTGGTGACCATGGTGCCGCCCCAGGCAATGCCAGTCCAGCCTACTGCAATGGGTGCGGCTATCTGAAGCACAGCATCGTAGGGCGCCGAGGCAGTTGCCGTGCTTGGAATGGCGATTCGAAAGGTGACCGTCTTTCCAATCTCGAAGGCGGCGGCATATTGGGAGAAGGTGAAACCAGTTTCTGGGTCAACCCAAACCGCTGAATCGGCTGCAAGTCCACTAGAGGCTACGAAGATGTTTCAGTCTCAGTCGTAAAGAATAGGTTGCAATGAATCATGTACTTAAAAGTGCAAAAGCGCCCAGAAGAGCGGTGCCTAGATTGAAATGCATTTTGATCCGTTTGATGTGACAAGAAGACTCAATGACGATGCATCGATAACGTGATATAATCGAACTCAATTATTGCGGTCCTTTCAATGGGATATTCAAGGTCCAGACCACTAGTTATAGCTCATGGCTGTCTTGGATCGAACATCTAGACCCAAAGGACGAGGCTCGTAATGGAACTCGGAAGCCAATGACGCAAAGAGCAGGTTCTTGACAAGCCTCCGCCGCACAAATGGGAAAAGGCAATACCACGGAAGGTACATATCAAGCCAGTAACAAGGAAGCCTATCATGTCTCCTTCGATTTAGCCGTCAGTCGGCTGGAACGTGTGGCAGGGATTTGGGTATATCACACGACTATAGTGTGGCTAATAATAGGCACGATGTGGGAACCTTATTTGTAATTCAAGGGCTGGCTACGCTCAATAGCCAATGTGTTGGTTCTAGTTTTGGCGTCATTGTGTTCTTGAGTGGTACCCAAGAAAAGCAGACTGCCATTATAATATCTGCTGTGATGTTGTCACACTCCAGATTGAGCTCCTCCTCCACGTGGATATTGCCGATGAGCCGTTTACCTGGTTCGATGAAGGTACAGTGATATTGATTCGTGTAGGAACTTCTTTCGTCGTACCGGCCCGTTTCCTGAGTCTCCTTTTTCAGGAGGGTCGATAGATTGAAGTATCTGCAATCAAGACTCGGTTTTCATGTAAAAAAATATACAAGAAAGATCATAATCGACTGCTGCATGGGGGGAAAAAACCTTGAATGGTGGAAATTCAAGGCACTTACAAACCTAGAAAATCAAGGCTAATGATAATTGACTTGAAATCATCTTTTCCCCTTTAATCTTGGAAGGGATCAATAAAAGTTTCTTGGTCCCATTCGACCACTTTTTACTAAGCATATATGAGGCAACTAGCATATGGATACTGCAATTATACTCTATAATAATCCAGGTGTACGGCCATATTTCTTGGCGTGGCGTAGCTAACTAATTATACGGCTGTATTTAAATAAAATCGGGCCCGATCGTTTTGCTTTTTTTAATTTTAAACGTTTCCTATATTATTAAAATAGCTTTAAATTTAAATATATCGAATATAGCGATAAAGCCCGTTTTTAATTATAAATCGATGCTAAATTTATGGCTTTTAGGGCTAATTTAAAGCTTTTGCGGTTTTATAAACGCGGATTTTTTTAACCTGCTTTTACGCTATAATTAAATTTAAAGCGTGCGATCGCATTTATTATTATTTTGCGTTATTAATATTTAGCAAATTTCGGTTTATATTTGCTAATAATTAAATTTTTACGGTCGCTTTCGGTCGCTTCCGATAGCTTTCGACGCTATATTACGAATTTATATTAAATTATATATTTTATATTTATTTTAAAAAATATTTATTTTTATTTTTATAAAAATAGCTATTTAAAAATTTTAAATTTTATATTTTTTTTTTATTTTTTTTTTATAAAGCGCTTTTTATACATTTTTTATATTTTTTTATAATATATATTTTTTATTTACTATTTTCTTTTTTGCAATAGCGAACTTTATTTTTTTTGCTTATAAACCCCTTCCGAAATACGCTTTTTATTTATTTCCTTAAATTAATAATAACGTTTAACTTATAATTATAAGGTTTAAATTATATATTTAATTTTTAAAGCATATAAAAAAAAAGGCTATTTACGCCTATTACTATTTTTTTATATAAAATAAGGTAAAAAATTTTAAATTGCTATTTAATATTATTTTTTATATTTTATTATATTATAAAAAAGTCGTATAAAGGCTATATTTAAAAAAAACTAATTTTTTTTATTTAAGTATAAATTTAATTTATAAGCGTTATAAAATTAAAAAAAATGCCCGGAATTTTTTAATTTTTGCTTTTAAGCGAATTTTATAATATTTTATATATTATATAAATCCGATTAATTTTTATTAGCCGGATATTAAATCAAAAAATAACTAAAAACGCTTTCCGCTATATATTATATAAAAGCTATATTTATAAATATAAAATTTTAAAAAATATTACCGGATAATAAATATATATAAAATTATATAAATATATTTTAGTAGCTATTATTACCTAAAATATTTTTCCGTTTTTAATAAACCTTTTTTAAGCGATATAGCAGCTTTTCGGGCGGTATTTTTATAAGCTGGCTTTACCGGACTTATTATTAACTTAATAAAAAATAAACTTATATTTAAATAATTTATATATTTAATATTTAATATTATTTTAATTAAAAGCGAAAAATTAATAATCGAAGCTAAATATTATAAATAATTTTAATTTAATATCGATAAATATATTTAAATATAAAATATAATTATAAATTTTAAAAATAATAACGCTAATTAAATTAAAATTAATAATATTAAATTCGATCTTTCGGCGGTTTTCGAGCTTAAAAAGCTATTTTTATAATAAAAGCAAAAAAAAAAGCTTAGTATCCTTTAGGTTAAAGCGATATTAAATTAAAGCGCTAGCGTAATAAATAAAAAAATATTAAGGCTAAAATAAATAAAATAAAAAAATATAATTTTAGCGTAAAATAACAGGTTTTAAATAAGGCTAAGCGTTATATTAAATAATAATCCGCTAATAAAAACGCTTTTACGGCTTTTTCCGCGCTAATAAAAATAATTATACCGTTACGGAAATATACTAAATCTGCTAAAAATAAATTAATATTAACGCTTAAAGCTATACCGTTTAGCTTTTATAAAACCCGGAGGCGCGCGGTAGCGGCGGCGATAAAAAATAATAATAGCGATAATACGGATATTTTCGTATTTATTAAAAGCCTTAAATATTCGAAAAAGCTAGCTTAATAATTTATTTTATATAATTAAAAAGTATTATTTAATTTAATTTTATAAATTTATTTTAATAATTAAATTCCCGTTATTTCCGCGTACCTTCGGGCTTTTTTGCTATTTATAATAACGTATTATATAATTAATTTTAAACGTTTTGCATATATAATTATATTTAAATCCGCTAATAATATTATTATTATTTATATAGGTTTTTCCGTATTATATTTAGCTTT